ATAGCCCATCTAATTCCTTGACACACAAATACTAACCTCGTCTCAGTGACGCAGGTAATCCACAATCTAAACCACCAGTGGCAAATGAGTGCTTCAAAGACCTAATAATAAAATAACACAATTAAATACAATCTCTCTCTCTCTCTCTCTCTCTCTCTCTCTCTCTCTCTCTCTCTCTCTCTCTCTCTCTCTCTCTCTCTCTCTCTCTCTCTCTTTCTCTCTCTCTCTCTCTCTCTCTCTCTCTCTCTCTCTCACTCACACTCACACTCACACTCACTCACTATGTACCTAATCTACAATGTAAACACTATAGTCTACATTAACCAAACGTGTAATAGCCATAATACATAACAGTGTGTCATGATATTAAGTATATAAAATGTTTACATCATATCATCATGTAGATGATATTACAGCACATAATATATTTCAGACATATGATTAAAATGATGAAACTAACTAGACTAAAACATCATATCCTAACCTCCTTATGATAATATACATACAAAGACATCTAAAGTAACTTACCCCAATAAGTGCAGTGCTGTGATAAAGCAGACAGAGTTGAAATTGTAGCAGTAACCAGGAAAAAAAATGTTGGAGTACATAAAACTCCAGATCTGGTCACATGCTTTAGAAACAATAGCAATTCAATCAAGGGCCAAGCCGTGGCTGGACCAGGAGTCTGAAGAAAAATAGAACCCCATGCAGTCTTACATAACTTAAGCTAGGGATTAGTAGAGTGCTGTGTTAATTTAAAGGGTTGTTATATTGATTAACTAAATTATATACCTTAGGCTTAAAATACGCAATATCGACATTCTGCTACATTAACAGAGCGGCTCGATGGGCCCGACATTGTGCAAATACTGTTTAGGTACTGTTCATAATATATGACTAGGGGGAGTAATGATGATTTTTATGGGGAGGAATGTACAATATGAATGAACCCTTCTCCCCAACCCCCACCCCCTAAAATTTATGTACAAAGTAAGTGACACCCCCCTGCATGTCATGTACAAAAGATGACTCCTCTACCTCCCCAGAACAATGGGAGACCCCCTCTTAAGATCATCATCATCCCCCTAGCCATAATTGTGAATGGTTCCTTAACTCCTTGTTAGCTCTATGTGTAAGTTTTGAAGGTTCTGTATCTTCGTGAGGCCATGTGTACTCTGTAAAACACGTCAGTAGAATGTACACACATAAAACATACATTTAGATCCAAACGTGTTCGGGAATGCATTTATATGAAAGAAGAGAGCATGCTTAGAATTTAAAAGTACTTAAACATGTTTTAAGTCTTAAAATGTTACAACACATTTTAACAGGATTCATAATAGGGCTGCGCAATACAACCGGTTTACCGGTATTTACCGGTTCAGACATGAAAACGATACGTATTGCGATACGCTGATCGAAAACCGGTATTTTGACTTGCATTCGGGAAAACTTCGTAACACTCGGAAATCTTCGGATATTTCCTTGTTTCATTTGTGCCAAATATTATTCACATTTCTATTTTATTATGATTAAAGGTTGTTGTTAAAGCTTAATCAAGCATAGTGATTTTGCTGTGTTTTTGCTCTATAAATCAAGCATTACCTCGATTATAAGTAGTTCTTTGTTTAAAAATACTTCATGCAATATATTGCAATACATATCGCAATACATGCTTTCGCATCGCAATATATCGCAATATGAACATTCTCTGCAATACCCACCCCTAATTCATAATAATAATGGTCCTTGTGGGCTAATCTGTCTCTCAGATCTAGAGACTAAATCCATTAGACCAAACCAAGTCTAGAATGGTTTGGCAAGTGTAGATTGCCTCAGCTGCTGAAATTAAGCTCAGGACTCCATTTGGATTATAAAATATATTTTGTTTTATTTTGTAAAAATATCTTTTTAATTGTGATAACACGGATGATCCAGCTTGATTTGGTTGATAAAATGGCATCGTTCGGGGAAAACTCGATAGCGTCTATCACTGGAATATCGCTGACTGCCCATTAAACTACATACTTACACGTTGTATAATGAAGTATAAATATACCAGACAATCAGAGAGAACGTGTAGAGTCATGAGCTGTTCTGTCGGCGAGGACGAGGAGAGATTACGAGTGACGATAACACTGTGACGTTTCACGTTACTGGTTAAACTGAGGGTCACTCCTATCTGATAATAAGACTTGCACCCGCTGTGTAAACTGCAATCTTGGCTGCCATATTTGTTCCTACACTCAAGCTGTATATAACGAACAAATATAGGGCCATAGTGCTTCGTAATATCCAGAGTTCGTTACTTCAGGTATACATATGAAACCATCTCTGATGTTCCCTTTGGTGATGAGGAAGCCCAGCAATTAAAGCATTTTATTCCTTTTTGATTCTTCAAATGTTAGCAACGTGTGAAACATTTGATGACTTTCTGATAATCCTTGAGTATTGATATCGACATCGAAAACTACATTCGTACAGTTCTTCAGAATAGCGCTTTAGGGAATGGGCTCGGGTTCGTCATATAAGCGAAATATTCTTAAGTACGACGTTAATAATAATAATGATAATGCTAATTTTTGGCGCCTAGAATCCAACACGACGCTGCTCTCTGGCGTTACATTATTACCCTGACGGAATTGTACTTTCAAAGCTGCTACTATGCGCTTTGTGCGACCGTATAGTTCCGTACATCCGCAATGTTAAATCCCATTTCAACTCACCTCACTACCACCTTGTCAATGGTCCCGAACAGAACGTGCACATTTTGATAAGACGAGTTTTTTTTCAGCTGTTAATCTCAAGTCGGCAACAACGCCAAGTGTTCTTGGAAAGATAACAGTGAACTTTGTTCAATATGAGACATGACGAGACTTGGTGGGAGCGCAAGCCCTCACTTCCCCGTCCACAGTGTTGAGAGAGTGAAGGAAGACCGGTGGGTTCTAAATCACACCGTGTACACCCTGACCAACGAAGTACCAATATGTATATTGTGATGACGTGATCGGTGTGTGGGAGGGAGCACTAACTACAGCATGGTACATTCTGCATGGACGTAACTTGCCTCTGCGATAGCTCTTGACGCTCTTGGATTCAGTGTGTTCATGGATGAGTGTGGTACAGTTTCCTGAGCTGGATTTTACTGAAGACTGTAGACTTCTATATTACTGTGTGTGCTGTAAATTGGGCTGAGTTTATATTTATATTTACACGACTGGGTAAAAATGGCGATCTCGATGACTATCTTGGTGACATGTGTTATCCACCTCCTGCTGTTGTCTGATAGTGGATTGATAAAAGCAACACCAATATTAACGTCGACACCGACAACAACATTGTCAGCATCACATTCAAGCACAGGGACATCGCCGAAAACTAGTCCAAGTGCTACAAGTTTAAAGAGTTCAACCTCAACCTCAACCTCAACCTCAACAAAGTCAACAACAATCCAACCGCCAACAGCACATTCAAGCAAGGGTTCGTCGCATGGTAAGAGTTCTAATGGTTTAACCTCACCGTCGACAATTTCGTCAACAATCCAGCCGTCAAAATTGCTTTCAAATACAGGGACAACGCCAAAAGCTACACCAGGATTAGCGAGCAATACTACACCGAAAAGCACAAACCTAAAACATAATCTGTTAGAACCAGGATTCAAACGCATGAACATTGATTTCTGGCACGCCTGAGAGACACAGCACCCGAGTCGACTGCACCACCCGTGCATCCGAGTGTATGGACGTCATTGGCGGATCCAGATATTTTCAAAGGGGGTGGCGGGTGTGTGGGGGTCACCCCACCTTCCACCTCTGCCATTGCAAAACATTAACTTCAATGTGTTCTTTAGTCATTTTCAAAGGAAGGTGTGGGTGTTCGAACCCCGCACCCCCTCTGGATCCACCACTGTACGTATTGCATAATAATAATAAGTCAGTGAGTGAGTGAGGGAGGGAGTTTGATTTTACACCGCCTTTAGCAATATTCCAGCAGTCACGGTGGGGGACACCAGAAATGGGATTCACACGTTGTACCTAGTGGGAAATCGAATCCAGGTCTTCGGCGTGATGAGCGAACGCGTTAGCCACTTGACTACCCCACCACCCCCGCTCAAAATGAAAAGTGTTTGCGCTGGTGTTAAAACGAATTGGAAAGTTCCCGATGAAACGCCATTTTATTTCTGTGAAATTGATTAGATTGTGTAATGGAGTTCGATAATTAAACTGAAGTACAAAATAAACTACGCATGTGTGTACTTTCTTTTGTAAGTCAGTTTACTTAGTTGGATACAACAAGAGAAAAGGACTGACAACTCGCCTTAAATAATCAACCCTCCAGCCTCCCTGTTCGTGCCCTTATCATACGCCGTACCTATAGCACGTAATTCCAAATGTGTAACCAAATATAATCCGAAAAAGGGTGTGTTGCGAGCCCACTTCCCTCGCAACCTCCTGTCGCCTCCGTGGTGTTATGGTTACAGCGTCCGCCCGGAGAGCTGAAGGTCACGGGTTCGATCCCCAACCGCGTCACACCAAACGACGTGAAAATATGGTACTTGTTGGTCCCTGCCTGGCGCTCGGCATTAATGGGTACAACAAGGACTGGTCGACTCAGAGTCAGTATAATGGAGGCAACCACACATACACATGCATGCGCGTCGTCATATGAGCGAAATGTTCTTAAGTACGACGTTAATAATAATAATAATAATAATAATAATAATAATAATAATAATTTTTTTGCTCCTAGAATCCAACACGACGCTGCTCTCTGGCGTTACATTATTACCCTGACGGAATTGTACTTTCAAAGCTGCTACTAAGCGCTTTGCGCGACCGTATAGTTCCGTACATCCGCAATGTTAAACTCACCTCACTACCTCCTTGTCAATGGCCCCGAACAGAACGTGCACATTTTGATAAGACGAGTTTTTTTTCAGCTGTTAATCTCAAGTCGGCAACAACGCCAAGTGTTCTTGGAAAGATAACAGTGAACTTTGTTCAATATGAGACATGACGAGACTTGGTGGGAGCGCAAGCCCTCACTTCCCCGTCCACAGTGTTGAGAGAGTGAAGGAAGACAGGTGGGTTCTAAATCACACCGTGTACACCCTGACCAACGAAGTACCAATATGTATATATTGTGATGACGTGATCGGTGTGTGGGAGGGATCACTAACTACAGCATAGTACAGTCTGTATGGACGTAACTTGCCTCTGCGATAGCTCTTGACGCTCTTGGATTCAGTGTGTTCATGGATGAGTGTGGTACAGTTTCCTGAGCTGGATTTTACTGAAGAATGTAGACTTCTATATTACTGTCTGTGCTGTAAATTGGGCTGAGTTTATATTTATATTTACACAACTGGGTAAAAATGGCGATCTCGATGACTATCTTGGTGACATGTGTTATCCACCTCCTGCTGTTGTCTGATAGTGGATTGATAAAAGCAACAACAATATTAACGTCGACACCGACAACAACATTGTCAGCATCACATTCAAGCACAGGGACATCGCCGAAAACTAGTCCAAGTGCTACAAGTTTAAAGAGTTCAACCTCAACCTCAACCTCAACCTCAACAAAGTCAACAACAATCCAACCGCCAACAGCACATTCAAGCAAGGGTTCGTCGCATGGTAAGAGTTCTAATGGTTTAACCTCACCGTCGACAATTTCGTCAACAATCCAGCCGTCAAAATTGCTTTCAAATACAGGGACAACGCCAAAAGCTACACCAGGATTAGCGAGCAATACTACACCGAAAAGCCTGACAGCGTCTGGACCAAGCACGGTAAATAGTAACAGCACAACCTCCTCTACTGCAACATCTACGTCTAATACCAGCTCAGTTACACCTTCTTCAACAGTCAGCTCTAGCATATCCCCAACAACTTCTACCACAACGGCTACATCCTCAACCCGTCGACCCACGACGACAGCCGCGACAACTGCCATAGCCCTATCTGAGAAGAACAAGCAGCTTGGATATTCCATCGGGGCTATACTGGCTGTGTCTGTTGTTGTTATAGGACTGGTTGCCGGGCTCACTGTGGTGTTAAATACACGTAGGATGGCTAAAGCCAAAAATATGAAGTCTAACGGTATTGAAGAAGGTGGCTCAGGAGTAGTGAATCGGGGATATGTCAATGACGGTAACGAATTGGAAACCCTGAACTAAAAACACTTTCTATTGGAGATAACCGGTGTTGACGTTCCATGAAACTTTCTTCTGATTTTGAGACTCTTCATTTGACAAAATCAGTGGAACCTCGTATACCTGGGGAACACAGTGTACAGTAACAGTATAACGATTGACAAGTGTCTGCATTAGCGAACCATGGTATACATGGTATGGTCCCATACAGACGTTCACACAGTAATGCTCCTGCTGGCGGGGTCTCGGATTAAATGGCTTCAAAGTAACACAGTATCACTGTACTATCATCCGATTGATATATATATATCAAATATCTCAACGTTTGAGAAGCCGGGGGCTATACAATTCTGTTTATCTTCCGAAAATATTCGTACAATATTTACAGATTATAAATAGTATTAACCATAGAGTCTCCAGGGTAACAAGAACATCTAATCAGGTTCCATGAAGTAGGTGACATCATTTAGTTGTGCTGTCATGGTATCCGATTACATCATAATAGTTTACCTTTTGTGATGCAATGCCATTGTAACGATGTCTCCAAAGATCGTAGGGTCGTTTTAGTGCATTAACTACTGCAGGCAAAATTTATTATAGCTAAGATTGCTTTATGCAGACCGACCCTGTGTGAATAAGGAACATGACTCTAGTTGATGACTGGTGATTCCCGTGCCTCTCAGTCTCAGGCTATACTTCATAGATGTGAAACCCAAAAATATGACTTTTCTTTTTCCATTTGTTGTTTGATTGGTTTAACTGGTTTTATGCAATCAGTTTTAAGAACATTTTATTCTTACAAGCTAAGTTTACAATAGTGGTGTGTAAAGTAGAAAAGAAAATACTATTTAGGTAGAGGTTAGAGTTACCTGCCCCTGTCTCATGTACCGTTTGGAAACGAGGAACAAATAAAATATTTGTCAGCCATGAATTAGATTTACATGATAAACAAGGGGTGTATATCTTCTTGTACGTAGTGTGCATATCACCCTGTATGGATGACCGGTGGTGCCAAAAATGGTTTAGTTGATAATTGTTTCTTGGGCACAATATGATTGCTTTTGTTCTTTTTATATGCAAAAATCAAAATGTGTGAAAGGTCAGTTAATAAAAGTTCGATTACTAGTGATTGGGAAAACAGTACTATATCTATTATTGGTTATGGATACGTTACTCACGTTGTTATTGTAAAATATCTAAGTCTAATGTTGTCGCAAACTGATCTTTCAGGTTTGGCCTTTACTCATCATTTTTGTTCAAAATATATTAAACTTTTGCCAACCCGCCTCTTGCACTTTGACTCAACACTTATGTTTAGTTTTATTGGACCCTTTGACACCCATGTTCCAGAAATCTGTGAAAATACGTTTTCATAGAAGCCACGGCACTAATGAAGGCGAAACATGCTTTTTTAAATAGTGATGACATTTAAATATGAATTTATCCAGCAGAACTAGAACTATAACAGACCAGTGATAACTCATTATATTGTTGTTCTATTCTATTTATTGGGATACGATGACATCTGTCATATTGTGGCACATCACTGTTTGATACTGATCATACACACAAGGCCATGATGTAGCTAGAATCTAGCGGTCGAGATTCATTATTCCTTATGAATGAGTAAGAATGTATGTTTGTGCTTTATGCTCTACAGATGAGAATGTGTATGGTATTAGAAGGATATTCTCGTTAGAATGTACACATGTATATAAGAGCTCATAATATACTATAATACTGTATGTGTTGTTGCAGGTGTATAAATATTGTGAAAATTGCATAATTTGTTTCTTATTTGTGAATACTTTGTCGCCCGTATTTAAATAAAAATATTTGAATAACAATGGGTATTTGAATATCAGTGGGTATTTGAATAACAATGGTATTTGAATAACAATGGGTATTTGAATAACAATGGGTATTTGAATATCAGTGGGTATTTGAATAACAATGGTATTTGAATAACAATGGGTATTTGAATATCAGTGGGTATTTGAATAACAATGGGTATTTGAATATCAGTGGGTATTTGAATAACAATGGGTATTTGAATAACAATGGGTATTTGAATAACAACAGTGGATGTCTTTGTAGGTTAATGTGGACTCCCTTTGACAGGTAAGGTCCAGTGTTTTGTAGTATTTTGTACTGAAATAAGCTCATGGTGTTCTAATCATAACCATCCCATTTTGCATGTGGGATATCAGCATTATTTACAGTCTCTTGAAGGAAGCCAATAAAATGTACAAACTTGAAAACAATTTATGCTCAGTTCCCCAAGGATGACAGCATAATAGGACAATGTTTTATCGTGAAATGTACAACGCGTCATTCGTCATTGCTATTTGTGATTTATCAATGCTCATATGGCTGTTTTTGGTGATCTCATATAAACTTTGTATCGCTTTCCAGGCAAGGTGTGGCCAGACATTATTTACACATGTTGTGTCAGAGCATTAGTGTCTACTCAGAGTGAGTGATATTGCCATTTGTCTTAGTAACGATTGAGCACGATTTCTGGCCTGCCTCGTATATAACCGTGATAAGAGTCTCCAGTCCCTCAGAAACGAATACGCCTCACATTTTCTTGGTCTCGGTATAAGTTATGATAAATGAAAGGCTTTGTTAAATGTTTTTCGAGATGCTGTTTCTCGAAAAGATTATTATATCAGTTACAGAAATATATAATAATATTTTGTATTATATTTTAAACTTATTTTAAATGTGATGTATCCTGTTAGTCACCTACAGATCACCAGTACGTTCGTCTCTTATTTAAAATCTTTTTCGCTTTTTAAAGTTTTTGTAATTTTCTAAATGCTGCAGTTATAATTGTTAGGCCAAATGCTCTCATTGATATGGCATTTTAACTTTCATTTAGTACATAATGTTTCTACTATCAGTGTAAAAACACTTGACTTTGGGAGAACTATTAATTAAAATCTATGAATGGCATTTAGAGTGAGTGAGTGAGTCTAGTTTTACTCCGCTCACAGCAATATTTCAGCTATATGGCGGAATAGCGTTTAGAGTGAGTGAGTGAGTTTAGTTTTACTCCGCTCACAACAATATTCCAGCTATATGGCGGAATAGCATTTAGAAGTGATGCACTTATATGGCATAAACATTTATGGATGTGAACTTCTTCATTGTAAGGAACAGGGCGTTTTGGAGTACATTATTCTCTCTATGGGCAGGGGTGGTGAGGTAGCCTAGTGGTTAAAGCGTTGGCTCTTCACGCCGAGGACCAGGGTTCGATTACCACTTGGATAAAATGTGTGAAGCCCATTTCTGGTGTCCCCCGCCGTGATATTGCTGGAATATTGCTAAAAGCGGTGTAAAAACATACTCACTCACTCACTCACATATTGTCTGAAGATCTTGGTTCCGGTTTGTCTCCACTCATGCTTGAGAACAATGAACTCCTTGCTAACACTGTTAGCACTGAATCAATGCTGTATATTATGTTGGCTGATGAGTATGGTTTTACGCCGTTTTTAGCAATATTCCTGCAATGTCGAGGCGGGGGACACAGAAATGGGCTTCACAAGTTGTACCCATGTGGGGAATCGAACCCGGGCCTTCGGCGTGACGAGTGAACGCTTTAACCACTAGGCTACCCCACCGCCCCATATTATGTTGGATATAACAGTAGTGATATTCCTGTTGTTTCATGGAGGCCATTCCCAGTGAAGATTCAGGTTAGAATTGGCCTTTAGCAACCCATTCTTGCAATAACAAGTGACTACCTTAACTCTTATACCGTAACATAGACTTACTTTTCTGAGTACATTATTCTGTCTGTGAGGAACATGATGTTTAGCAGCATATAGTCTACTCTCTTTGAGGAACATGACGTTTCAGAGTATATACTACTTTTCGGAATATATTCTTATCCATCGTCAGGTGATACAGAATTCTGAAGTTGACATCCTTCAATATTTGCCCCTTTAACCTGTGAGGTGGCCGACATTACAATGTAGCCGCTAGCTTTACAAGATAGCATTGTCATACAGAACGTTCTAGAATGTTACATGATAATCTGCTTGTTCTCAGTGAGGGGCAGTGTCACCTCGCACATTTCGTGAATGGTATCAGTTCAACACTTGCATGTTGCGGCAACACCAAATGACATAACACTAACAATAGACCAGACCAAGTTTCTTTCTTGTTTTACGGATTTTTGTCCTCAGTAAACCTATAGGCAGGAGAGAATTTTTTTTTTAATCACCAGTCAAAGTAAAAACCCACAAGAGTTTCCATGTTAACTCTTTGGGTTTGTTTATATCAACTAAAAATAATTTGAGTGAGTTTAGGTTTCACACTGATTTCAATAGTATTTCACTAATATCACATTAACATTTGGATTTTATCTTTTGATCCGGGATAATTAATTAAAACAAGAAATAAAATTGGCCTGCCCTTATTTTATAATGTAAAAACTTAATTTATTGACGTAAACATTATAATTATAGATGTAAACATTACATTGAGATGAGAATGTGTTCTGCAACACTATAAAACGTAAACACTATCTGTATGTATAGATAGAAACACTAAATTTATATATGTAATCATTAAATTCATATACGCAAACACGAAACTGAGATAATGTGTTTGAAATACGAAATTTGTTTACAGGTTTGCAGGAAGCGTCATTTTATCGCTTCAAAAACCAATTTCACTTGGAAATGCCCCTATCCTTTCTCTTCCACTGCCAGGTTTAGTAAAAGTCGGGTTCTGTTATTGGGGTGGTGTGATATTGTAGCGTATTCCCAGATTTATCTAAGTTGAGTGTTCAAATTCATCTCCGAGGTGAAACATGTAGCCTCGAAGTACGAAATGGAGAGCGCAGATATCTCCTCCAGAGACATTTACCCCGGATATAGTGAATGAGTATGGTTTTACGCCGCCTTTAGCAATATTCCAGCAATATCAAGGCGAGGAAAATGGCTTCACATTGTACTCATGAAATGGGCTTAACACATTGTACCCATGAAATGGGCTTAACACATTGTACCCATGAAATGGGCTTAACACATTGTACCCATGAATGATCTTCACACATTGTGCCCAGGGGGAATCGAACCCGGGTCTTCAGCGTAACGAGCTGACGCTTTAACCATTAGGCTACCCCAACGCCCCTACCCCGCATATCACGATGTGGAGTGCACAGATATTTCCCCGATATGACGAAGTGGAATTATCTCATCCCGATAGTACGAAGTCAAGTGCACTTCCACCAGTTAAAACTACGTCGAGTGCTCAAATATATCTCAGATGACGACAGCTGAAATGGGGGCTGTCGTGGATTGCCCGCTGTATTTGTATTTCAATGGGTAGTAGGAAGTGACAAATGCAATACTAAGTTTCTAGGAAGTCTGGCACAGAACTAGCTACACAATGGTTTATTTGTAACATATAATGTGCGTATCACGTTTGTATCACATGCTCCACTTATCTAGGCTGACACACTTGTTACACACGTGTACGTCAGTTCCATAGTATTACTCAATAGATAAATAGTCCAAATGTCAAGCCCTTGCCCTGTACAAGAAAGTACCTTGGTGACTCACTAAATTATTTTTTTTATATTGTCAAATGTTGAAAAATATAATCAACACACTATTAAGATCGTATTGCTCAAAGCACACAAAATCACTGGACCCAGAACCGGCATGTATGGACTGGTTTGTTCGTGTTGGTGAGGTAGTGAGTGGGTAGTGTTTTTTGCGCCGCTTTCAGCCATACACACGACGGGGGGTACAGAGAAATGGGCGTCACGCCTGATACCAATCTGGGCACTCGCACCCGTGTGTCGAGCATGAAGAGGGTGACCACCATACCACCTCAGTAGGTCCTTTTATAAGTGTATGTTATATACTGATGGTAAAAAAATGTTATGGTTATAAAGACGTGCATGGACTTAGCATGAGCTGTAACATGTACTTCCAGATTAAACCGACCTTGTGAGTGAGTGAGTGAGTGAGTATGGTTTTGCGCAGCTTTTAGCAATATTCCAACAATATCATGTCAAGGAACACAAAGAAATGGGCTTTATACATGGAACCTATATGGGGAAACGAACCCGAGTCTTCGGCATGACGAGCGAAGATTTAACCACTAGGCTACCCTACCAACACCGTCGTCACAGGGAAACATTAACATGACGCAGATTAAGAGTATGTGAGGGGCTAGTGATTAAGGCGTTCGCTCGTCACGCTGAAGACCCGGGTTCGATTCCACACATGGGCACATTGCTAAAAGCGGCGTAAAACCCAACTAACTCACTCACCTAAAGTACATGAAGTGTCGTGTTTACTGTACATGTGCAAGTTCCCTTTATGTTCTAATATAGACTTGAGATATAAAACTTGTTCCTATTCCGTATAGTCTAATGTGGTCATGCAGTAGCAGATACTCGATCTAAAAGTAGCGGGGTAAGTGCATTCCTCTGTCATGTTATAGGTAGGTTGATAGACATCATGGCGAGGCCTAGTGAGATTAGGTAACCTATGTGTCCATTCACAGTGTTAACTGACAGATCCAGCACATCCTGTCTTTCATGCTGAGCCCACGTAGTACGGTACGCAAAAAATAAACTAGAACAAATACAGATAGTCTCACAGACCATATTATTCAGTCCAATCTGCAATTCAAAAGCAACAAATGGAGCAAGTTTAGATTTCCTTCGGGATTTGATGATAAATATAATAATTCATATGTGCGTGTGTGTTGGTGAGTGTGTGTGTGTGCGTGTGTGTTGGTGTGTGTGTTGCTAGTATTTGTATTTATTGTCCCTTGTGACACAGTCATCATTTTCGTAATCTGACACGCTTGCAAATTCATCTTAAAAGGTATTCAATTAGAACAATTATGAATGTTCCAGAAGTTTTGAATCATTCAAACATGCATTTGATACACTTTTGCTAAATGAACCATGACAAATTCCAGGAACCGTTCCTTACATGACAATGACTATCACACAGCAAAGCACGTACCGTAAAACGTCAAATAAATGCAATAGAAGGCGGACGTAATGTTGCCCGTTAGTCCAGTCGGTCTACAGGAGGTATCAAACATGATAAGCACTAAATATGTCAATAGGTAAAGGACGTCTTGAAATGAAGACTTCAGTTCCAGGTTCGAACACGGAGTACCGTTAATGCATCCTTTCCAAGCACCCGTATATCAATAGAATGGATGCATTCTCTTATTCTACGTTGTCCAGGCACCGTATGCATCGCCCCAGCATCATGTACTCCAAGAGGTTTCGGCATTTCCAAAGAGACGATCTAGAGACTGGTGCAATTTAAATACATGTACTGATAACATACTTTAAACTTCCCTGACAAGCCTTTGTTTCTGAATATTTTACAGCTACAATAGTTCTTTTTAAAGTTGCTGGATATATTTTGGAAGAGGCGGCCTGCTAATATGTATTCCAATACCAGTTTGAATCCATAGCTTTGAACTGACTATCGAATATCGATCGATCATGGATAAATATCGGAGAAGTAAATTTGAACAGAAATTGAAAAAAAAAGTCCAAAAGAATTCAAGATGTTTCACATTACCAAAACAGCGTCGTGAGCACACTTCAGAAGCTGTTTTGACAAAAAGATATATTATCTGTGTATTATTTGTGTAAATTAAAACTTTATTTCATCCCAATAGTTTTAGTACGATTTTATCGATGACACATTTTTCATCTCGATAATCGTTGATAATTCTTTTCATCGACGATATTTATTGACTTTTAGCCGGCCCTGGCATGGACTATACAGTTATTCGGGTACGTGTGGCATTGGCTATATGGAGAAGTAGCCAAGGTATAGACTTACACACTGTCATTGTCCACGAACACGCAACTTGGCTTCTTTACCGGTTGAACGTTGACTAATCATTAGGTAGGTCGACATGCCCGATTGGACTCACAGCCAAGAGTCGGCAAGACAACATTGCAAACAACGGAATCACACCGAGGAACATGTTTTAGTCGCCAACTGGCGGTAACTCAACAACGACACCGGGGTTGAAATTTGAAGTTTTCAAAGGAATTCTTTAAGAGAAATATTCAATATGGCGCCAGGTGTGTATATATTGACGATTTGGTGTGTGTTTATGTGGACGGGAGGGCTACAGTCTATGACTACCACCCCATCGTCCAGTACTGAAGCAACGACCACGAACATAGCTGGTGGCCAAACGTCCAGCGCTACTCCTTCTTCCGGAAGTGTAACAACGACCACGGAAATGACATCCACTCATTCCGGAATTGTAACAACAACCACGGATATGACATCCACTCCTTCCGGAATTGTAACAACGACCACGGATAAAACATCCACGCCTTCCGGAATTGTAACAACAACCACGGAAATGACATCCACTCATTCCGGAATTGTACCAACAACCACGGATATGACATCCACTCCTTCCGGAATTGTAACAACAACCACGGATATGGCATCCAATCCTTCCGGAATTGTAACAACAACCACGGATATGGCATCCAATCCTTCCGGAATTGTAACAACAACCACGGATATGGCATCCAACTTCCTTCCGGAATTGTAACAACAACCACGGATATGACATCCACTCCTTCTTCCGGAATTGTAACAACGCCCACGGATATGACATCCACTCCTTCTTCCGGAATTGTAACAACAACCACGGATATGGCATCCACTCCTTCTTCCGGAATTGTAACAACAACCACGGATATGGCATCCAATCCTTCCGGAATTGTAACAACGCCCACGGATATGACATCCAATCCTTCCGGAATTGTAACAACAACCACGGATATGGCATCCAATCCTTCCGGAATTGTAACAACAACCACGGATATGGCATCCAATCCTTCCGGAATTGTAACAACAACCACGGATATGGCATCCAATCCTTCCGGAATTGTAACAACAACCACGGATATGGCATCCAATCCTTCCGGAATTGTAACAACAACCACGGATATGGCATCCAATCCTTCCGGAATTGTAACAACAACCACGGATATGACATCCGCTCCTTCCGGAATTGTAACAACAACCACGGATATGGCATCCAATCCTTCCGGAATTGTAACAACAACCACGGATATGGCATCCAATCCTTCCGGAATTGTAACAACAACCACGGATATGACATCCACTCCTTCCGGAATTGTAACAACAACCACGGATATGACATCCACTCCTTCCGGAATTGTAACAACAACCACGGATATGGCATCCACTCCTTCTTCCGGAATTGTAACAACAACCACGGATATGACATCCACTCCTTCCGGAATTGTAACAACAACCACGGATATGGCATCCAATCCTTCCGGAATTGTAACAACAACCACGGATATGGCATCCAATCCTTCCGGAATTGTAACAACAACCACGGATATGGCATCCAATCCTTCCGGAATTGTAACAACAACCACGGATATGACATCCGCTCCTTCCGGAATTGTAACAACAACTACGGATATGACATCCACTCCTTCCGGAATTGTAACAACACCCACGGATATGACATCCACTCATTCCGGAATTGTAACAACAACCACGGATATGACATCCACTCCTTCTTCCGGAATTGTAACAACACCCACGGATATGGCATCTGCTCCTTCTTCCGAAAATGTAACAACACCCACGGATATGGCATCTCTTGACCCGAGCATGACTTCCCCTGTAGACATGAACGGCAGCGGAAGTACCAATCCTCTGACTTCATCGATCACAAACTCAGAAATGGCGAGTTTCACCGCTTTGAACCACACGATGGAAGTTTCAACCGTTACCCTAACTGCAACATCTAGCATGGGAAACGCTTCTACAAACGATACTACGCCAGCGACTCCGACATCTACGACAAGGCCCTCTGTGAGTTTTACAGAAAAGCAGCAACGCCTCGCCATCTCGGTATCAGTCTTTGCTGGCGGAGCTATCATCCTCATAGCAATCATAGCAGGTATACATTATTGTCTTTATAACAAACGTTTGAACTCTTCCCTAAGACATACAAAGGTCACCAGGGAAGAGGCAGTGTTGTCACAGGACAAACCAGCTGGAGCGAATTCGATGACGTTCCTACAACCTCCATGTCTTACAACAAGCCGCTGGAATATTAATAGTAGCGCTGATACTTTGTGTCGTCATTACGTTCAGCTTCGTCTTTTGGACTCGAATTTCTACTCGATATTGGCCATACAACGTTGGGAAACCTAAAGGTAATCATCGAGCGGTCATCTAAGCGCTGTTTAATTTCAAATGAGGCATACATAATTGTACTATTCTTAACGTCAAGGCGTTTTCTAAATGGAAATATTTCTTTCCCGTTTTTCTGTAATGCAGTGGTAGATATAATGCTCCTGTTGTGTGCAAAAATGGAATCCTATTGTAACTTATTAAAGTCAATGGTTACTGCGGGTCTTCCAGCCTCTTAACATCGCTTGATGGCGTAAATGGGACCATAGCAACTCAATGTATACTGACCGAACGAAATAAGGGAACAGTTATAAAGGGAAGCTTATATTGGCGTTGTATTTGCCCTGTAGATCACGAGTCTAACATATATGGCTATGTAATAGCAGGAACTTGTCCTTCGTCAGGGTCTGCTTCTGCGACAAGACACTTACAAACATCCTTTAAAAATACAGTCCCACCCAGTTCCCCCGATAAACAAGGGGATTTGTGCATGAGATCACGTGTAACCTTGGAGAACACGGAGCCTCTATTGCCAAATGTGACATAAACCTGCCCTCACGGAACACCTCAGCCCCTCCACCTTCAGAGGCTCCAGTTTTCTGTCAAAAAATATCTCGTGTAAAGTTTAAGAAGAAAGTGATTACCATTACTAATAGTTGTATTTACTGTACATATTTTCGTTGATGTATTTAAGAAACATGGCTTCGTTTTACGTGAGTTCATAGGCCTATGAACGTTCATAGTACAGACCAACCGTATGAACCCAAGTGACTTGCTGCCATCCTTCTCTTCATGTACATATTTATTCCGATCCATCAACGTCACCATCGATGTGTGCTCTTTTACCTAGACGTCCCAATGAAATCAAAGAGTTACGATTGAATTAATAACCTCAAGACGGCTTATAGATTTACACCGTTCATGATTATGGTATGCGTGATTTTGTATGGTTGAACATAGCGGAGACTCTACAGTAACGACATGATCGCTCGCACTTCACACACGACCATGCGATCTCTGAAGTGCCAGATCGTCATTTGAACAAGACCAGGAATTCACGATCAACTTGTGGACTATGGCGGCCGAGAAAGGACATCGCATTAACATATCACCATGTTCAATTTAACAATTTAACACAAATGTTAAATCGTGGATTTTTCAGCTTTTAAACCCATATGTAGAACAGTTTTCGCTTAACTTCAAATTCTTTTATGCTCTATATTTTGTATGTTCCATAATACGTCTTTGTTATAAAAGCGATTTTGTATTCGTTTTGTATTCTGTAACAGTTTTGATTATCTGATGTAAAAATAATTCCCTTACAGTCCATAAAGATTTATTTATCTTTTCCTACCTCTTCATAGCCATTACCCGTGAAGATCAGGGTTAGAATTGATCTTCAGTAACCCAGGCATGTCGTAAGAGGCGACTAACACGATCTGGTGGTCAGGCTCGCTTGCTTGGTTGACACGGGTCATCGTATCCCAATTGCGTAGATTGATGCTAATGCTGTTGATCACTGGGTTGTCTGGTCCAGATTCGATTATTTACAGACCCTCGCCATAGAGCTGGAATATTGCTGAGTGCAGCGTCAAACTAAACTCACTCACTCACACTTCATAGCCATGCGTAGCAAAGTGTTCGCCAAGGAATGGCCCGAGTCATGGTTACAAGGCAGAATTTACGTAGTGCATATTGCTGTACATCGATCTGTCTGTGAATAGGCGAGTAACTTATAAACCTGCCAAAAAAACTGAGTTTGTAGGTGATCGGGTACTTGTACTACTCTATACGTAACATAGTTGAGAATGTTTTTTGTTTTTTCAACCAAACAAAATACAGGACTCAGCTCAAAAGGAACTTGAACGTCACACTATGCACCACCGTTCCTAATGGTTGTATCCGCGTTTACTGGGTATCAAGGCCGGGTTTAGTTTGGGGTACAGACCCTGAAACAAACATACCCAACACACCCAATGTAAGTCTACAATATGTGGCAAGTCTAGATTACCAGTTTTAAATGAAGAAAGCTTTCTGGGCTCCTTTTTATTATATTTTATGAGTATAATTTAGGAACTGTTTTTCTGTTGTAAATGTTCATTTCAGAGACTAGATGTTAGTCTAAGCCCGGTTGCTCTATATCTGGAATAGTGATTAGGCCATATATAAAAATATTCTTGTTTCTCATTACCGCCCGACCCAAAAATTCGACCCGACCCTAAGATCTTTTATATATTTTAACAGTAGAGAAAATGCAACTTTGACTTTCAAAATGTGCATGAATTTTTTACACTTCTAAGTTTTAATTTTCTATCGGAAAAAAGCTGTAAATGTTCACAGAAATCAAGGGATTTGGGACATAAAATAAAATAAAATAAAATGTAAAAACAAAATCCGCCCGCCCGATCCATATTTTGTTTGAAGAAAGTGATGAGAAACAAGAATATTGTTTATGTGGCCTTAACCGGGTAGCTGCCACTTCGGTATGATTAACGTCCAAGAGGTGTACAGGTCATTGTTGGGGTGGTATATTTCAACAGTTACCCGGAAGTGGCCCATGGTGACCCACGTTGTACGAGCGTTGAAATATGATAGTGATTGGCTGACAGACTTATCGCGTGGTGTAATGTTAGTTCGGATATATAGCTGTAAGATAAGGAAACCTTTATAATAGTAGAAACTTAATACATTCGCACGAAGAAAAGAGCACGGGTTCTATAAACGTTACTTATGCTCATTAATTATAACCGATCACAGTAATGTTTCCGGTACACCTCTCAAGGTGGGCAACGATTCAAATCTTTAGGCGACACTTGTTCTAATTTTTCGCGTTACAGGTGCCAAAGCCTCAAATCTGACAAGGGTTTGGCGTGAAAAATATACAGATACACATGCAAGAATGAAACAAAGAAGTGATTGTTACCTTTTTCAAAATACCCATTGATCCCATTCATTGTATATTCCGGCAACCACTGGCCATTGTGAACACAGGGGCATGTAACGCTAAAAACTGCCATCAAGGTATGTACTGTCACTAACGGGGTCTTAGCACTATATAAAAGGAAAGGGATGTAACGAGGTCAACGCACCAAGTTCGTTGCAGGGCGAATTCAACAATGCTCACTGTATTTATCCCATTAAAGTATGCACACATTTCAAGCCAATAGATTTACCTACAGAATGAGACATACAGCACAAAAATCGAAGCAGTACTTTGGAAGCTAGGGTCTTCGGAAGCTCGAAAGATCGTGATTTCTCGATTCCGAGCCAAAATCCCTGCTCAGAATTTGTAGCGGTAACTCACCCATTTTCTTGTTTATTTCACAGTATATACAAACGACATTCACCACAACATGTTGAACTGATGGCACCTGTCAGCACACTAATCACCATTCTTTCGGAGACACTTACATCTCACTGTCATAATGAGTTTACGTACATTTATTCATCGCAAACAGAATTGTGTCGTGCCCGTTCGCCATTGACGACCTTGGCCTTAACCTAATGCAGACGCAAACGAACACGCACAGAGTGTAGAACGCACAAACACACACCCACGCACGCACGCACGCACACACATTCCATGAAACGCACACCCACATAGTGCACACGCCAACACTGTAAATTGCACACGCACATGTTGATATTGTGTCAGTTCACTGATTGGAATACTGGTATGGGAAGACTAAAGTCTCCTATATATACACTGATAAACCCCCTTTAACACTGTTACTGCAATTTCCTTCTCTTTGACGAGTTGCGTAAATGAAGTGTTCACTGCTTTAACTGCACCTGGCATTTAGAGTTGTAAAACTAAACTCACTCACATACTCATTTAAATTGAATTGCATTGGCGGAGCCAGGGGTGGGAGGTGTCAGGACAGGGGGTTCGAACACCCTTCACCCTACTTTGAAAATTCCTGTATCCGCCTATTGTATGACACCAACACCCACACTATCCAATCAACGTCATTCCCATAAATATATGGGGCACTGGGGATATATTCTTAATTTTGAATTTTCAGTAATATTGCAGTGACCAACGTGTGTCAAATATGCAAAACATCGGTAATGATTATGTTATAGACATCATTTTGGATTCAGAACTGGTCACTGTTGTGACTTGCTGTCTCCCTTCCGACTGCGTTGCGGGGCGGTGGGGTAGCCTAGTGGTTAAAGCGTTTGCTCGTCACGCCGATGGCCCGGGTTCGATTCCCCACATGGGTACAACTTGTGAAGCCCATTTCTGCTGTCCCCCGCCGTGATATTGCTGAAATATTGCTAAAAACGGCGTAAAACCATACCCAGCTCAGCAGCCTACTGCGTTGCGATACAGTCTTTCTATTGACCTGTTACTTAAATCTGTAATAATATATTTCTCTTACGCCTGTATATTATATTTTCTAATGTTTAGAAGATATGGAATGATATATAGATGTTTACGTTATAAAAAATATATATATAGCCATATTCGTTTATTCCTTGCGCAAACATTTAGCAATAATACAAGGGCAAGTAACTCTAATTGACAGGAAGTTGAAATCCATCATCAAGCGCGCACTTAATCTTCAAAGATGTCGTTGTTTTCCAATCCTACACAAGCATTCGGCACTAATCCCGCTACAACTGCTACCACGGGGTTTTCATTTGGTGGAGCGGTGACGACATCGGCGCCAGCATTTGGTGGTTTCGGCAGTACTGCTACAACAGCAGCACCCACGGGCTTTTCAGGTTTCGGGACAGGAACACAGGCAACCTTAGGGCAAACCACAGGGTTTTCCGGGGGCGCTGCACCGGCAACGACTACAGCAGCGACAGGTTTCAGTGGTTTCGGGACTAACCCCGGCACATCCACCACAGGTACCAATAATATCACGCTATCATACTGTAACTGACACCAGTCAAAAATTTCTGTCGTGGTAAGAACAGGTATTATCCTCGTGTTTCGGGTTTTCGGATGATCATGATGATAAGATCATTCGTTGTTTACTCGATTATTTACAGTCAGTAAAACGCCACACTCAGCAACATAAAAGAGTTCCTAAGGTACACCCCCGCCTATTTTATAAGGTACTTTTCTTTACTTGTATATCTTTGTATTTTTGGGCAAAATTAGGTTGGGAGTACGTAAGGAACTCTTGCCCAGCAATAGTTCAGCTATAGGACCGCAGTCTGTAAGTAATGGAGCCTGAAGCTGACAATCAAGTGATTGATATCATGAGCACCAATGTGGGATTATGATAAACATGCATGAACTAAGTCACTGTGCCTGACCTCCTCATCCTGGTGATCACTCTTACAAAAAACATGGACCCCTTAGTTGTCATAATTGTACTATTGAAGTCAACAATTTATATAACATTATTACAAATTACAATGACAATTGTTTGAATTCTTTTCTTTAAAATGGCCAGTTTGTATCACAAAATATCAAATTAGCATGGATACAGTGCCATATCTTCTTGTGTACAACGTGGCACTCAGATTATTGCTATTGACACACAAGAACAAACCTTAGTTAGTTACTAAGTTAGAGAATGGAGTGAGTGTCTTATGCCATCATGGAATGTGTAACCCAGTATTGATATTGTAAAATATCAGTAAGTGGCCAGCTTGCCATGAACATGGTCAGTTGGATGTGAGAGTGGTGAGCATTGGTTCGTAATCATTATCATGATAATGGTCATGTTGCTGATGTTGCTGATGTTTAACAAGCATATTGAAATACTATAGTACCAACAACAATCTATAACTACATAAGTCGGTGCTATGAACATTGACCAGTGTTCACAGATGTTCAACTCGTGAACTTTATATTTTTGTTCACTAGATTGGCCTTTTACATATTATAATTTTTTCCAGGTTTCTCAGGATTTGGGGGAACGGCGCCAACAACAACTACTGCCTCTGGTAAGGTTGGAAGTAATGCATTTCTAGATATGCTTAGGACCACAATAATTATGTTATGTGTTTAACACTGTAATCTGGTACTTGGTCCATAGAAATTATTGGCATTGCAGAGGGGCTTTTTGTTGTGTATAAATCATAAGGAATATTTCCTCAAATTCCATATAATTTTAAATGAATAATCAGTATCTTTTGGAAGAAAACAGTGTGATGCAAACTGATCATGATGATAAGTTTGATCGCCAGTAGTTGTTAGGAATACCTTACGTCATATTCCATCCAGGTTATCGGTGGCGTCCTTCTGACGCGTGTTATGTAAACTCACGTAATAAACCTGTCACGGGTCAAGAAAGCTTTGACTGTTTGTGCTTCTACCTGGCAGATGAATGTTTATGAGGACAAATTTGTTCTTGTAAATGTAGACTCTACTCTTCCATTGTCTAATATATTCTACATGCTATATCTATGTTATCATGGTAAATGGATTCTTACCTTCAACCAAATAATGATGTTTAATTCACACTTGTCTGGGTGTTTGGGTTACCATGCTTACCATAGAGATGTATCTTGCACAGAGGCCAATATTTGGTTCCAAGTCTTCAGCAAATTAGAGGTAAAAGTTATTTGGAAATAGTTCAGTAAACCGTGAATGCAACCAAGGCTGTTGACATATCAACGATCAGGGATTTACCTTGAGTCCTGTAAACCGTGAATGCAACCAAGGCTGTTGACATATCAACAATATTCATTTTTTTATCTCTATGTTATATTAAAACATTATTATACCTCTCTGTCCTACAAAAAGACAATCTTCTTGAAGATGTGAGGTTACAGTATTCATGGTATTGTAGAGTACAGGCTTATATGTCTGAGCCTTAATAAGTTATCTATTGGAAGACCTTGAACTTGGATTGGACCTCTTTATCCATACCTTTCACACAATAAAACAAAACCATGGTGATGGCAGTCACCTTGGTTTCAGGATTTATCATGAGTATTGACTTTGACAGGATTTACAGGATTCGGTGGATTTGGAACCACATCAGGCTTTGGTGCTGGAACAGGAACCACAACAGGCTTCGGTGCTGGAACAGGAACCACGACAGGCTTTGGAGCAGCTCCAGGAACAACAGGGACCTCCACAGGATTTGGGGGGTTTGGCACCACCGGATTTGGTGGTGCCACAACTGGACAAACTGGCTTTGGAGCAGGATTGTTTGCAGGTACAGCGTCAGATTTATTGCAAGTCTTTGAGGGGAGGGGGTGGAAGTAGGGAAGTGGTGTGTGTCAAAAAGGTTGGTGTCCATGTTAAACAGTGGCATGATATATCAATAGACTTGTACTTGTACCAGCTTTGGTCAGGACTAGGGGCGCTGGGGTAGCCTAGTGGCTAAAGCGTTTGCTCGTCACGTCGAAGACACAGGTTTGATTCCGCACATGGGTACCATGTGTTAAGCCCATTTCTGGTGTCCCCCGTCCTGCTATTACTGGAATATTGCTAAGAGCAGCGTAAAACTAAACTCACTCACTCACTAGTCAGGACTACAGCAAGCAGCACGACACACATACGTGCACATTCTTATATGTGCTGGTAGTATGCTAGTACCCAACGCTAATACCGTTTCATCGAACCATCCTTCCAGGAGGCCAGCAACCTCAGCAGCAGCAACTGCAACAACAACATGGTGCATCTGACCTCACCAACATGGCCATGGCGGTGTCTTTGCCGCAGATCTATGGTGATGAGAGAGACGCCATTATTGCTAAATGGAACCAGCTACAGGCCTGCTGGGGAACCGGGAAGGGATACTACAGTCAAAATGGCATGGTGGAGTTCAAGGCAGATAATCCCTTCTGTAGATTCAAGGTACAGTCCTAAGAATTCATCAGAAATGAATCCTTATCTTTTGGATGTGTTAAAATTGTATAGCGCTGGGTGGTTGATGGAATAATCAGTCAATCGATTGATCACACTGCGTTCATGACTCATAAAACTGCAATATAAACAGCATCTCTCAAAAGGAAGTATCCTTTGCGCAATGTTACGATTGTATCCCATTATTGCCCACATGAGTATTGTGATGGTTTACGATTACAATTGATTATTTATCGATTACTTCGCTCAGATTACTGATATGCTTATTGTGAGCAATAACCAGCACTGGAGATGATATATGCGTGATATGTGACTGGTATATATGCCTGGTGAGAAGTATACTTAGGCTCAGTATTATTCGTTACACTGCTATACTGAGTCTAAGAAACCCTAGTAGAAGGTCGCGTCAGCTAACCTTTGAGCCACCTATGACCGTCCAATCAAACGCGAGACGGTCGAATGGATTTAACCAATCAGACAACGACTACTTGTTAGGTTTCGGCGGGACTTACAAAACGGTTTTTGGATTTTCTCTTCCCTGGTCGCTGACACTGATCTATCAACAAACGAATATCCGCATAAAACACAGATATTTGACCTGCAGTATATACGCTTATGGGTTTCTAATGACATGGTTACTATATGCTTATATTTAAGATGACATCCTTGAATATTGACAAAAACGCTATTTTCAGCGACTGTTTATTCATTGCGTATGTATCACTCGGAATCGATCGTGCGGAAAATAGCATTCGGAATCGTTTGAGTTTTTTAGGTAAAGGTTCAAACGGTATGTGCGAATGTTTGGTAAGCTGTGTTCTCATTGGTCAGTCCAAAAGGTTAGCTGACACGACCTTCTACTAGGTTTTGTTAGACTCAGTATAGCAGTGTAACGAATAATACTTAACCTAAGTTTACTTAGACTGGGTGAGATAAATAGGGGAAAATCTTGTTTGTGTCACACATTGCGGAGATTGATACAAGTTTGAAACTTCACCATTTTAGACAAAATCCACTCAAATACCTTGCTATGTACTGCATGTGTTTGGTTTCCAAGGCGATAGGTTACCATGTGATACCAAGTGGGAGGAATGAGGATGGGTTGGTGGCGCTCATGTTGAAAAAGAAGCAGACGGAGGTGACAGCGGCTCAGCAAGGAATTGTTGACACTCTGCACAAGATGCTAGGCAGTAAACCCACTCTCTCCGTTTGTGTGGAGGGCATCAGACCACTCCCAGAGGACAGGTCAGGATATGTTTTGTTTACAAATCCTCCTTTCTTGTCTTTTTACTTAATTCAGTAATGAAAATACTTAATATGTTTATTATGTAGGTTATCATGGTAATCCTCTCCTATGTATAATTCTCCCCAACCGGTAATTATTTCTAATGTCTCTTTTGTCATGGTCTAAAAATACCTAGAAAAGTTTATGACATATGTTTAATTTGACCACCCACAAATGTGAAACATTCTTGTCAGCCCCCTGCTTTCAAGAAGAGACCTATGTTAACATGTCTTCACCAGTGCCAACTATAATCTATTTCCCTCTTAAATCTTTGCAGCAATACTGTACAGTCAGCCATAAACCGATATTGTAATCAGGGGTTCAAAAATCCCATCGCCCGGTGCCCAGGACAAGTCAGTTTTCATTTCGGGCAATCAAATAATGGTATCTTACTTGTCCGTGGGCTACTAGATAATTTCCACTTATGGTTTCAAACTGCAAATAAACTTGGATTTAATTTCATATCTGCTCAAAATGTAGCTATTAAATTTCGCAATGATAATAAAGTAGAGTTATCTTTCTTTGCTATGTATCACTTTTCAATAAATAGTCCAGTAAACATTAACATCAAATACCATGTTGATTGATTCTTTCATAATTACATCATCTTGATATTGTCATAAAATCAGGGCAAGTGGAAAATTAGTCAGGACAAGTTACTTTTTTAAAGTCACTTGCCCTGTGGCAAGTGGCTTTTTAAAACAATTTTGAACCCCTGGTAATGTAATAAATTTTTCCTTATCCTGACTCGTGCTTAATTGCTTGTCTTCTTCTTCTTGCGAAGTATAGTGGAACACTTGAATCCCCTTTTGAAGCTCCCTTTAAAAAAGTGGACGTAAAATCACTCACCCCAGTTGTCTCCCTTTCCCCCATCTTTTGGCGCGAAACGGGTCACATGATTGACCATGCTTGTTACTCTCTCCTTCTTCGCCCTAGTGGACGGTTGTGAGAGCCCCTGAGTCCGCTATACGGCATATATCCTTTGAATTTTTAGGCTTTTATACTAAATTAGACTGTATAAGGGCTTTATCAAGGATTTACCAACAATATGGTTTGAAATTTATTCTAAATTTGTCCGTTTTTCACGTTGTTGACAACATGTCTCAACTTCTTTACATTTCATGAAGACTTGCATTTCTTGCAGGTTTAGATTGTTGACTGCTGATCCGCATTTACTATGTCCTAACTGCACTTCTATATGTTCTTCCAGCCTCCGCTGTAATCTTTGTCAGCATTTATCTCAAATTGAATTATTTATATTCTGTTCATAGACGTGCCAAGGACAAATTGAGACGGCAATTACAAGTCATGTCTCAACAGGGTGAATGCGTTAATAACCGTGGGTTGTTGTCTGTCGAGGTACATCATTCCAGTGTGCTGCCGGTGACGCTCTTGCAGAGCAGAGAAATGAGGGTTCCGCCTTAGGAAAGATCATCTTCGCCTCCAACAATCCTCGCCGCAGTCCAAGAAGACCAGGACGCCCTGCCTGCTGTGAAGACTAAGCTGTCTTCAGATAAGTCTACAGTCAAGTCGCCAGTAGGCAGTGAAGAAGTCGAGGTCCTTCGCCGCAGATATCAACCCATCGGACGGGCAGACGCTTTACGCGATGAACCACCGATCCTCATCCCTGAAGTACGGGCGCAGAAAGGAGACGAGGTCTTCTTCTACACTGACGCCTGCAACTATATCAACGCAGAGTCAGACGGCCTATCTGCGCTGACTGCAACTACCAGAGAGGACAGGGAAGTCCTTAGATGACACTCAGCACTGTCAGATGCGGCCATCTGTACAACAACAGCAGTTATCAGCGCAGACCTTCAACCCGGCATCTTTATGCAGCAGTTTACCCAGCAGATGATGGACCTGATGGAACGTAGGTTCGCTCAGGAGAAGACTGCAGAGAAGCAGAGTCTGCAAGGAGGACTAACATCGCCTCTACACCTCAGCTGGATGAAGGACGCACTCCGCGGAAGAAAACGCTCGTGAAGGGAATGCCCAGGATGACAGCAACCGCTGCGTGATTTAATCCCCGCTGAAGGCATTCGCGAGAAGGACCACTGGTGAAGACACTCATGGAAACAAACAACCGACAACACACCGCGGCATTCGCTAAGGAAGCAACAATTATGAAGGAACTCCTGCTACAGACGAGGAGCATTCGAGAAGGCATCGCAGATCATCTTCATCATCGGACTCAGACAATCACCAGAGGTCTACGCGTACACCACGCAGAAGAGATTATATGCCTTCACGAAGGCATACATCTCACAATCACCTTCGCGCAGGTCTTCAGAAAGATCTTCATGGATCACATTGCACATACAGGTCTCCTCATAGATCACCAAATGCATCTTCAGGAAGGCATTTACGAATGCCTTCACACAGACCTCTTCATAGATCTCCATTCAGAGATTAGGACCAACAACAACGATCTTCAGAACAAGATGCATCTAGAGCTGAAAATAATGGTGGAATTATTTTCTCCGATACAGAGATTAAATCCTGGATGGCTAATGGATTGGAGCTTGCGTCACCACCTAAGGAGGATAATGAAGCATTCACGTACATAATGTCTAACGACGATTTTGACACGTTCACCCTTCCATCCATCAATCCTGTCTTGGATGTACCAGACAACTCAGTACAGCCTTCAAGAAGGCAACGAAGTACCAGAGTCAAAGTATACCACTTTTCAACGCTAAGAAGTTCTCTTCACCATATGGAACCCTTCACGAAGGCCCCAGAGATAGACGAGAACTACAAAATCATCAACCACTTCCATTGCAGGGAGCTGGCTCTTGTGAGGAAGGGGATAGCTTAACAGTTATCACTGGCCTGGCACTGCACAGTCCTCAGCGTGATATCGTTTTTTCCGATCATCGTAGTGAAGTATCAACTCTACAATAACTTTTGTGTATTCAACACAATCGGTTATGTTAAGGCGCTTCATTGAGACTGATGACTACAGTCTACAAGTATCAACATTAAGCAAGTATGGAACTTCAGCTGATCATCTGTATAAAATGGAGACTGCATTATCTTCAGTAAAGAAGAGAAAAGTCACAACAGCCAGGGAATCAGTCTACCTACATCGGTATTACGCGGCGAAATCTTTCGCACGTTTTCCACTCAGCCTGCTATACACGTGTTCACTCATGTATTCCGGGAAGTTACGGACAAGGCGTCGAAAAGTGTTGATGAGAAGAAATCAACGACTGCACCAGATTTTACAAGGATCTTTTTCCTGCAACACCGCTGACGTCACATCGCGGGAATCTGAGATGAATCAAATGCTGCAATCTGATTGGTCCATGAGAGACAACGCCTGTGCAGAAGTCAGGCACAGCTCACGGTCAGGAAGTTATCTACAATCGTAAACAACTTTTCAACGTGGGAGGAAGGCTCCATTTACAGTCCAGTTAGCAGGGTACAGCGTGATTTGACCGCCTTCACGGGTCATAAGGACCTTCCCCATCAGCAGTTTGAAGATTGGTAATCTGACGAATTGCAGAAACATACGTTTGATGATTTCTGCTCGAGGCAGCCAGTCTACTATAATTAGACTTCACAGCGATGGCAATTCCATTACATCTAGAGACGACGAATTATGCATCATCACTGCACTTGTGGCGATTCTGATGACAAGTCCTTTTGACATATTATCGGAAGATTGAAGAAATAAACTTCAAGTCATGATGCCAGAACCGGACATTTTGCTTCGCTGCCATTACGGACAAGGGTACCTACAACGTAGGATATGAGCAGATTTTTGGGAAGATGTTCATCTCACTGCAGAATCGCTTTGTCGTCTCAAAGGATAGTTGGGTCAGATACAAGCCATGGTATCTCAAGCACTACTCTCTCCGCTACTACTCACGGTTGGCAGAGCCTACTCAGTTTTTCTCATGTCAGCACAAGACATGACTCGCAGAGGAGGTCTACAATTGCACCCACTACAAGTGTTTGTGAACGCTTCATCTCAACCGCCTGGTCTCCTTAGGACTACCGGACGGATTGAAACCATATCTTCTATGGTGGACTAGGAAGTCGAATATTTGTGGAGGAACCTACTTATCAGAGCTGGAGTGCAACACTCATCTCTACGTTGATGCATCACTTCAAGGCAGGGAAGTTCACCTCGACAACGAAGTGACAGCAGGGAAATGGTCGAATCAGGAGCAGAGTCTGCACATCAACATGCTCAAGATGGAAGCAGTAATAAACGCCTTACTACACTGGTCCAGCATACTAAGAAACGCACAACTGATGATCCATACGGACAACTCCACAGTGGCGTTCTACATCAACAAACAAGGGTCAACAAGATCAAAAGAATATGTTAGACCTCAGCTTTCATCTATTCAGCATAGTAGACAACCTGAACATCGACATAAAAGCATCACACATTCCCCGGCCAGAAATGTGCTAGCAGACGCCCTATCCCGTCCAATGAATCCATCACCGACGGAGTGGATGTTATATCCAGAGGCGTTCAGAGACATCATTCAGACAGTAGGAGCCCCACTGGTAGACTTGTTTGCAACCAAGTTCAACAAACAACTACCAACATTCGTCTCTTCGTTTCCAGATCCACAAGCATGGGCAACAGATGCTCTAAGCATATCTTGGGAAGGACTAAACGCTTACGCGTTCCCTCCACCAGCACTAATACCGAAGGTATTACAGAAAATCAAAATGACGAACAAGTTACAACTGATTTTGGTCGCGCCTTACTGGCCAGCGAGAGAGTGGTTCCCCAACCTCATACAAGAAATAGGAAATCCAAATCTACTGATTCATCCACACACCAAGCAAGCACACAGAAACCCAACTATGTTTCAACTACACGCATGGAGCCGCATCACACTTGCTTGCTTGAGGAAAAGAGGATATTCCACCAGAGCGGCCAAAGCAGTAACTTTAGCCTTACGTGAGATCAACCCGCAACTTGTATGATGACAAGTGGCAAAGTTTTGAGAAATACGCCGAATAAAGGCTTCACTGCAATGGAAGCAACACATCCTCAAGTGGCGCGGAATATCTTTGTCATCTTAGACAGACAAAACGATTGAAGGGATCTACACTCTCTACATACCTAGCAGCCTTGAGCTCAGTTATCACGATGAAAACGGGTATAACTGACCAAAGTACCAGAGATACTGGCACTACTACGATCATTCAATTTGGAAGACCAACAAAGACAATTCAAGGCTCGGCTAGATCTCAATGTGGTTCTACAACATCTTACCAGTGAAGATTACGAACCACTAGAAAGGACATCATATGAGAATTTAACTCATAAAACACTGTTCCTCGTAGCCTTAGCTACAGCGGCAAGGATGACAGAAATTCATGCTCTAGACTTCGAACGAACAAGATTTGACACGCATCGTGACACAGTGCATCTGGGACTAAGATGGGATTTTATAGCAAAGAATCAACTGCCCGGTCAACCAGACAGGCAATTCCATATCCCAGTACTTTCGTTGATATTAGGACCACAGGATACGCAAGATCGATCCTTATGTCCAGTCAGAGCATTGAAAATATATCTACAGAGATCTAAATTGAGGGAGACGAAAATTCATGCCTTTTCATCCTTTATCTACGGAGACCCCTACAGAAGTCTCATACGCATAACTATATCAATATGGATGAGAGCCGTCATATTGCAAGCCTATAAAGCAGCAGGACTTGATCCTCCACGAGCCTCCAATCCTCATGAAGTCAGAGCACTGGCATCCACACTAGCTCTGCACGGAAACTGCTCCATATCAGCAATAATGGAGGGCTGCTTTTGGAGATCGGAGACGGTATTTGCCAACCACTACCTCAGAGACATGGCTACAGAGGATGTCTCCGGCATACACCAGTTTGGGCCTCTTGTTGTAGCACAACAATTGACGGTACCTCAAAGACGCTGAGATTATCTCACCCCTTTGTCACGTGACTTGCAAAAGCCAACACTCAGAAGAGTACGGTTTTAAAGTCCATGTGCACATCGAGGACAGACTAGCATGAGTGATGGACCCTGTACTTGTAAGGAGTTACTTGTACACGAAGTAGGGCCACTTCTCAAATGATGCAAGCATCAAGAGATGGAGTTGTATAAATCCACACAGAATGTCAGGAGAAGATTTCCAGGATAAATCTGACAAGTTGTGGTCCCCCACACTCATCAAAGGAAGCTGGAAGAAAGGACAAATGCCATTAGAAGTTCCCAAGGGGGTATAAGGACGTAAATCAGCAGAGAATCCAGAGTGGCTTGACCCACCACCGTTTCCGTCGGATTCTACAAGCAATTAAGCATGAGTCAGGATAAGGTAAAATATGTAATTTTCTGACTAAAATTGATATTTTATACTTATCCTGACTCATGAGGTTAGCCCTCCAACCTCTCCTCATGGCACTCTGGATTTCCCTGCAAATCCAAGTGTCGGGCTCGAACTAACGGAGAGAGTAACAAGCATGGTCAATCACGTGACCCGTTTTGCTCCAAAAGAGGGGCACAAAGGAGACAACTGGGGTGAGTGATTTTACGTCCACTTTTTTGAGGGAGCTTCAAAAGGGGATTCAAGTGTTCCACTATAATTCGCAAGAAGAAGAAGACAAGCAATAAAGCATGAGTCAGGATAAGTATAAAATATCAATTTTAGTCAGAAAATTACACTTTCCTGTTTATCATGTATATGGTTAATTATCATTCAAGCCTGGACAGTGACAACCACCTGTTCATACCATCTTTAAATGTTCCCTTGCAGGACAGAGTTGGTGATCTATGTACTGGAACGTCCACCCACAGGACCTGCTAGACGGGTGGGAGCATCTGACCTGTTCACATTTATGACCCTGCCAGGGTCCAAGAACACACTGGTCACCCAGCTGACCGTTGAGAACATTGTGCCGAAGATGGGCTGGTCCAGTGAACAGCTGAAGGAGTATCTAGATAAACCTCCAGCTGGTAGGTGGACTCTATTGGTACATTGGTTTGGGGGATGTAGACTATGTGGAGATTTTGCTTCGAGAAGTAGGGCACTTCCTCTCTGATTTCAGCCATCATGTGATGTTATGGACAGTATGTACTACCCACGATACAACACTTCCTATTTACGCATGGTTGGTTTATAAAGCTAAAGGCATGGTTATATTGTCTGTGTCTAGTAATGTTTATCTTGGTGGTCTTTAGCCATTGATTAGGGGACTGACCAGTCCAAGACACAGCAGTTTGCTATGCAGAGTTGTGTCCCTTTGGCTCACCAGGAACTTATTTGCTCAAATCCCAGTTCATCATGATTATACTTCACCATAACCATAGTTGTAGGTTTTACCAGAAATGTCTGAGACATGCATCACTTTCCTTTAACCTCCAACATCATGCCCGTGAAGATCTAGGTTAGAACTGGTCTTCATTAACCCATACTTGTCATAAGAGGCAACTAACAGGATTGGGTGGACAGTCTCACTGACTTGTTTGAGATGTGACATGTGTCATTGTATCCCAGTTGCGTAGATCAATGATCGTGTTGTTGATCACTGGATTGTCTGGTCCAGACTTTATTATTTACAAACTGCCGCCATATAGCTAGAATATTGCTGAGTGCGGCGTTAAACAACGAACCAACCAGTCCTCCCACATCAAGTTGACTTGCCATGTGACTGGAACTCTGTTCTAACTCAATCACCTGCCTCCTGCAGGTATTGACCCAGTACTGTGGCAGCAGGCCAAGCTGGACAACCCAGATCCAACCAGACTCATCCCCGTCCCCATGATCGGCTTCAAGGAGGTCCAGCGGCGACTACAACACCAGCAGGAGCAGACACGACTACATCAACAACGTCTCGATGTGAGTACAGCTGTGTCATGTGTATAATGAACAATCTCATTAATGTCAGGTCTTGGTGGTTGTTAACGTTACACAAAAATCAGAGAACATCCTTTTAGAGGTTAGGTCCAAATATCCTTTCTTCCCACGAATCAAAATGTCTTTTACAAGACTGCAAAAATGAAAGTCAGAAATGTTATCTAATCAGGCAACCTTGAAAACTCTGGTCATTCTGAACAATGGTTATAGGCTGTACGACTGATATACGTCTTTTGTCTCCCACTTCAATGTGATATAAAAGTTTGAAACTGAAGAGAAATTCCATAGCTAGAGGGAAGCTGTGCCTTACAATCTTGGCCACCTAGAATTTAGTCGGTTTTCACATTTTGAGTCAAGAACATTATGAAACTAATTTCAAAGTGAAGTCTGTAATGGAAATCATCAGTTTGAAATAAATGAAACTAGAACTGCAAGACTTGAAAAATCTGCTTTCTGATTTAGCACTTTATTGGTCACCAAAGTGCACGAAATATCGTTCTGGCATTACCTTCATAGGATGTTCTGCAATATTATCAAATGGTAGCAATGATCTGATTTTAATTAAACTGTTTTTAGGATTGCATGTCCTCCTTTATGTCCATTAATCAGATAATGAAGTGGAAAATTAGAGTTAACAAATGGGCCAACAGACATATACCATATATTTTTCTGAGAAGCTATATCCTATGGATAGAAGACGAACAGTGTGTTTACTATTCTGTTGCTTCAGGTGATGTCTGGTGATTTGACAGACCTTCAGAACAAACACAGCAACATGCTGGCTCGGCAGGAGGAGTACAAGAGGAAACACCTGGAGCTGGGGCACCGACTGTTACAGGTGGGCTGGTTACAGTGGTTGTTACAGGTTTCTTTGTGTCATGGCAGGTGATTGTTACAGGTATCAGTGTGTCGTGACAAGTGATTGTTACAGGTATCAGTGTGTCGTGACAAGTGATTGTTACAGGTATCAGTGTGTCGTGACAAGTGATTGTTACAGGTATCAGTGTGTCGTGACAAGTGATTGTTACAGGTATCTGTGTGTCATGGCAGGTGATTGTTACAGGTATCAGTGTGTCATGACAGGTGATTGTTACAGGTTTCTTTGTGTCGTGACAAGTGATTGTTACAGGTATCAGTGTGTCGTGACAAGTGATTGTTACAGGGTTTTTTTGTGTCATGGCAGGTGATTGTTACAGGTATCAGTGTGTCGTGACAAGTGATTGTTACAGGTATCAGTGTGTCGTGACAAGTGATTGTTACAGGTATCAGTGTGTCATGGCAGGTGATTGTTACAGGTATCAGTGTGTCGTGACAGGTGATTGTTACAGGTTTCTTTGTGTTGTGGCAGGTGATTGTTACAGGTATCAGTGTGTCGTGACATGTGATTCTTACAGGTATCAGTGTGTCATGACAAGTGATTGTTACAGGTACAAGTGATTGTTACAGGTTTCAGTGTCATTGCAGGTGATTGTTACAGGTTTCTTTGTGTCGTGACAAGTGATTGTTACAGGTTTCTTTGTGTCATAACAGGTGATAGTTACAGGTTTCTTTGTGTCGTAACAGGTGATTGTTACAGGTATCAGTGTGTCGTGACTAGTGATTGTTACAGGTATCAGTGTGTCGTGACAAGTGATTGTTACAGGTTTTTGTGTCATGGCAGGTGATTGTTTCAGGTATCAGCGTGTCGTGACAAGTGATTGTTACAGGTATCAACGTGTCGTGAAAAGTGATTGTTACAGTTTTCTTTGTGTCATGGCAGGTGATTGTTACAGGTATCAGTGTGTCGTGGCAGGTGATTGTTACAGGTTTCTTTGTGTCATGGCAGGTGATTGTTACAGGTATCAGTGTGTTGTGACAGGTGATTGTTACAGGTTTCTTTGTGTCATGGCAGGTGATTGTTACAGGTTTCTTTGTTGTCATGGCAGGTGATTGTTACAGGTTTCTTTTTGTCGTGACAGGTGATTGTTACAGGTATCATTGTGTCATGACAAGTGATTGTTACAGGTATCATTGTGTCATGGCAGGTGATTGTTACAGGTATCAGTGTGTCGTGACAGGTGATTGTTACAGGTATCAGTGTGTCGTGACAGGTGATTGTTACAGGTTTCATTGTGTCATGGCAGGTGATTGTAAAGCAGGAGATCTACCGGAAGATGGGGTATGCCATCCAGGCTGAAGAAGAGCATCTCAAGGTACAGCTGGAGGTCCTGCAGACTGAGCTCAACCACCCCACACAGTTTAAGGTCAGTATACATTTGGAGTATCCTGGTATCTGTTACAATCTCAATCACTGGATTGTCTGGTAAAAGCTAAATTGGTTACAGCCCACTATCATACAGCAGGAATATCAGTGAGTTTGAAACGACAATCCTACAAACAAGCTATTTAGGTCTATGTTTATTGACAGTCCAGAGTTTTAGGTCATTACTCATCTCATGATGGTGAAGGCCAGAACACAGTCCATCACAGACATCTGGGCTTGCATCACATATGAACAAAATATGCTTCAATTGCAATATTAGTTAAAGTGAGTCCTCAAATACATTCATTTCCAGGGGAGGTGGGGTAGCTTTGTGGTGAAAGCGTTCACTCATCACGCCAAAGACCAGGGTTTGATTCCCCACGTGGGTACAATGTGTGAAGCCCATTTCTGGTGTCCCTGCTGTTGTGTTGCTGGAATGTTGCTAAAAGCAGCGTAAAACAACACTAACTTACTCACTCATTTCCACAAGAGTTTGAGTGGCGTTGGTGGTCCAGTTCTTGAAGGCAGCAATCAGCTGTGCAGAGTTGTGTCCCTTGGGGGTGCCAGAATTCATGATGGTTGATTTGAAGACCAGGTTCCCACATCATACCAGTACTCCAGGGTGTGATCCAAGTGGTAAATGTGTAAAGCCTGCATCACTAAAGTTGAACTTTGGGCTGTCATCCCTTAGCATGCTGAATAAACTGACATGTGTTGTTATGAATGAGTGTCTTTACCACAGCTCAGTGAAGAGATTGACAGTAATGTTCATCTCATTATCCATTATGTCCAGGGTCGACTCAATGAACTGATGTCACAAATCCGGATGCAGAATCACGTGTCATCTCAGCGACAGGAAGCATCCTTTCAGATGGACACAGAACTACAGTCAGAGATCAAGCAGGTACTGCTCGTCAAGAACTGTTTACTGTGTGTGGTTTTTTTTAAGGAGTTAGGCGGAATTTGTTTTAATTGAAACTCTGTGATGTTGGAGAACTGTTGTAAAGCTAGGGAGTGTTTGGTACCTACATTCATGTCTGGTTTTTGTTTTGTGAAAATTATGCACCGCTAAAAAGTTAGGTTATGGTGGGTTGGGTGATTGGAACCACATTTGGTTAGACGTGTCAACAAAATATCAACATGGTCAGCCGTTAATGCATTGCCTATATAGTGACGGATGTAAAGCCAAGTAGTAGGATCCTTAGTTTTAAGCTGTCTGTGAAATACTGGTACATATGTCAGTATTCTGAAACAGGGCTCCAGATAATTTTTCAACATCAGGAGTACGTACTCCTTATGTTTTCAATATATGAGTACTGGAAAACAATAAGAGTACATTTAGAGTACTGAATTGAATTTAATGGTGTATCATTAAACTTGTGCTTCGTTTCATATATGCATGACAGCATTGCTACTCTGGTGTAAACGGTCAATAAACAATTAAACAATACTTTTTCAGATAAATATGTCTATAAATGTTTCTAAGACCGTACACAATTGCTGTGGTGCGTATCTGCTACATTTTCTAAATTATTTCCTACCGTATTGTGTATATTTTTTATCCGTACATATGCCGATACGCCCCTTATCTGTGGCCCTGCTGAAACAGTAGAAGTATCCTTAGTTTTAAGCTGTCTGTGAAATACTGGTACATATTTCAATATTCTGAAACAGTAGAAGGATCCTTAGTTTTAAGCTGTCTGTGAAATACTGGTACATATTTCAATATTCTAAATCATTGCTTTATGTTCTGCTTGTCCCAGCTGTTGAAGCAACAACAAGATGGCCTCAATCATCTGATCCAAATCTTGAAAGATGATGCCTCAGACCTTCACCTTATAGAGTCATCCCTCGCAGATACCATACAGACACGGAGGTGATGACACATCTCAGTAGGATGGAAACATTGTTGCTGTAGGAGTCTCTGCAGATGCTGCACAGTTTGACTCACAGATGGGACAAAAAGCTTCTGACATCGTCCTTGTCATATCCTTCGTGACTCCGGTGCTGTACCATGTCCTTGAGAAGAGTCTTTGTTTGGTCTGCAACGTAACAATTCATGACACAACAGGGTTAATGCACACTGATCTCTGATGTGAAGTGAAATGATCAGCATTATGTCTCATGTATATTGGGGTGTGGTAAAATGGCGGTCAGGTAGCCTAATGGTTTAAGTGTCCGCTCGTCACGGTGAAGACCCGGGTTCGATTCACCACATGGGTACAATGTGTGAAGCCTGTTTCTGGTGTCCCCGCCATAATATTGCTGGAATATTGCTAAAAGCGGCGTACAACCTCACGCACTCACTGCATCATAATGATTTCCTCCTGCATCAAGACATGTCATGGTATCAGTGAAATACTGTTCAGGTGAGGTAACCAAATCATCGTGCTGTATGAACCATTGTCAACACATGGAACAGCTTTCTTGTTTTCCTGTAAACATAACATAATTCCAGGACAACTGGTACTGAAGGCTTTGTAACACGAGTCAACCAAACTTTACGAGATAGTTTGTGGAGTACCACTGTCTGGAGTCATTGATACTTAGTGGCAAGAATGTTGACAAAATACAGCTTGAATAAAATCTGAAGTAAGGGGGTAGCCTAGCTGCCATACCACTGGCTTGTCACATTGGAAACCATGGCTCACTGACACAGTGTGTGAAGTGTATTCTTGTTGAACCCACAGCTTTGATATTAATGGAATGTGTATGAGAGCCAACTCATTCACATGCGAAATAATTCAGTCTTATGATAACCTGCATGGTTCGTGGACCAAGAAGAAATCTTTCTCCAGACAACAATATCATACCGGCAGGAATTTATTTCAGAGACGGATTGTTGGTGCACATTATGGTTATATGGTTATTGAAAAGTCTTGCAGATCAGGGGGCGGTGGGGTAGCCTAATGGTTAAAGCGTTTGCTCATCACGCCGAAGACCTGGGTTCAAATCCCCACATGGGTACAATGTGTGAAGCCCCATTTCTGGTGTCCTCCGCCCTGGTGTTGCTGGAATATTGCTAAAAGTGGCGTAAAACCAAACTCAGTCAGTCTTGAAGATCAGGACATAGATTTTAGTAGCTCTCTCAGTGTTAAGATGGTCGTAAGTGTCATACATTAACATTAACTTACGACTATCTTAGCGCTAAGAGAGCTTCAAATGTCTAGGGCTAGATCATTTGCTGCCTGTCTCCATGGTCAAGTAACACTTGGTGTTATTGTTCCTGTTTCCTGTTTTGGAATCAAAATGTCAGTAAATATGTACATATATAAACTGTAAGCTGTAAATAAAGTCATCCTTTGTAAATTTGTTTAGCTTCATTACATATATAATGGGTTGTTATCATGGTCTGTAAGCAGAAGGGAATGTGTTTCAGTACCGCTCTCCTATAGAGATTCAGGTTAGAATTGTCTTTAGCAACCCATGCTTGTGGTAACAGGTGACTGAAGGGTGGATCTAGGTCAGGCTTGCTGACTATGTTGATGCATGTCATGACATCCCAATTCTGTAGACTGATGTCCATAATGTCTTTCACTTGATTGTCTGGTCCAAACTTCATTATTCACATGTGGTCAAATGGTTGAATATTGCTGAGTGGGGTTAAACTACAAGCAGAACCTGCCCCAAATGGACGAAAGTCACATTGTATACAGGGATGACATAGATTCATAGTGTATACACTTGTTGTTTGTTTAATGCTGCACTCAGTAATATTCCAGCAATGTGGTGGCTGTCTGTAAATAATCTGGACCAGAGAATGCAGTGACTGAAATCATGTGCATCCATGTGTGCATTTTGGGTATGATGATATGTCAAGTCAGTTAGTTGGTTTGTTGTTCAACACAGTATTCAGCAATATTCCAGCTATATGGCGGCGGTCTGTAAATAATCGAGTCTGAACCAGACAATTCAGTATCAACAGCATGAGCATTGATCTACACATTTGGGAACCGATGACACGTGTCAACCAAGACGGCGAGCCTGACCACCCGATCCCGTTAGTTGGCTCTTACGACCAGCATGGGTTACTGAAGTCCGGTTCTAACCCGGATCTCCAGGGGGCCATAGTGTATACAACCTGGCGAACTATTACAAATGCCATCAGACACACACATGTAGTTACCTTGCATCTCTGGTCAGTTACATCAGTCTGCAGGGACTCTCTAAATCAATTCAACCGTCAACCGTTAATTTTAAACTCTGTAAATTGCATACTTGCAATAATTTGTATTTCTACGGTAAAATAACTTATTGAAAGTTAATAGATATGTAGTAGCTGTATGTTGTTTAAAAGAGTAATTAAGAATATGATTAACGGTCTTGTGTTGTTTACAGACACCTTACATGCCCATTTTAGTGACAGAAACTGAAATTGGAAATGATATTTCATATACGAACATATAATTTGTTTCCGAAAACCAACGGAATATCGTATAATGACAGGTACGCATGTTCATTATTGCTTTCGGGATTTATTAAATGATTTATCTCAGATTAGCCCAACCTATTTAAAGTTTGCAAATATTTCGTTGCATGTCTAAACGTTTGAAATACAGTACATGCCTAATCTAGAACAGACAAAAATCTAACATGCGTCGGACAACATGTAGCAGTGTCTCTGTTTCATATCGCTGCAGTGTCTATTTATCGAACCACCAAAGTATTTGCACTTGCGTTTACACCATCGGATAGGAAATAATATTCTATATTTCTGTGTAATTTTATAGCTGAAGGTTGATCCAGTGCTGCGCGAGCGAAATTCCCGCGCAGAGTTCACTTCTAAGATTTTGAACATTTTAAGATCCTGCAGCGTTCACCAGGGGTGCTTAAGATCCTGTGAAAATGTGCGTCAGATTAAAACCCTCGGCATCCAGGGGCTTAAAAGAAATCTTTAACAGATAACAAACTCGCTGAAACACATCGGTCCACCCGGCAAAATGTACTGCTAATTTCACCAGCGTGTTTATAGTTGTAACAGTAAAAGAAATGCCAGTCTGTTTCAATAATATCTCAGTTACAATTTAAACCGTTGGGGAGACCGCTAGTGCAAGTCTTGTATAAAGTGTTCTAGTATAAGGGAATTCTTAGGGACTGATCTATTTTTACTGTCCTTCGATGACAGGTTTTTACGTTCTCAATGTATTGATTTTAATATTGATATAAATGAAATTGTTCTCGTCACGATATGGCTGAAATATTGTCGATGTGACGCTAAATATAAACTCACTCTCATGAGCTTAGGGACTGATCAGGGCCCCGTTTCACAAAGCTCTCGTAACCATTTTCGTAGCATTCGCACCTCCTATACTCTGACATTGACTTACGAAAGTCGTAGCGCTACGAGGCTTTTGTGAAACGGGGCCCTGGGGCGGTATTACTCACAGGGGCGTGTCGCGCTTAGAAACAGCGTTAGAAAGTCATATAAGTATATAGACCTTACGTTAGAAAGTCATATAGGTATATAGACCCTACCCTAGTACTATAGTAGACCCTACCCTAGTACTATATATAGTACTAGGGTAGGGTCTATATACCTATATGACTTTCTAACGCTGTTTCTAAGCGCGACACGCCCCTGTGGTATTACTGTCATATATCAGGACCTGTGCAGGTCTTCAAAACATTCACGTTACAAGTGTCTCTTACAGTCGCATTTACTGTGTGTAACAATCGGGAACCATGTCGCTTGTCTTATGGCGTCCCCCAAGGATCGGTGCTGGGACCTCTGCTTTTCACCATGTACATCATTTCTCTTGGTGACATCTTCAAAAGTTACAGAATACCTTTCCATGGCTACGCTGATGGCACACAGAACCTTATTGCTGCAAGACCAAACCGGATTACGACTAAACTTGACAGACTGGAAATATGCATTGATAAAGCTTGCAACTGGATGAAACTTAAATTGGAAATAATGCCTGATTTCCCGTACCCTACGGAAGCCTATTAGGGCCATGTCAATATTTTTTTATATCCCTATTAACTGGAAATTTCCACTTACTAATTGGAAATTTCCATATAGTAACTGGAAATTTCAAGAAACCTAAGTGGAACGTTCCAGTTACTAAGTGAAAATTTCCAGTTAATAGGGATATGGAAAAGAAATTGACATGGCCCTAATAGGCTTCCGTACTACCCACTACCAACCACGACAGAAAACTGTATAGGTGCCATTGAGACTACAGACTTGCATGTGTAAGAATCAATATTGAAACAATCTTTAATGAACATCTACATGTGCCAAAGGTTCCCAAAATACAATATGATGAAAGGAGGACCACAAAAGTCACCACCTCTACATGCTATGTTAATTAGGTATTATCGCAACGCTGACGATTTACATGTTAGCCTTGGATACGTATCAACTCAACCGACAACAGTAAAAACAGAGTGGGTTGGGTTTGCGTTTCTATGTGACGTCGGTTGCTATGACGTCATAAACTGAATGACGTCATATAGTTATGTCGCCGGTACAATGACGTGATGATATTGGAAAAATGGCTGTTTCTACTGAACTTGCTTCCCTGGCTCACTGCAGCTGCTACGCAAGGTTGGTATATTTCATTTCCAGGAGATCTTCAGACATTCACGATGGGAAGGAATCGACATAGATGCAAAGAGATTTTGAGTCCAGTTGATATCATACACATCATAAGCTCGGTTGGGAAAAGTTTCGATTGTTTGAATCCCAATTTAGCTCTTGTCATGTTTCTTGGTTTGCTAGCACAATAAATTTACTCTCTGACTTCTCAAAGTAGAAAATACAAGCAATCAGCCAGGTCGCCTTACCATCCGATCCAATCATTTCGTGAGGAATACATACACAAAACATAGTTGCAGTGCCGGATGGAGATAGATCTACGCCCTTATGGATGATCGGATTAATTGAAAACAGAATTACCCAAAACCCATATAAATGTATCCAGGCGAAACATTTATCAATGAATAATCATGAATAAGATGTCTTCTTAATTTAACCTTGTTTACCATTGTGTACAAATCTGAAGCCATTGAAATTTAAAAGAAAATCAGTTAAGTTGGACCAATTAATTGAAAAGCCTCATATCGGAAAACTTTCGACGATTTTGTGGGTAGGAAAACACACACACGTCGACCCTCCCCAGGATTAATATAATCACTCAATTAATTGTATATCCATGCAAAAGTCGCACACTTGAGCTATTGCAAAAGAAGATATAACTCACTGTAATAAATGAGTACATATGTTTACATGTTTGCATTCAGGTTGAGTTCAATTGAAACAAATTAAGATTTATCGCACGCTCGACAAGGTACGCAACTCTACATAGCAAATAGCAACGCCTGTGACAACACGATAACCCGTCCACAATGAAAGACAGGATAAAAAGGGTTTGTAGATTAAAATACTACACCAGCAAACCCCAGGGTACCGAGAGCAGTCCCTAATTCATAACAGTCCAGTTCTGATACTGACACATTTGGCCTATATATTTTCTATTGTACAATTGCCTTCACGGCCAACACTGGAGCACCTTTAGAATACAGCACCGCAACTTCTCGTGAGGACGATCTCTGCCGTAGGTCACATGTCATTAAGACAAGCAACCAGTTTGTGAGAACCCGTCGGACGCGAACCCGCGACCTTCGGATTGTTAGCTCGACAGCTAACCGACTGAGCTACGTCCACACTGTTGCACAATGTGCAAATTTATCGAGTCATTCCTGTGACTTCACGGAAATGAACGGAAAGAGTCGAATAGGTCACGGACAATTACGAAGGTTACGGGTAGACTTGGTGTCTCGTGATTTTATTCTCGGGACAATTGCCGAATGGATCCGATGCCATTTGGCACACTCGTCCCATTCCGTAATCTACAAATTAACGTGTGGCGTGGAATGAGCCGATATGCCTCAAACTGAAAAGGGGGAGCACCTTTAGAATACAGCACCACAACTTCTCGTGAGGACGATCTCTGCCGTAGGTCACGTGTCATTAAGACAAGCAACCAGTTTGTGAGAACCCGTCGGACGCGAACTCGCGACCTTCGGATTGTTAGCTCGACAGCTAACCGACTGAGCTACGTCCACACTGTTGCACAATGTGCAAATTTATCGAGTCATTCCTGTGACGTCACGGAAATGAACGGAAAGAGTCGAATAGGTCACGGACAATTACGAATGCTACGGGTAGACTTGGTGTCATGTGATTTTATTCTACGGACAATTGCCGAATGGATCCGATGCCATTTGGCACACTCGTCCCATTCCATAATCTACAAATTAACGTGTGGCGTGGAATGAGCCGATATGCCTCAAACTGAAAAGGGTTGTTGACGTCAGGCGTCAGACGTAGATTTCACGGTGCATGCATGAATGACGCGCTTTTATATAAATCGGTGATTTTGTGACAGAAAAGTGATGTAGGGAACACTGTAAGGATAATGTGGATCGCACTAAGGAACGAGGGAGACATGAGCATGTGTAGTGACGGCACGAGGGTGAGTTAGCCTTCGAATCATTACTTTACAAAATTTATGTTGCGTGTGAAAGAGGCTTCAGTGCAAATTCCAGGCCAATTTCCATTAGCCCAAAATTTCTACATTAACCCATTTCATAATGTACTTTCGACGTTTTTGGTTTCCCGTTTTTGTGTGAAAAAAAGTATTAAAATGCTAAAAGGAAAAACAACAAATGGTAGATCTACTCACGTATTACACCGGACATGTACCTACTATATTGGATTAGGTCCCTAACCCTAACCCTAAACCCTCAGCCCTAACCCTAACCCTAATCCCTTGAAATAATCCTAATAAATAGAATGCATTGACCGAACCACTGGACATGTACCTACTATATTGCATTAGGTCCCCAACCCCAACCCCAAAAACCCAAACCCTAAACCCAAACCCTAAACCCTAAACCCCTAGCCCTAGCCCTAGCCCTAGCCTAGCCCTAGCCCTAGCCCTAATCCCTTGAATTAATCCTAATAAATAGAATGCATTGACAGAACCGGCACAAACACACGACTGACGTGTCTAGTGTAATGCATTATTACCGCTTCGAAAAATAAAATACTAATAAAACACTTTTCTATGTAATGGTGCAAATTACTGAATGACAAAAATATATATGTAAATTTAAAAATTACAAAATACAAAATACACAACACATAACAACTCAGCAGCCCGTAATACAAATAAATATGAGCGTATTAGTGAAAAAAGAAAAATATTTCAAACTGGTGCTTGCAAAATATTGCGCATCCGCCGGTATACAACTACTGGAAACTCTCAACATCGTTGGGCTTATGCAATGACATAGCTCGTAGAGATGAAACACCAGTGAGCGGAGCTTATACGCACTCGCTGAGCCAGACAACCGTGTTGCCATGCAGGCGTCATAGGGCATTGTTTCGAGATCGTGCTTTCGAACAAAATCACATTACATTACGTAAAACGGTATTATGACGTATTTTTAAAGTTTGTGGTGCTGTATTCTAAAGGTAGGCCGAAAAGGGTTGTTGACGTCAGGCGTCAGACGTAGATTTCACGGTGTATGCATGAATGACGCGCTATTATATAAATCGGTGATTTTGTGACAGAAAAGTGATGTAGGGAACACTGTAAGGATAATGTGGATCGCACTAAGGAACGAGGGAGACATGAGCATGTGTAGTGACGGCACGAGGGTGAGTTAGCCTTCGCATCATTACTTTACAAAATTTATGTTGCGTGTGAAACAGGCTTCAGTGCAAATTCCAGGCCAATTTCCATTAGCCCAAAATTTCTACATTAACCCATTTCATAATGTACTTTCGACGTTTTTGGTTTCCCGATTTGTGTGAAAAAAAAGTATTAAAATGCAAAAAGGAAAAACAACAAATGGTAGATCTACTCACGTATTACACCGGACATGTACCTACTATATTGGATTAGGTCCCTAACCCTAACCCCTCAGCCCTAACCCTAACCCTAATCCCTTGAAATAATCCTAATAAATAGAATGCATTGACCGAACCACCGGACATGTACCTACTATATTGCATTAGGTCCCCAACCCCAACCCAACCCTAACCTAAACCCAAACCCTAAACCCTAAACCCTAGCCCTAGCCCTAGCCCTAGCCCTAGCCCTAGCCCTAGCCCTAATCCCTTGAATTAATCCTAATAAATAGAATGCATTGACAGAACCGGCACAAACACGACTGACGTGTCTAGTGTAATGCATTATTACCGCTTCGAAAAATAAAATACTAATAAAACACTTTTCTATGTAATGGTGCAAATTACTGAATGACAAAAATATATATGTAAATTAAAAAAATTACAAAATACAAAATACACAACACATAACAACTCAGCAGCCCGTAATACAAATAAATATGAGCGTATTAGTGAAAAAAGAAAAATATTTCAAACTGGTGCTTGCAAAATATTGCGCATCCGCCGGTATACAACTACTGGAAACTCTCAACATCGTTGGGCTTATGCAATGACATAGCTCGTAGAGATGAAACACCAGTGAGCGGAGCTTATACGCACTCGCTGAGCCAGACAACCGTGTTGCCATGCAGGCGTCATAGGGCATTGTTTCGAGATCGTGCTTTCGAACAAAATCACATTACATTACGTAAAACGGTATTATGACGTATTTTTAAAGTCTGTGGTGCTGTATTCTAAAGGTAGGCCGAAAAGGGTTGTTGACGTCAGGCGTCAGACGTAGATTTCACGGTGCTTGCATGAATGACGCGCATTTATATAAATCGGTGATTTTGTGACAGAAAAGTGATGTAGGGAACACTGTAAGGATAATGTGGATCGCACTAAGGAACGATGGAGACATGAGCATGTGTAGTGACGACACGAGGGTGAGTTAGCCTTCGAATGATTACTGAACAAAATTTTATGTTGCGTGTGAAAGAGGCTTGAGTGCAAATTCCAGGCCAATTTCCATTAGCCCAAAATTTCAACATTAACCCATTTCATAGTGTACTTTCAACGTTTTTGGTTTCCCGTTTTGTGTGTGAAAAAGTATTAAAATGCAAAAGGAAAACAACAATGGTACTCACGTATTACACCGGACATGTACCTGCTATATTGGATTAGGTCCCTAACCCTAACCCTAACCCTAACCCTAAACCCTAGCCCTAACCCTAACCCCAATCCCTTGAATTAATCCTAATAAATAGAATGCATTGACCGAACCGGCACAAACACGACTGACGTGTCTAGTGTAATGCATTATTACCGCTTCGAAAAATAAAATACTAATAAAACACTTTTCTATGTAATGGTGCAAATTACTGAATGACAAAAATATATATGGAAATTTAAAAAATTACAAAATACAAAATACACAAAACATAACACCTCAGCAGCCCGTAATACAAATAAATATGAGCGTATTAGTGAAAAAAGAAAAATATTTCAAACTGGTGCTTGCAAAATATTGCGCATCCGCCGGTATACAACTACTGGAAACTCTCAACATCGTTGGGCTTATGATATGACATAGCTCGTAGAGATGAAACACCAGTGAGCGGAGCTTATACGCACTCGCTGAGGCAGACAACCGTGTTGCCATGCAGGCGTCATAGGGCATTGTATCGAGAACGTGCTTTCGAACAAAATCACATTACATTACGTAAAAGGGTATTATGACGTATTTTTAAAGTTTGTGGTGCTGTATTCTAAAGGTAGGCCGCCAATTCCAACTGTAGTCTCTCTCACGGTCCCTGAACCACATCATTTTTCCAACTGCCAAGCCCTCCTTGCAATGCTAAATCTCTAAATGAAGCAAGTCTAGATTTCCCCCAGGTTCGGGGAATCTCCCAACTCACTGGGGCTCCTTTTCAGTTTAAATGAGTTGGTGAGTGAGTTTATTTTTACGCAACACTCAACAATATTCCAGTTTTACTGCGACGGTCTGTAAATAATCGAATCTGAACCAGACAATCCAGTGATCAACAGCATGAGCATCGATCTACGCAATTGGTATACGATGACGTGTGTCAGCCAAGTCAGCGAGCCTGACCACCCGATCCGGTTAGTGGCCTCTAACAACAAGCATGGGTTGCTGAAGACCAATTCTAACCCGGATCTTTACGTGTCTCAATTTAAATATATAGGAACTAAGCGTTAGTCTATTCCTACTGTTGTATTACAGTGACAAGCAACCGGACCACCGAGTCACGGCTCGTGGCCCAGCTGACCAGCAACTATGACCCAAGGGTCAGACCACGGGTTAATGCCTCTGAGGCGGTGGACGTGTCTTTGGGCTTCTACATGACAAGGGTGGACGTACTGGTAAGTTGCTCTACATTTATATTAGGGTAGAAACATTTGTAGTACTTCACCGTTAGGTATGTATATAGTAATAGCATTTTCCGCTTATATTCGTATTATGTTCTCTGCTACCTGCTCCTGTTTCTCATACATGTCGTATATGTTGTATATGTTAAACAGTAATTTATCTTAAATTGTGAAACACAAGTGTGTGTCCGGATGTGTAAAACTACTTGTTAGTGAAACCTCTGTGTATGGACCGGAGGCCATGCATGCAATTAATATGTTTGACTTTTGACGTTGACTTACGAGCGCTTCCGGTGAATTTGATTTCGCGCTCTCCTTGGGTTTTTAGGTTTAAATCCTTTATTCGTTGTATCCGCGTCTTGTTCCCACTTTCAGAGTATGCGCAGCGAGATTCTGTCGGTCACCGGTTGGATCGTCGTGGTAAGTAAACTGTGAGCTTATTGTCATAGACATTGGCTTCTCCCTGGGTACAGTGTCAAGGTCATTCGTGATCTCCATGGCCGTCCTGAGCGTTCAGTACTACTCCAAAATGTACGTGTAGGCGACTGTTTAAGAACAGAATACTGAATCACCTTCACGTCTGAACTACACTATTCTTATAGTTTTTACTTTGGGTGGATACTACACTTTTATTCTTCAAAACGATTTTTATTGCAGCATTCAATTATATAGGGGATAAGCATACTGTAAATCAAATTTAGAACTATCATAATTTCGTTATATGCCCCTGATTTTTCAACACAGTATGTTTATCTCAATTCTACCAAAATCGCGTTATTAAAATTTTAAACAAATACATTGTACATGCTGTGTTGGAAAATCAGAGGTATATAACGTGATAATATACCCCTGAATGACTTTAATCAGCTCTGCTTTAATCAACTAATGACAATCCAGTATTTACTGATGGCATGGTAGAATGCAGATTATTGCAGCTCCCATGTTGTAATGTAAACGCAAATAGTCGGGACTATAAATGAAACCCTTCGTTATCTCCATCAGTTCGTTATAAGCATGTCCGTTATAAGCGTGCTCGTTATAAACGTGGACCCCTGTAGTCAATCTGTATTGCCATGAGTACCGACCCCTGTAGTCAATCTGTATTGCCATGAGTACCGACCCCTGTAGTCAATCTGTATTGCCATGAGTACCGACCCCTGTAGTCGATCTGTATTGCCATGAGTACCGACCCCTGTAGTCAATCTGTATTGCCATGAGTACCGACCCCTGTAGTCAATCTGTATTGCCATGAGTACCGACCCCTGTAGTCAATCTGTATTGCCATGAGTACCGACCCCTGTAGTCAGTCTGTATTGCCATGAGTACCGACCCCTGTAGTCAATCTGTATTGCCATGAGTACCGACCCCTGTAGTCGATCTGTATTGACATGAGTACCGACCCCTGTAGTCAATCTGTATTGACGTGAGTACCGACCCCTGTAGTCAGTCTGTATTGCCATGAGTACCATGCACAGGACAACCAATATGTCCATAGTTCAACGGTCTGTTGTAGAGGTGGTATGACGACATCATCCGATGGGATCCTGCTCAGCATGACAACATCACTAAACTGCTGCTACCCACGTCCTCGGTGTGGCTGCCAGTCATTGCGCTGGACAACAGGTGAGTGAGTGAGTGAGTCCAGATTCGGAGGTGGGACACTGAATCAGCCGCATGTACGTTTCCATTGGTTATGTTATAACGTGTTCAATATTTCTTCATAAACTGTTCTTGGGTTAGCTGTCTGAAGCCGAGTGCTAGGTGCTTTACAAATAATTGGTATTGGCATACAATAACTAGTACGCTATGTTTATTGTACCTTGTAAACGTTCTCGGAGAAAAATGGGCACTTCATGCAAGCTTACACCTTGAGTCTGTACGCGATAGGCCAGTTCCCCTTAAATAGACTCTCCTTTTCGGTTACGGAGAGGGACGAGGTTGGCCGACTGCATGAGGAATCTATATTGATAAATCAGTCCGGTGTCACAATCCGATAAATATGCAAATGTAATCGCCGGGCAGGGAGTGACTTCATAGTGCAGGAAGTTCTCCTTCCTCATATCCAAATATGCTCTGATAAATGGTTTTCCGATACAACGACGTGTTTGTGTGGACAAATATGGCGCTACAATAGGCACTGCATATAAAGGTTTTTCCAAACACCTTACCATAATCGTGTCTGCAATTGCCAGGCTCACGGTGACACCAGCCATGATGCGCAAGAGCCACGAGCCACGCCACTGAAGTACGGTGACACTCATTCAATCAATTCTTTAGGACTAAGTGGCAATAATTTCCACTTTTCTAGTCGCATTCTACGTATCAAACCCCGATGTGTGTGGCCCAAACTCACAAGCCACCGTTAGTGAGTGACTTGGATTTTACGCCGCCTTTAGCAATATTCCAGCAATATCACGGCTGGGGACACAAGAAATGGGCTTCACACATTGTACCCATGTGGGGATTCAAACCAGGGTCTTCGGCGTGACGAGCGGACACTTTAACCACTAGGCATATACTGTCCCCATTGCCCTAAGCAAAACAGTTAATATACTGTAATCAGAACAGAGCCATTTGATGAAAACATGTGTTTCCACTTTCAGCGTCAACAATATAATCGATTAAGAGCTGCGTCCGAGACTTTCAGCGTCAACAATTTCGAGAAGAGCTTCCGAGACAATTTCTACGTGCTCGTCTCCCACACCGGCCTGATGTCGTGGGAGCCGGCTGGGGTGTTCAGGACGTCGTGCGAGATGGACATCACATTGTACCCGTTTGACCATCAGACGTGCACGATGTACTTCTCCACGTGGGACTACACCGTCGATCTCGTCAACCTCACGTATGCATCGCCGGAAGTGAACAAGGACGCCTACATTGAGAACGGGGAGTGGGAGATTCTAAGCTCTAAAGTCGAGGAGGACAGGTTCGCTTACCTGACCAGCCCGGAAGAGGTGTACCCGGAAGTTGCTGTGACCATACAGATACAACGGAAGTCCACGTACTACTTCATCAACATTCTGATACCCTGCTTGATGATGTCGTGCATGGTGCTGATGGTGTTCTACCTGCCGCCGGACTCGGGGGAGAAGGTCTCTCTCGGCGTTACAGTCCTCCTCGCCTTCTCGGTGTTTCCAGCTGATGATAGCCGAGGACATGCCTACATCGTCCAGCGCCATGCCTATATTAGGTAAGAATCATTATTCCCACGTGAATATCTCCAGCAACCAATGCTTCTCGTAAATACAGGATTAGTTTTGTTTGTCTTGATCCCGTTAACTTTTTGGCAGGTTTTTAACGTCAACCCAAAGAAATAATGAGTCATCTGATTATAGGCCGAAACATTTCCTCTTAACGTGAAAGGGCGGTGGGGTAGCCTAATGGTAAAAGCGTCCGCTCGTCACGCTGAAGACCCGGGTTCGATTTCCCACATGGGTACAATATGTGAAGCCCATTTCTGTTGTCCCCCGCCGTGATATTGCTGGAATATTGCTAAAAGCGGCGTAAAGCCATACTCACTCACTTTAGCGTGAAATCGCTGGATGACAACAGGTTTTGTAACAAGCTAAGCGTGTCCTTCCTTACAGGAAGCAACGCCACTCACACAATTTTGTGTAAAAAACAAATACATACATACGTGATTTCTATATAGGATGCGTGTCCCTTTTAATGAATTTGTAAAAGACAAATTGTAAAATTCGTTCGTTAAAAAATCTGTTCTCGGACAAAGCTTCAAACTTATAGTCATGCTGTAGGCAATGATCGCTTCCTATCTGACATGTTACGTGTTTTACAGAGGTGTACTTGCTGTGCTTCATGTCAGCATCAACGTTCTCCGTCATCATCTCCGTCCTGGTGCTGAACCTCCATCACCGGACCGAGTATACCCAGCCTCCCGTCTGGCTCCGTCGTCTCGTTCTCGACTTCCTCGGCCACTGGCTCTGTATGGGCACCAGGAGCCGAGCCACAGACATCCATCCCCTTGACCATGACGACCACTCCGAGCAAGTGGAAGCCAAGATCGACATCGACCCAGTCCCTGAGCCGACCACAAGCAGCAGTTACCCGAAGATCGTCCTGCCTGGCTCGCCCTTCGAATCCACTCACTCCATCCACCCAACAGGCGGGTTGCTCGGGGCGTCGTGCCAGAACTTGAGGTCGGGGGCGGCAATATCGGCAGTGAAGCTGATTCGCAGCATCGCCAACCTTGATAAGACGTCGAGCACACAGTCCAAGACAGCGTTCTTGTCCGCCGTTCGCGACGTGTACCAGGAACTGTACCAGACCCGGATGGCCGGCGAGGTGGAAGCGGCTTTGGAGAATCAGTGGAAGCAGATCGCTCGTGTGGTCGACAGGTTCTTCTTCTGGCTAACTCTGTTTATACTCATCGTGTCCACAGCCATCATATTTGATGCCGCGAGTCACATTCAAACATAACAATCATTGATAGTTCTGCAAAGTACCCGTGAAGGTCCGGGTTAGAATGAACCTTCAGTAACCCATGCTTGTCGTACGAGGCGACTAACGGGATCGGGTGGTCAGGCTCGCTGACTGGGTTGACACATGTCATCGCTTCCCAATTGCGTAGATCGATGTTCATGCTGTTGATTCCTGGATTGTCTGGTCCAGACTCGATTATTTACAGACCGCCTCCATATAACTGGAATATTGCTGAGTGCGGCGTAAAAAACTCAATTCACTCACTCACTCTTCTGCAAAGTGGCGTCTGTGGTCTGTGATCGAGTCTGACACCTGGTGCTGAATGTTAATGTGAGGCAATAGTCCTTGAAAATATGCTGAAGTTCAACAAACTCTGTCTTTAATGTTTTGTGCTGAAAGGATATCCTTTGTACCTATGCTGTCCGTCGGTAGACTCGTTGCTCACGTTACATTTGAAGAAGTGAGGGGTCTAACATGAGAAGGGATAGCAATGAGATCATGTGATGCCAGTGTGTTAGTTGAGTGTGTCTTGGTCATCAAAATGCAGGATCCTGTTCCTGCCGACCTATGAAACACTGTATAGTACATTTAATCTGTTACTCAGAGCTTCAGATAAGATTTAGCTCATGTGGGTACTGTACCCACTGTATTTTTTTGGAATGGGTATTATGAATGTTGAGTGGGTATTTCATTTTCCGTTACCCACTGCTTTCAAATATGTGCGTATTTCAGTCATTATACTCACCTAAGTATTATGTCATTGAGTAAGTTTACTAAGCAGGTATGTTCTGCCTTACGTCATACCTAATCAAAACCAACTTAAATATAATGGAAATTATTTCATAAAAAATCACTCATCCTATACTGACAGTACAACACTTGTCCTATACTAACAGTACAACTTGATAGCAATCGATGTCTTTTTCATTACGCAAGCGATTTTTATAAATATATTCCGTACGCATTTGTTTTAAACTTTTTGCGTATCTAACATTTTAAATGCGTAATTGGTACGCAGCAATTATTTTTCAATGCGTAATTGGAAATGTTATAAGTGTATTTTACCCGGATACGCAGCTTATCTGGGCCTCTGCTGTTACAGTCACAGAAAATGATGTTCCAAGTACTATCGGCAAGACTCGGGACTTGTACTAGATACATGTACTAGTGTATGGCTCCCACTGTGGGATAAACCCCGAGTTTGGCAGAACGTGGAGCTGGAATCTGGTTGGTTCCTCTTCAAATTGCATTGGAGGTGATAAGTATAGAATGATACACGGGCTTTAATCTGATATCAGACCTGGCACTCGTTCTTTGAACATGATCACTGCGTATGTTTCGGGATTAAGACTTTTCCAAGAGTAAGCTGTGTTTTAGCGCCAGTATTTGTGTATTCAAGTTGTATCTCATATAGTGTGTCATCTTTAAGTTCGCCGAAATTCCTAAGCGAAGAAGGCTGTAGAAGTTTTATGCTTTGATTGAACCAACAAACACGTCAAAGTTGAACTCAAACCAAGAATAGGCCTCGTGACTAACGTCTTATGTTGCAATTCTTCACAGAACGTTTGGGCCTCTCTCTTTAGGGGTCAGCAACAGCTGTGCATCCTGTTCAGTAAAGGAAATGAGCAAGTTATGTTTTTGTATTTTAAACACCCAACATACATTAACAATTGCCATCTCATGTAAATCCGAAGTCCTAAAATACTACATCATGGGAGTCCAGTATCATGGGTGGCTTGCTCGTGCCGAAATTAACTGTAGAGTAGCGTACCTTGGGCGCACCTGAAGCCAGTGACTGTGGGTTCGAATCCCGAAAACCTCTGCCTCAGTGCCTCTGGAAACGAACAGTGTTGCGTGTGTCGGTAAATTGGATAAAGTTCGATGCTGATTTGGATAGGTAAACCATTAGGTTAACACTGTGGGACACCGTTTTGCTCTGCATCATCACAAGTCAAACACAAATCGTATCTATGGAGCAGCACAGATGTACGGTTGCCGCCATATTGACCTGTGATTTGGTGATAACGACATTGCCGATGACAATGATAACAAGCATATGTGCCTTTTTTCTCCTTAATACGAAAGTTCTGATTTATTCACAATAGAAAAATACGTATTTACAAGAACATCATTATATCTGATATGTCAACTTCACAATAAAATATGAGACATCACAATAAACGCATAACCTTCGTGTACATTCATGTTTGACATCACTTTGGTGTATCACAGTTCATCTTTTTTTAAGTTTGGACCTTGGTAATGTAACCCATACTCCCTCCTCAAGCCCACCAACACTTTAAAGGGGCGGCTTGTGAAATAGCTCTGCATGGTTCGTATGATATCCTTCCTGGGAACGTCAAAATCGTTGTGCGTGACTGCACTCTCATAGAAGTCCACCGTCTCCAACACAGCCTCCTCCCAGGGGGTGGGATCCCAGCCCAGGACGTCCACGGCCTTGGAAATGTCAACCGGACCCTGTCGCACGGAGGGGAACAGATACATGGCGTCCTCACCCGTGTGGGTCTTTATCGTTAGATCCGTCATGTTCAGCGCCATTTTCATGTCCGTCAGAACGTCAAGTAAAGATGGTGTCTCTTTGAAAGCCAGGTTGTATGCTTGATCCAGCCATTCCGGATTAGGTTGCAACAACAATCCGATAAACCGAGCGACGTCTTGCGAATAGACTAAACTGATCGGCTTGTTAAGAAATCTTGCTGGGACGGATACTGGTTTTTCAAGATATTTTGACAATTTTATCCACATTTGATAAATCCACCAACGGTAGGTATTGTCGCGTGGTCCTATGACGTCAGGGAGACGTAATGAAACATACGGGAATCCACCGTTTTGGCGCTGCTTTTCGAGTTCTTCCTCGCATTGCAACTTCCGATGCCCATAATCATCTTTTTCCGCCAGCGCATTCCGCACTTCTTCGGAATTCGGTCGCACGTCGTCAGTTTCACGGGAAGGTTCTGAATGACTCTTTTCACAAACCTCATACACGGAATCAGAACTAATGTAAATATATAAGCTTAAATTATCTTTTAGTAAATCCACCGCCTCTGTTACAGCAAACGGGTGATATCCACTGAAATCCACCACGACATCAAATGATTTCTTCCCAACCAGTTCGACAAGGCCGTCACATTTACGTAGGGTCACCCCTCGGTCACAAGAGATATGTTGTACGCGAGGCTTGATGGTGAACACGGAATCCCAGTACCAGTTACCTCTGTTTACTATAGTAATCACGTGATCAGCCTCCAACAAAGTCTCCACCGTGGCAGAGCCCAAGAAACCATTCCCACCGAACACAAGAATATTCTTAGGACTCACATAATCTATGTTGGGTTTCGCTTGCACGACACACAGACAAAGTAGAACAGCTTGCACGTAGAAGAGACAGGACATTTTGCCGCGTCAAACTTGGTCACGTCAGCATCCCACACAAGCTCGCTCCCCTCTGCCTCGCGCCATCTTGTAACCTGAGACTTGGTCGTCTGCTCTAGCGTTTCCGGACGTGCGAGGCCCACAATGGGTTCTTACACAGTGCGTGAAGGAACGTTGGTAATGAACGTCAGAAGTCGTCAAGAAGAAGAGGGTATAAAATTTGAAAACGATATATTTGAATTATATTTTGTAGGTTTATAGCATTACATCAGAAGCTAAAATGTGAAACATTTCATCCAACGCACCTCACTGAAATACAAGCAGTATATATATGATTGAAAACTCTTTAGTTCTATGTTAAAATGTAATACGTAAACGATAATGTGTACATATTCTTTCTGCACTGCACCGGCACTATCACACTGTTTGGTTAATTCAGTAATTTTTAAAATTGTTCCTGAAATGCATGTCCGTGAAAAAAATACGTTTGAGTAAACTGATATTTATTCATTATGTGTCATAGAAACATACACTGAGTGACTGAATTAATTTAATATTTAGTCGTTATGCTAAAAGGTATGATCCTGGATAAAATACGTTGGTATTATCTGATGTTTATTCGTTAGGGCAAAAATTTCATTTGGGACTTGGCAGCGTTTCTAGTGCAGTGCACGCATGCCGTCGGTGTGACTAATACAAGAGTACGTCTCATTGGTCGCAGCTGTAAGTGACGTCATGCAGGACTAACACTTGTACAGATGTGAGGACCGCCTCCGTGGTGTAGTGGTTAGAGTGTCCGCCCGGAGAGCGAAGGTCGCGGGTTCGATCCCCGGCCGCGTCATACCAAAACACGTTAATATATGGTACTTGTTGGTCCCTTACTGGCGCTCGGTACAACAAGGACTGGTCGGCTCGGAGTCAGTATACTGTGGGGTATTCATGCGGCATGGTATCTCAGTGAGCTAGCACTATAAAACCAGGTTAAGTCTGGGCTAGTGCAAGCAGCCACTCACCTCACAAATTTGGGTTTTGGTACCTAGCAGGCCGGCATGACAAACAGATCCACATGGCAACCAACATCAGAAATACAATGAGAATTATAAGATTACATGTACATCAGACATACAATGAGAATTATAAGATTACATCAGACATACAATGAGAATTATAAGATTACATCAGAAATACAATGAGAATTATAAGATTACATCAGAAATACAATGAGAATTATAAAATTACATCAGAAATAGAGAGTGACTCAGTCTTCTTTCCCCTCAGTACTGGAAGACAGTTTGTGTTTTGTAGTATGTAGTACACATCTTGTACACGTACCGTACAGCAGTCAGTGTGAATTGTGATCTATAACTTTCCCTTAAAGTGAAGTTAGGATTACAGCATAATAGATTTAGAGTCAGGTCATCTTCAGATATATTGTGAAGAAAAACACTGAAGTCAATTAGTCCAATGTTGGCAAGTTGACACCACAAATCATCCCGCACTTCAGATGTATATTCACATGACGTTATGATGTGAGACAAGGGATCTGAAAAGTTACCACAGCGTTCGCACAGATACTCCTCAGGCTTTAACAGTTTGTAAGCGGCTACAATTTTCATAAAATACCCCACAGAATGTCTAAGGATTGGATTCTTCCACACAGCTACCCAACCTGGGTGAACTGATAATGAAGAGTGAATGTGCTTGAATTCTTGGAGATCTGGGTCGTTATGGGTCCGCTCAGTCAAAGATCTTGACTGAACGTCGAATACTGCAGATTTTACTTTCTTTTTCCATAGGTATAGCATGGGAAATTGCCGTTGTCGAGAAAGGTACTGATATGGTCCATTATGCCATACTTATCACAAAGTCTATAGATATCTGGCACCAGACCTTGTTGATTTGGTGAACATCCATGGTGATAGCTGAGCAGTCGAGTGAGGAGTATCTTGCATTTTCAACTGCCTGCCGAAGAACAGTAGTTTTGTTTTCTGGAGTCTATCACGCCTTCAACTGGCATAACACCAAGGAGACCCAAACATACGAGTTAGTTTCGGCAATCCTTGAATACACTTAAAGGTCACATGCAACGTAAAACACAACTTTGCAGATTCTGATTCCTTTCGGTATGGACTTACCGAAACAAATCATCAAAAATGCAAATTCAACTTATAAAGTTACGCGATGAAAAAAACCGCGCGATATCGTAGTTCAAACGATTCACTAATTTTCCCCCAGCGCTTGGGGGAATTCAAGTGGTTTCAACAGCTGGGCTGCGCTCATAGCACGTGCGCAGTGAAATAGGTTCGCGCAGCTTGGAAGCGGGTTGTCCGGTGAATACTCGGTGAAGGCTTTGGTGTGAGCTATTTTTCTAATGTTTTGTTGATATTTCACAGGCGCGAGCTTTTTATATGTTATGACAGTAGATTAACTGTATATATAATTTCATTTGTCTATTTCACCACACGTTCTTCCTACCGAGTCACTTTCTCAGTTCGATACTTAAAAGCAATGTCATTATTTAGCGTTGACAGAATTTCTAACTGTGATATAGATATGTCGTTGTCACAGACAAAACTCAATGTCTGTTTTATTGACACCTATGTGTCTGCCTGCCTGTCTGCTAATGACCATATTCAATACACAACTGCGATCACTGACCACATGCAATTTGAACTTAACACCAATCAGGCTATATACCATAAACAAAACGCATTGATTTATGGCCCGAGTTCGGTCTCTGTCACATTATGTAATTACACAGACAGGCAGGTGTGATACTTGTACACATGACATGTTATGATGTCTGTTGATTGCAAAAATGTTATACACAAAAAATGAGCATGTATTTACAAAACCCAACATCTCTATATATACACACACAATGAGCCGTGAGGGAATCTGCAAATGAACCAGCCGTTACACTTGAGTGCACACCCACCCGCTCTGACTGCAGGGTTCAGTATCCCGGCTGCTTCGTTTCTTGGGAAGTAAACCCAAGTACACAATATTGCACTTTTGATTTGCGATTGTACGCTTATAATTTTGTTTATATGTTTTTTCATAACCAGCAATGTATATTATATGTCATGAATAAGTGATAATTGTGTTTTAATTATGTTTGATTTTTTGGGTGCATGTGACCTTTAATTATATACTACTCAAAACAAGTTAAGGGTCATGCGATGTCATCATGTAATGTTATTGATGAGGCTGGTTGCATTATGCATGAATAAAACTTTACATTCCGTGTATGGTAGTTTATTCACAACCATTGCAGAACCTGGATAAAGGCTGCAGATAACCGTGGTGCCAATAGACATCATGTGGTAGGGTGTTAAAAAATGAACAAATTGAAACATCGAGTAATTCACAGAAGCGCCACCACTGTGCTTGTGGAAGATGATGTTTCATCATGAACAACATTTGCACGTGTTCTTCGTGGGATTAGTGCTGTTCATGCTTATTTTCTCTATAAAACTTGTAATTGTCGCATTGTTATTGTCACTTGAAATTCTACAATAGCAAGACGTCAACTGAGCATGAGAGACAGAGGAAGAGCTCTTGCTTGGCTTCAAGATGGCAAATCTCAACACAGTATGGCTCAGAGACTAAACGTGAGTCAGAGTGTCATTGGAAGGTTATGACACCGGTTTCGTGTCACTGGAATGCTGAATAATCGACCACCTTCTGGCAGGCCTCCATCAACAACTCCTAGAGAAGACCGATACCTGACAAATATGGCCCTCCCACAACGCAGAGTAACCGCCAGACAATTCCGTGACCAACTGAGAACTGACACAAGTACCCTGGTATCTGATCAGACTGTCAGGAACCGACTGACGAGGAACAATCATCGGGCACGGCGACCAGGGCCCCGTTCCTCAAAGCGATCGTAGCGCTACGACAGTCGTAAGTCTATGTTAAAGTATGGGAGTTACGACTGTCGTAGCGCTACGATCGCTTTGAGGAACGGGGCCCAGCAGTACGACCACCGCTCCTTCAGCGACACACGACGGCAAGACATGACTGGTGTAGACGCCATGTTCGTTGGCTACGTGCTCAGTGGGCATCAGTTCTTTTCTCCGACGAGTCTAGGTTTACTCTACAGTTCAATGATGTTAGAACTCGTGTGTATCGGCGTCTAGGAGGGAGGTGTGCTGACGTTAACGTCAGCCAACGTTTGCCATATGGAGGCGGGGGTGTCATGGTTTGGGGTGAGTTTTCCTTTCATCAAAGGACACCTCTCTATGTCATTAATGGTAACCTGACCGGAAATCACTATCTACGGGAGATTATCAGACCCCTTGTTTTGCCATGTTTACAACGTATCGGTGTCGGATCCATATTCCAAGATGACAATGCACGACCACACCGTGCCCGTGTTGTGACGGACTTCCTTAAACAGAACAATGTTCATCACATGGAATGCCAGGCATATTCAGCAGATATAGCCCCTATGGAACATGCTTGGGACGAGTTGGGACGTCGGCTTCGTAACAACCACGCCCCTCCAAACAACCGTGCAGAACTGGCCCAGTATCTCATTGCAGAATGGCAGGCAATACCCCAAGCTTTCTTCCAGCGTCTGGTGCGCAGTATGAGACAGAGGTGTACTGCTTGTCTTACTGCTCGAGGTGGTTACATCCGTTATTAGTTCAATGTTGGCGTTTGAATTTTCACTTCTGACAGTAGGTCACTTTGACCTTATTGATCAGCAATTACTGACATTCCTGCTGTTTTCGCCTCCCGTTATGGTTATCATGAAATGTTGGCTCGAGTTGTTATATGATCGCTACATTTCACTGTTATTTATATTTGTAGTTATGGCCATGAAAAGTTTTTACCCTTAACTTGTTTTGAGTAGTATATATCTGTATGCCCTCTCCAGTATCGTAACTTCAGTTTTCGTTAGTGCTGACCAGAGCTCACACCCGTATAGGGCCTTGGGTAAGGTTATTGCTTAAACGAGCGTGAGACAGGTTTGGGGACTGACGAACTTGGGACTAAATCCAGACCTGATGAGAATATGTACACTGGCTCTCATTGTCGTACAGGCATTAGGTGTTCTCTCTGTAGACTCGACATATTAGCAGCTAGGGTTATTCCTACGTGCTTTATAGTGACAGTACGTGGCAAATTACTACCATAGAGCGTGAGATCAGGGGTCACATCGGCATTTGCGTTTGGCACGTGCGAACGTCATGATCTCTGATTTGCTAGCAGAGAAAGTAAACCTCCGTCGTCTGATATAGTTCTCAGCTATCAGTAATAATGTCTTTAGACATGCCGCTTAACTGCGGCATGGTATCTCTGTGAGCTAGCACTATAAAACCAGGTTAAGTCTGGGCTAGTACATGCACGTCGTCATATGAGCGAGCTATTCTTAAGTACGACGTTAAACCCTATTTCACCTCACCTCACAGATTTGGGTCTTGGTACCTAGCAGGTCAGCATGACAAACTGATCCACATGGCAACCAACAGTCCTGGTCTGTCTCAGTCCTTGGAACATATCCCTCCACCCCTCTTCCTTCCGCTCAACTCATAATGCTGTAGCTATTAATTTCATAAGGGCGGGTTACATTTTCCACAGAATCTGAATCTGAAATCTTACTGGGTCTCTTTTTACATTTAGTTGAGTTGTTTCTATCAAATGTATGTCGTTTATTCTGAGACAGTGTCAGTCTGCCCCAATCCCCTGTAGAAATGTAAATAAGAGTATTTACAGATAACCCGCCATATAGTAGGAATATTGTTGATTGCGGCGTTAAACAACAAACCAATCCAAACGAATGTATATTCTTCTCTGAAGACCCGGGTTCGATTCCCCACATGGGCACAATGTGTGAAGTTAATTTCTAATGTCCGGGATCTCTTGAAACTGCACGATTATGTGTTGAACGAGTGTCCATCACTCTTGGCAGTCAGTGGTTATATGAGGTAAAGGACATATTTTTTTAAGTAACACCAGTGCATGCATTCCATTTGAACGTTAACGGTATATTCCTCACTCAAAGCTTGTTACAGTCAGATCGCAGGTTACTAACAACAATCTCCTACCTCAGCTTACCTGTGATTAATCAGAGGATAATGTTTTATTACACTGAGAGAGTGCGTGAGTGAGTTTAGTTTTACGCCTCACTCAGCAATATTCCAGCTTTATGGCGGCGGCCTGTAAATAATCGACTCTGGACCAGACAATCCAGTGATCAACAGCATGGACATCGATCTACGCAATTATGATAGGATGACATGCGTCAACCAAGTCAGCGAGCCTGGGCCTAGATTTTCGAAGCTCTCTTAGCGCTAATATAGTCGTAAGTTAATGCTAATGTATGGCACTTACGACTATCTAAGCGCTAAGAGAGCTTCGAAAAATCTAGGCCCTGACCACCCGATCCGTTAGTCGCCTTTTACGACAAGCGTGAGTTAATGAAGTTCAATTCTAACTCGGATCTTCACGGTTTACTGAGATTACTTGAGTTGAAGAATGCTTCAAACAGTACTTCAGATATACTGAGTCAAAAGAAACTTCTGACATTCTTTCTTCAGGGCACTATAAAGAACAAGAGATGGTAAGATGGTTAAATTGTTATTATTTCATTGCTGAGATCTGTGTGATGTACTCGATACACTGACAGTGCCATAATCAGTTCCATTAGGCTACACCGCCGTTCCAAAACATGGGTATACAGAATGTCAAGTCACAAGAATAAAAATGCGAAATTTCTCAGTTCAATATCGTGTATGGCCGCCCCGCCTCATTCACCACTGCCAAACACCGTCTCCTCATCGACTGCCTGATGCTTGTGAACACGTGGTTGGGGATTCTGCGCCATTGCTCTTGCAAGGCAGCGCCAAGTTCCTGCAAATTCTGAGGTTGGTTCCTAAGACCACGAAGCCTTCTCCCAAGTGCATCCCAAACGTGCTCTATTGGATTAAGGTCAGGGGACCTCGATGGCCAGTCCATGACGTTGATTCCAGCGTTTTGAAGGAAATTTCGTGTCAACATCGCGGTATGCGGCCGAGCATTATCATGCTGGAACTGTAGACCTGGGCCATGAGCCGCCATGAAAGGAACGAGTTCAGGGGTGAGCACCTGGTCGCGGTAAGCAGCAGCTGTGAGGTTTCCACGGATGACCAGAAGTCGGGAACGGTTGTTCCCACAGAAAGCACCCACACCATGCAACTTCCGCCCCCGAATCTGTCGACTTCCTGTACACAACATTGGGCATACCGTTCACGACGTCGTCTCCAGACTCTATGCCTGCCGTCCGCGAATCTGAGGGTAAACCTGGATTCATCGCTAAAGACGACTCGATTCCAGTCTCTCTGGGTCCATCGGAGGTGACGTTGGGCCCACAGCAGACGTTGACGTTGATGAAACGGCGTCAATATTGGCCCACGATATGGACGTCGAGAATGGAGATTGGCAGCCCGCAACCGATTTCGAATGGTCTGTGAGGACAGTCGACCTCTAAACATCTCAGCCCTGGTTCGTGTAGCCGGCAGAAATCTGTCACGTAGGTGACGTAGGACGATTGACGGTCTTCTGCTCGTGACGTCACGTGGACGACCCGACCTTGGGCGATCAGAAGTGGTGCCAGTTTGTTGTAGACGACCTCGCAAGTCATACACAGTACGACGGCTGCATCCCATTGCTCTTGCGACGTCAATAACTGATCTTCCCGCTTGCAACATGCCAACGGCACGTTCACGTTGCACATTTGACAATCGTGGCATTTCAAGTACCGTTAGAACTGTGGTTTAAAAGTGTTTTTTCAATTCCTGAGGCCAATGCAAACACGGGCATATGAAGAAAACTTCGATGCGAAGATCACGTGATCGACTGCACGTGCAAAACCTGATTTGGCACTAACGTCATTTGCACGACGAATGGATGGGTTTGAGTGGGTTTTGCTAACGTTTTTCTAGAGTCGAAGATAGGGATCCCATTTCGGATACATAGATGTATCATCAGAGAAAAATTATTCATTATTTTCTCAAATTACATTTTTGTGAAGTTTCTTTTTGACTCTTATAATGTAGAAAATAGGATTATAGGGTTTTTGCTTTAGGGACAAACTATAGGGCATCTACCTTTAGATACAAATGTCTGGACAAGAAAAGGTATTATGAGAACTATCCATACCTCTAAGAACTATGACACACTTATGTATGTAATCATTGAGTCTGACCACATGATTTGACACTGATCAGCATAAATGCCAAACGACCCATTCCAAACCAGAACCACAAGAACATACAATACACAAACTAAATATTAGTATACATCGCTGAAACAGCATGACTCTTGGATGATTTTCAAGAAACATTAGCATTCAATAAAACCATGAAAAATTAATATATATTTTCAATTTATTCATGAAGTCTACACAAAATGCATTTCATAGATGACAATGTCACATCTGACAAATAAAGGGCCTGGACACATTTCTATCGAAGTAGTCTTTGTGTATCCATCCTTGGTTGTCCATTCCAGTGAAGATGGTACATATACTGTTTGAATGACAACTGTTTCTTAAGGTAACGTTTTCCCATCAAATCTCGAGGATTGTGATGTTTATTCAACAAATGTTCATGTCTGTTGCTGTAAAATTGTAAATATCGTTTTCATAGCGAAAATGGACTATGGCCATTAATGTTGTATGGTATATGTGTCACAGACTTCAGGAAGCAAACATCTTGGAATATGCTTTCTTTTGTTGATTCTTGTAATCATCTTTCATCTTTTTTGTCTTCTGAAGCTCTCTCATTATGCCTAATAAACATCAGAATAACACAGTAAACAAAAATCAGTGTCAATTTAATGAGCCCGGATTAAATGTATGATCATCACAATTCAGTTGTCAACATTGAAGCAAGATATTGAAATATTTTTTTATATTTAAACAAATCAAACATGATTCAAATGAACTGACCAATATAATGAACTGGGTTTAATTTTCATATGGCCAGACCAATTTTATTTCTTGTTTTACCGATCCGCCTGTCTTATTTTTTCAAGAATAAGAGAAAAATAAAAATTAATTTTCCCCACTCAAAAAATAACATCCTGATGTTTTTATTGGCCAAAAATGTAAACTTACAAGAAAAATGTCTTTTGCCCCATATACACTTCATAAATTGCCAAAAGTAAAATACTTTGGGTATTTAGAAGGAATATTACTTTGACTGGTGATTTTATTTTTATTTTTTCCCCCTCCTGCCTTTAGGTTTTCTGAGGACAAAAATCTGTAAAACAAGAAACAAAATTGGTCTGGCCTAAGCATGCTTCATATTTTAGTTGAAACAATTGTAACAAAATAAACTTAGTGGTCCCTTTGAGTACATTATAACAAATGTTTACTGTAAAGGGTTTTTCTTTTTGAACAATTGAATAAGCTCAAATAGTCTCTGACCCAAATTAACTTGGATAAAAACTGACATGTGAAGTAAATATCTTTGTAATTTGCATATGGCAGAGCTGAAATTCTATCCTCCATGTTTATATATGCTGTCAATATTTTTAGATTGTATTCTTACCTTTATCTTCAGGTTGAGATTTTAATGCTGCTTCAAGATCAATCTGAAACACACAAGCATAGAGTCACGTGATATTTCTTATTAACTTCCCATGCCACTGCAAGCAGCAGCTCATCCAAAAACCATCACCTAACTAAATGAGCTGACCAACTGTCCTTATTTGTTACGGACCGCCTCTGTGGTGTAGTGGTTAGAGCGTCCGCCCGGCAAGCAGAAGGTCGCGGGTTCGATCCCTGACCGCGTCATACCAAAAGACGTTAAAATAGGGTACTTGTTGGTCCCTGCCTGGCGCTCGGCATTAATGGGTACAACAAGGACTGGTCGGCTCGGAGTCAGTATAATGTGTCTGAGTGGGGTATTCATGCTTCACTGTGGCATGGTATCTCAGTGGGCTAGCACTATAAAACCAGCTTCAGTCTGGGCTAGAACAAGCAGCTGTACATACACATACACACGCATGCACGTCGTCATATGAGCGAAAGAATCTCAAGTACGACGTTAAACCCAATTTCACCTCTCACCTTATTTGTTACAACCACAAGCATAATATGAATTAGTAAATGGAGTTAATTTAAGATCAATAATTTGATTATCTATTCTAAAGTAGGAGTCATTTCCAATGATGCACATTGGATAAAGTGTCATCTTGCCCTATGACAACAGTAGTCCTTTTCCTCTCTCAGAAGTACTTACTACGGCATCATCCCAGTTCTTTAGTGCGTTTTGGGCCTGAGCTCTTCTGAATAAAGCTTTTGCATTTGTAGGCTCTTTCTCCAATACCTGAAAACAATAGGTACAATGGGAAATAAATGAAACAAGCATCAATTTGAAATTAAGTAAGCAAAAAAATGTGTAAGGCTCACTAATACGATCCAATAAACAATCCATGAAATGATTGTACAGTGATTTAACAGATTTCATTTTGGGAGTTTTCCAAGTTTAAGACATGTAATTTGTCATCATTCTCAATAAATTAAAAATACCCAAATGTAAATTTTTCTAACACTGCATCTATCGCATGAATATATATTGGGTGATCCCCAAATTTGAAAAGAATCCATTCAAATGTGTTCGACCTTTAGGGGTTTAATAAAAACAAGACTTTTAACAACCCGTAATTTTTTGAGAATACAAGCTTTTAGATTCAGTTCTTGTCTTACATCTGAAGAAAGCCGGATCCAGTAGCTTTTTAACTGAATTCCCATACATAAAACAGTACATATGTAAGAATACTTACAATACTGAGTTAAGTTCTTAGAACAGAAAAGACCTGTGGCAACAGAGCATTCCAAAAGGTCAGACCTGTTCTATGGAATGCATTTTCAAATTAGTGATGCTGGTTGATAAAACCCATGATCATAAGTTTCAGGTGTGCCAAAGGGAGGTAACTCTACAAAGTATATTGCTGCGCTGTAGATGACACAGACCTCTGTGTCTGATTTCCAGTGTTCAGGGACAGTGAACACCTGAATACTTTCAGATAACAGTTCAACATTCCTCTATTTCTGACTTCCTATGTGCAACAGCCCTTCGACACAGAACTTCATAAATCAAGTAATCATTTATTCTTTAAAATTGCGAATGCCATCAAGTTTTCTAGCACTTACTTCGTGACAGTTTTCAAATGCCTCTTCATATTCACTTAATTTCAAATTACATGCTGCTCTGAAAACAAAGACAAAAAGAAAATGTATCAAATAACTCAAAAATGATTGTATGACTGCCTAATAATTTAATTACAATACTTGGACATAAAATTCTTCAAAAGGCATTTAGAAGTTGGCGTAGTACTACAAGACAAATCTTATGGATAACAACTTCTTGATTTATTTTTCACAACGTTTCTGGGCTCGTTCTTGCCCCTTCTTCAGGTGAATAATGATTTACCTGAAGAAGGGCAAGAACGAGCCCAGAAACGTTGTGAAAATAAACCAATAAGTTGTTATCCATAAGATTTGTCTTGGACATAGTATTTAACTATAAACATCAAAATCAGTGTAAATTGTTCATGTCTTGTCAATCCAACATTAAATCATATAACTTTGAGACTCTATGTAAACTTTGAGGGCTATTGAAGATCTACTGAATGGAACTACAAATCAGAATCAACATTCATTCTTATATCATGTTTAACACACAACATGTACCTTCAGGTTGTATTGTGATATATATCATCAACTCCATCCAAAAGGTCTGCTGTTATCAGACACTAAACACATTCAATTTCTTACAGAAATAAACGAAAAATATCTGACTGGAACAACAGGCGCGATGCAATTTTCACATTGCTTTTACGTTACTTACAGATTAAGGAAGAATGGTAGAATATGTGTGCGGCCAATGTCTTCTTCTTCTTGTTCTGGTAGAGACATCTGATTACTCATCGTATGTAGATACCTCCAATGACAAAATAGAAACTGGACTAAGAAATGAAGTGAGTGAGTGAGTACACTGGAAATGGAATCTGAGGACCAAGAATCAGATTTACTGAAGAATCTTAAATATTTGCCCATGAGAGGAAAACTGCCAACGAAAATTAATGGTTCATACTGACAAACAATCTCATTCTTCACAGCGATCCTTCATAGCCTAGTGGATGAAAACGCCAAGCTAGAAAGCAAAGGTAGCGTGTTCGAAACCAGGCAGCGGCACTACACATTGGAAGTTTTCAATAATGTAATATTTTATGATCGAATTCAGTGATGGCAAGACAAAGTTAGATCAATCTTCAAAGCAAGTAATAATTCAATGTAAAGGGATATTCCTCAGAAACTCCCCGGGATGAGGGCTATTCTGTAGAAAATCCACGGATATCTTGGAGAATGCACGCGAAACTACCTGTACTCGGTAAAAGGAGAACCTGGCAATACAATAGAGTGACATCACTGGAGGTTTATAAAAGGATTAGTAGCCTGCTCCTCACCTTAAAGCTTTTCTGTACTTCCTCTTGGCTTTGGCAAACTTTTGTTCCTTAAACAATGTGTTTCCAATCTTCTTGATTTCAAGAGCAATTTCTATTATTTTCTCCTTGTTGTCTTTCTGTAACATGAAGAAAAATCAATTTCAGCAAAAAATATATCCATAAAACTAGGGCTAGACCTACCAAAAGGAATTCCCATGGTCAAGACTAGTAATTATATGATGAAATTTCCTTGGTCAGATGAGGGATTTTTCCTACCAGAGAGAAGTCCAGACCAGCATCTATAGGGAAGTCAGCATAAGTGTCTCCTGTTCCGTCGTCTTTGGTTTTCTGGAAATCCTCACCAGGGAGGAGCTCCCCACAGTCAGAAATTACACATTCCTGAAAACCAGGGACATTCTGAATTAACTGATAATCGATAAAGCTGCTGAGTTAACAAACAGTTCTTAACGCAACACACAATATTAGTATAAAAACAAATAAGCGTGAAAAGTAATATATGCAAAATACTTGACTGAATCTGTATCATCAACCAACCTGGACTGGTTTCTCTCCATTTTTCTCCACATTCTCCAACTCACTCACGATGCCCATTCCATTGATGACTTTACCGAACACGACGTGTTTGTCGTCAAGGTGTGGTGTGGGCACTGTAGTGATGAAGAACTGAGACCCATTGGTGTTGGGTCCACTGTTTGCCATGCTAAGTAGACCTGAAACGTCATGCTGCAAAAACAATAATTACACAGGTCAAAGATCTGTCATCACTGTCAAATATTCAACCTATTGTCTGCAGCAAGTTATAGTAAATATTCACAACTTGATATAAAAAATTCAAAGTTGAACTAACAATGTCCTATGATTAACAACTATTAAAAGAAGAACAATATGTAATCAGATTTTGAACAATATGATGAGTTTGTTTCAATTTGCTTGGCAAGGGTACTTAGTTTGAAATCCTAGATAAATTCTTGCACATAAAATATCCCTAATATTTTACACTGAAAGTGAGTGAGTGAATTTAGGTTTATGCCGGTTTTAGCAATATTCCAGCAATATCACGGTGGAGGACACCAGAAATGGGCTTTGATGTGGGGAATCAAACCCGGGTCTTCGGCGTGAAGAGTGAACCTTTAACCACTAGGCTACCCCACCGTCCCTACACCATAAGTAAACTGTTAGGTTATTGACAATTCTAAAATGTGAACACACAGCAAATCATATCAATATACACCATACAGATTCAGGACTTTTTACATCATCTACATGCCTTGATGACCAAACACAAACTCTTTGATATATATTATGGAACCAAACATTTGATGCGAGGGAAAAAAATGAACCTGCAGGACCATTTATAAATTTCAGTCATATGTTCAATCAGTACCTTGTAAAGAAATCCTTCATCATCAAACTTAGCTCCATAGATGCTTTCTCCACCGGTGCCATTATGGTTGGAGAAATCTCCTCCTTGGATCATAAAATCCTTGATGACTGAAATCAGACATGAAATTACTTAAAACCCTTGAGACCAAACCTTTCGTTATAGATTGTCATAAATAGATGACAATATTGTAAGACAAAAAACCCTGTGGACAAAAGCCCCCAAGGACAAAACATCCTTGGACAAAAACCCATAAGGACAAAATCTCCAAATGGAGACCTTTGGACAAAACCCCCAAACATGTTGTAACTGCTGAGTGATTGACTTAAGTGAAATGTTTTGATTGAATCAGTAATAGAGATTATCAGTGACAGGGATTAACAGGCTTCTGTTACGAGTGGAGAGATCACACAACAATTTAAAATAGTTTTAATACTGGCAGTCTATACATATATACAAATGTGCAAAACAAGTATCATGGTATATGTTAAAAGTCTTACTTTGGTTATCACATGGATATACAATTGTTCCTGCTCCATCACATTCCTCAGAATAATAACTCATAGAAGCTTCCACATGAAATTCACTCTATGCTGACATGGCATATTCAAGTAGACAGCTTAAACTTGCCGACATGGCCAATCCGTTCAGATCACTCCCGACCCGGGCACTGATCACTTTGTGTGTTACCTTGCTTGAACAAGTCAAACCCAAGCTACAATTATATAACATCGTTGTTTCATTACCCCAGCTTACTTATAGACAATGGAGAGTGAGTGAGTTTAGTTTTACGCCGCACTCAGCAATATTCCAGCTACATAGCGGCGGTCTGTAAATAATCGAGTCTGGACCAGACAATCCAGTGATCAACAGCATGAGCATCGATCTGCGCAATTGGGAACCGATGACATGTGTCCACCACGTCAGCGAGCCTGACCACCCGATCCCGTTAGTCGCCTCTTACGACAAGTATAGTCGCCTTGTGTGGCAAGCATGGGTTGCTGAAGACCTATTCTACCCTGGATCTTCACGGGTGACAATGGAGAGTGGTCACTGGTAAGCATAGCTTCTCAGTTAAGGTGAACAGGTATTTTAGGGAATGTAAATATATTTTAGATTTATAAATATATATACAGAATTATGTATAGATATATAAGACATTCTCATAACACTTCATTAATTAACTTAGTATTTCGTTTGTAAACATTAATAAGGGTGATGCTTCATTACTGATTGTCTCTTTATCAGGATTAACTGACTTCAAGAGTATAAAAAGTTTAATTAATCAACTTAGTATTTACATATGTACACATTATTAAGTATTTCAACTCACTGTCATATTACAACTGATATAAATATATGCTCCATAAACTAAGCAGGCAGTAGCATTCCAGCATGGAGATATTGTAGAATAATAAGGGTGGTGTCAAGTTGAGCTATGAAGGTTATATGAATACAAAGAAGAGGCAAATTAGTGCTCAAATTGTGATGTACCCAGTTTATGCTGGTGCTCATTGGTGCTCATAATGTATGTGTTGTCGGCTAAATAAAATATTTGAATAATAAACAATCATCATTATTCATTTGGTGCTTTTGGGCTTTTTGTCCAACATGGTGGGGACTTTTGTCCTAAGGGGTTTTGTCCTTGGGGGTTTTGTCCGCACACTATTGCAGGTATATGATGAGAATCTGGTGGCCAAGCTTGGGAAAATGGTTGTGCATCAGCTCACATTTATGGTGTGGATTGTTGTACGTAATTATTAATATCAATCACTAATTACCTGTAAATGACTTCGATTATATACAAGTGGCCATCATATAGCTAGAATATTGCTGAGATCGGTGTTAAACAGCAAACAGCAGAATTTTCTTTGCACATACCTTTGTCACTTGTTTTATGAAAGTAATCAATCCTTAAAAGCCTTCAAAGGACATTCAACAAATCCTGGGGGTATTTAGAATATCCTAAAGTTCAACTAAATTAAAAACAGTAGCAAGGTTCAAAACTTACAGCAGAAAACATCCATTTAGCAGACCATTGCCTAAGCTTTTTGACATAGTCATTACAGCAAATATTCTCAAGGCAGGCAACAATAAACAGGATCAATTACATTTGTGGTGTTACTTTGATTATCAACCACACCCATTATAATATCTTTATAAAATATTCTGACATGAATGACACCAGGCTCATTAATCAACAGAGTTAACATAATTAGATCATATCTGACAGACAGGTATGTATTGTGTCAGAGTTGTGATCTGATTTCAAAGTCAGTGCCAATAACCAGCAGCACCTACTTCTGTGAAATGGGCATCCTTTGAAGTGTAGAGGCTTTCCTGTTGTTGTTCCTACTCCTTTTTCACCTGTACATAATGGCACGGAAGTTCTCAGCTGTTTTAGGTAATTTGTCCTTGAACAGTTCAAACACCACCTTGCCAACTGAAACAGAATATAAATACATATAATTCTTATGAATTTCTTATGAAACATGATGCAATTTCTTGATTATCATCCAGTCAATGCATGTATTTAACTTCAAAATCCGAACTGAGGAATGATCCACTTTTATTTTCTGACATCTGTTGGTTACTAATACATATCGTTTCTCATTATTCATGATGATGTTCTAACCTAATGCTGTCTTTGCATAAACCATTAAAAAAAACTCAGTTAATTTCATTGTAATTAATTATAATTCTTGGTATAAAGGGTATAACTGCTAGGTATTAAGGTGAGGTGAAATGGCGGCTGGCTAGGTATTAAGGCTATAACTGATTATTATGACTCTTTGGGTTGAGTAAAATTCGAATCTGAACAAACAGTAATTAGCTATACATATTCATTTGGCTCCATTCATTGAATTTCCATGAATGTTTCAACTTTCATACTACTTTGGTGGTAAATATTTAGTATTTTGTCCAAAACTTATCTCAATTAATTTCATAACTTTGATAACTATGATCATTATTACTCTACTTACGTAAACAACTATATTATATATTATCTACTGAACATTCTCAAAGAATCTCATGTGTACATTTCGACATTTCTATTACAAGAAAATGTACAAAATTATCTAGACGTTTTAATTGTACGAAGATTTCTTTTAGGATTAGGCTATAAATAGCGTAAAACATATACATAATTGTCATAGTCAGGTACAAACATCTGTTACATGAGACACTGTGCTAGTCATGCAGCCCAGATTCCTCTAGCATGTTCCAAAATTCCAAAGGGCTATTTTTAGCCTATGAAGACCCGGGATCAACCAGTCGTGTTGGCTGGTGAAATGTTCATGTTAATGTGATAATTTACAAATTGTGATTGTCAGCTTAATCGCACAAGGTACTCTATTCGTGCAGCAAAAATACACCAGAAGCATCATGTGACAACAACACTCACTGGAATCACCATCGACCGCGATGTCAAAGAAAACTCGGGGATTCCCATCTTCCGACGCCATGCTGCCGCAGAATCAAACCGAGGCTAAATTGCGGAAGTGACGTATGGTTGTATATAAAAGCTGGCAAGTCTCGGGAAGTGCAGAGTCATATTTTCAGACTAAGCTTAGGATGGAGTTTCCCAGTTTAGGAAAGAATTGCTTCCAGTCGAGTTGTAAACAACTAGGTAAGTATGTGTTCGGTCCATTTAGAATCCTAAACATTTCATTAATATTTCATTAATGTTACCATGTGCCGAAATAAAAACTGAAAGAATCTGTCAACAATGTTTAAATTGTCCTCGAAATTTGTATTTCACAGAGTTGTCAGTTGACAAGTAACTTCTCGAGATCATCTGAATACGATGTCAGAGAACTCTTATACTACTTGTTATATATCATTAAAATGATAATAGTTGAATTCTTTTGGTTCATATATATTACGTGGTAATTAGTAATTACGCAGACGTGTTTTCGTCACGATCAGACTGATTACGATCATGTGGCCTGTTATAACGAGTGTTATCATGGTTTTGTCAACTTCGTTGATTGACATCGAGACAATTTTCTGTAGTTTTCAAACCTATTTGTGAAATTGTATAAACAAGACTGTGACTACTTTTTAATTCTGTCAACATGTCATCACAAGACCAAATTTAGTATTTACTACATTCATTCGGAATCATTTGTTATCAAATCAAATTTACCCTGATTTGAAGTGTGAGACTGTTGGTTGATTTAACATGTTTATATGACATTCTCCCATTTTGAGACATACCCAAAACCTTCCAGAGTAAACTTAATCCTGAAAATGTTGAATTTCTTGTCATACTCATCAATGCTCAAAAACATTGTCATAAGAATGACATCCATAGTTAAGGACCATTCCAAACATTTTAATTTGACATAATATGAATACTCTGACCAAATTGTTTTGACAAGGATTGACAAATGAGTATAGAAAGGTTCACTGTAAAGGTTAAAACTGGAAATATGATAAGTTGGTTTATCTTTGGCTGGCAATACCATTAGACATGTAATGAATTAAGATTTTATTCCACATCAACATGATCAAGGTTTTGTAACTGTTCCTTGACAGACCGGTGAAGATCCGGGTTAGAATTGCTCTTCAATAACCCATGCTTGTCGTAAGAGGCCACTAACGGGATCGGGTATGGTCAGGCTCACTGACTTATTGTTGACCATGTCATCGTATCCCAATTGCATAGATTGATGCTCATGCTGTTGATCACTGGATTGTCTGGCCCAGACTCGATTATTTACAGACCGCTGCCTTATAGCTTAAATATTGCTGATTGCAGCGTTACACAACAACCAAACCACATCACAAGTTGTATGCCCTATGCGATCATTCTAGCAGTAACAACATAAAGACGTGTCATAATTTGGTACAAGGCATTAACATGACTACTATTTACTATGAAATGTCTACAGTGTCCTTTTGTGGATAGCTAGATGTTCATATTCCTCAGCCATGTTGACATGAAGAATGCTTATTTCTCTAACCAAACTCATTTTTCTGCAGATTTCCTTCCTATGAAATGTGATGCCTGTTCAAACATCTTTTGGTAAGTCACCATAATCACAATATTATCTGGTACCCTCTTGAGATATACTTCGGTAGTCAACTTGTTTATAGTTTAGTCCACTAGTCCTTATAATCATGATAATTATAATATATACATTGTAATAGCAAACCCCTTAAAACAGCAAATCTTTCCTGGTGTTTGTCACTGCTTATGGTACCTTAGTTTGGCAAGAACTATAGGACTAGTGGCAATTTGTATCGCTGTATCTATAAATACTGACCATGGTGACACCCACTATTACATATCTTTGTTTATATTAGACATGTTTTTGTTAGTATGTTACGCTGATTACTGAACCTCATAAAAGTGATGACGGTATGTGACTTTTCATATATTCAAGTTGTTTTCAGAAATTCTCCCACTTTCTGATATTTGTACAAACTAGTCATCATCATGAATCTGTTTCTTTTACATTTTTCAGTCGGGACCATATCAAGTATGATACCCACAATTGTACAGAATCCTACAAGAAGGTATGTCCTATAACCTGGGGCATGTTCCACAAACGAGTGGTAGCCTAGCTGTTAGAGTGTTACCATGTCAAGCAAACATGGCAAACGACCAGTGTTCAGATTCCCACATGGGTACAATGTGTTATAAAATTTGGATAAAGAGGGTCTTTTTGTGTTATTTTTAATAGATATGTTTGTGATGAAAACTTACATATCAGATTATTTATGGTTCCTTTAAATGTTATGTATACATAGTATGTTATAACTGTAAATATTAGAAGTTTAATGTGAGATGTTCAAAGCAGTATTTATGATTTTCATATACTTCTTTGTATCAAAGAGGCAGTGGGGTAGCCTAGTGGTTAAAGCGTTTGCTTGTCACGCTGAAGACCCGGGCTTGATTCCCCACACTGGTGCAAGATGTGATGCCTATTGCTGGTGTCCCCCACCATGATATTGCTGGAATATTGCTAAAAGAGGCGTAATTCTAAACTCACTCACTCACTCTTTGTATCAGGACAATCAAGTTCCTGTGTGTCCACTGTGCAATGAGGCCATATCAGTGAAGAAAGGTGACCTCCCCGATGCTGTTGTCAGTCGCCACATAGACAATGACTGCTCATCAGATCTTGCCAAACAGAGAAGAAAGGTAAACATCACTTAGTCATTCTTCTTAAGTGTTTATTTTATTGCTGAGCCTGCAGGGATGCTGATTAGAGCCTATCCCTTACATCCCAAGTCAGTTGGAAGAGGTGAATTAATGGAACTGGGCCTCGTCCCACAAAACAACCATAGGCTAAGGTGAACGTAAGTTCAGAGATTTCAGCCTGAAGCATGAGTTAAGGTTGGTACACTGTTCCATGAAACAGTGTAACTAAGGTTAACATATAGTTATGATCAAGATCTAAGGTTGATCCGACCCAAATAAATACAGTTGAAGTTATGTATTTATTTAGTGTATATTGTTTTAAATAATGAGGTTTATCTACAATAATTAGTATTTTATTTATTATAAACATGTATTTCTACTCATATATATATATACTGTATACTGTATATATACTGTCATACAATCTCCCTAAGAGTAAAGCAAAACATTAAAAAAGAATTTTGTCATTTATCTATAATATATATATGTTATCAAAATTCATTAGTTGAACCTAATTATTTTGTCATGAAACCAGATGTTAATGTTAGTGACTGAATTAGTGTTTGACTGAATGTGATTAGTGAATGAAACACTGATACATGGTTACTTAATTACTAGTATTGTTATAAGCATAACAAATTATCACCTGATCAAAATCTAGGATGATCATCAAGCTAACTGTGCAACTTCAGACTAAGGTAACCTTTATTCTAAACTTAGAGATAATGGTTAGCCATAGTGTTTAAATTTACCCTTAGCTAAGGCTGTTTTGTCGAACAGGGTACCGTTGTACAAAGTGATCTTAGTGCTAAGGTGGTCTGAACTCCCGTACCTTAACATAGACATGCGACTGTCGTAGCGCTGCGTTTTTTTACAACGGCACCCAGGACGTCGCTGGTGAGATTCAGTGACTTGGTTTATTCTGTGTCATCAGTTTATCTTTAGGAGGCATGGATTACTATCAGCCACTGGATTGTCTGATCAGGATTAAATTATGTACACGCCTTTGTCATAGCGCTGGAATATCACGAAGTTCATCTCTGTCAACTGACAGACCAGGGTCCCATTTCACAAAGCAATCGTAGCGCTAAAGTGATCATAACTCCCATAATTTAGCATAGACGTATGACAGTCATAGGGCAACGATCGCTTTGTGAAACAGGCTCCTGCTCCATATTACACTGATTATCAAGATTATGAAAACACTCGCTCTACATGTATGTTTTTTGTGTGATTCTCTTTGGCTTGTTTATTGTTTTTGTTTCTGTAAATTTCAGATCTATACCAATAAATGTACCTTCAAAGGCTGCAAGCAGAAAGAGGTATGTGTTCAACATATGAAGCATGTTAACATGTGTTAATGAAAATCTCAACAATATGATGATGTTGTTAGTGCTACATGTATAATATTCTGCTGCTATTATCTGAACATGTTAACATGGTTAATGCAAAGATCTACCTAAACATTGCTGAAAACCTAATTGAAGGAATTATTAGTTGATTAATGTATGTATGTTTTTACATGTGTTTTTCATATGTAATAATACTTGTGTCACAGCTGGTGCCAGTTAAGTGTGACAAGTGCCATCAAAACTTCTGTTTACGCTATCGCCATGAAACTGACCACAAGTGTCAGGGATTTGAAAACTCTGGTCAGGGAATGTCAAATGCAGGGTGAGTCCCCCCAGTGAACTGGGAATAACATATCAAAAGTAATGTGTGCTGTAATGTGTGTATTCACATTGTACATGCTTGTCCATAAAAATCATCATCATTAGTGTTTAATGAAGAAACAGGCAATGATGAAACAAAACAAAGGTAATAATAACATGGGGACGGTGGGATACCCTAGTGAAAGTGTTCGCTTGTCACACCGAAGACCCGGGTTCGATTCCCCCATGCATACAATGTGTGTAGCCCATTTTTTGGTGTCCCATGCCATGATTTTGCTGGAATATTTGCTAAAAGCAGCATAAAACTAAACTCACTCACTCACTAATCAGAAGATGTGTAGGAGTCTTGAAGATCTGTCAAGCGTCCAAGTTGTGGTGGGAATTTGATACTGTATATCAAGGATGTAGTCTAGATAAGGTTGTCATTGTCAAATGCTACTAGCCTAATGATGGGATCTGTTCACAGAGCCTTGTTGTGGACATAGTGTATACAGTTAGGATTGTACATCATGGATCGTCCTTTACTTTTGCAGTGTTGCAGCTCTCTTTAGAAGGAAAACTACTGCAGGTTCTTCATCTGGCAGCTCCACATCTAAAAAATCCAACAAACAACCACAACAGACAACAATGACTTCCTTTGGTAGAGGTCTAGACAGGTAACTCTCATGGTCTTTGTGCGGGACATTACCACGATCTGTAACCACATGATATGCCCAGCTTAGCAGTACAGCTAACACTTGAGTCTGATTTAATTACAAAAGTAGAAGCAGCTGAGATTTGTGTGATCCCTTCTACCATATTCTCTACTGCAAATATAAGTACCAGCAGTAAAACTGGTCAATGATTAGCTCTGTATCATGTTTGTATTGTCTTGATCTTTGAAGATTGTATGGCAATATATTGTGATACTCAGCTCTGTATCATGTTTGTATTGTCTTGATCTTTGAAGATTGTATGGCAATATATTGTGATGCTCAGCTCTGTATTACATATTGCAGTATATTTCCAGTTACATAATGCTTTGTTTTGTACCACTTTCTAACCATGCTTCATTTGTTAATGACAAATATTATAAGTTGTTCAGTGGTCTCGAAGGGGACATGGGCTGATGTACCCTTGATGTTAAATGTTTATGTTCCCTGAGCTCAAAGGGCGAGGGGAACATAAAGAAACATCGAGGTACATCAACCCATGGGCCCCAAGGGACCAGTGAACAACGTATTTATCTTACCGAACACCTCAATAGTAATTTTGAATTTGAACTGTTTGAAGCATGGGTATCGGATGATAGTATGGAGTACCAGAAAAACAAATTTAGAGTTATCTCCCTTCCATGGATTTGCATTCGCGAAACATCAGTAATTTCCGTACATCATAAGTGATTCAATGTTATTCGAGATAATGAACTACTACTATGATTCGAAGTACCAAATGAGTTCATTTGGGGTACATAGAAAATGTTACTCGCTTGTAAGCGGGGTACATTGAAAATAATAGAAGAGCGCTCAGCCAATCAGAAAACGACATTTATGTGTGAAGCAAGATAATGGTAAATGTCCTCTTTACCCCTTGTGATGAAAAATTCTTTTGGACAAATCACTGTTGTCATTTGAACATTGTTCGTTGGGCAAGCTAGGAGAGAAGGGGTCATATGATAAAATCAAGCAAACCTTGCAGTTGTTTCTTATTTTTCACTTGTCATCATTTGAATGGTGTGTTACAAAGTATTCACACCATGAAGTGTGTTAAGTGTGTTCTCAGTTGCCTTGTCCTCGGATTTGGGCTCTGAGTGGCTGGCCATACTCAGGTTACCTAAACTGAGGCAGATTATTCATTAGACCAAATATATCATACCAGATATTTATTTTACCAGGGAACGTAGAGAGAGGCAGCAAAGACAAGCAGCACCAACAGCATCAACAGCAGCATCAACATTGCCCACTGGCATGGTATGTAGTTTCCAATGGTTAGAGGGGTTCTGGTAATAAGTAGTATGCAGATGTGTCTGTCATAGTAGTACAGTATATCAGGTGCATGTGTAAATTATTGCCGTATTTCATTTGTCCACACCATTAGTGTCATTGACAGCTTATAAGTGTTATATTCCTTTTATTTCAGACAGAGGATGAAGCTCTAGCACGTGCAATACAATTGTCTATGGCGGAAGGTCAGTCACAACAGCGACCAGCTCAGACAAAAAAACAGGGGTAAGTGTACTTGATTTTCGTGGTGTTCCGATTAATTGAAATAATCGAAGATTGATTGCAGTGACCAAACGACCAAGCAATCGATCACATTTTCTCACAATCGAACATAAACGATTTTGGAACTACTGTTTTAGTCTTTGAAATACTTGACAATGGAACATATCGTTGAAGTTGTCAGGGCATGAAAACGTGTTTAATTCTTAGAAAACTCACTCCACTAGCTGAAAAGCCATGACTGAATATTTCTTGAAGATTCCGGGAAATTTATGTTCATGATATATTAGTCATCACTTTAAAGTAGCAAGTTGCATCATGTTATACATATCTGCAATAACAACCTGGATAGGAAAATCTGAAAAATGACGCTAACCAATTTTTTTCGATGATTGTTCACATTCGTGACCAACTCGTGTTGTTCCGGGACAAGCCGAATAGCGACTCATGCCCCTCTGGAAGGATTTCATATTGGCGCATGAACATCAGAACTACTTTAAACAGGAACGATAACTCTATTCTTGTTTGATTCCAATGGTACTGTATATCACCAAAGTAATCATACATTGTATTGCTGTTTATGTTTTTAAAGAATGAAACCTTTTTGATACAACTAAAAGAAGGAGAAAATCTTGTTTGTTACAGACTTATTGTGACGTAATTATTACCAGATGTTCACCTTATATTTCCAATTATATTTCTGAATAGGGTTTGATTATCACAAATGGGATTTGTTTTATTAAATATGTAAATAACATTTATAAAAGCTACATTAAATCCCAGAGCAGAAACTCAAAAATGACTTTAAAATATTTCTCAAACTGAACATTCGTGTAACCTTGCTGTCATACCCCAGGTGCAATTTTAAATGAATTCGCTGAAAAATATATGAATGACCAAAAACAAAGTCGGACTAAAATATTCCCAGAGATGTGAAATATATGCCCAATGTTAAAGATTAATGTTGATTAGTTACATGCAGATATGTGTCTGCATTCATTGATAATGAAACAATCATCAGTTGTGAGATATCAACCAATTCCCAACACTACTTGATTTAGCACATATTGATCAGATATATATGTCTGTTTGTGTTGATTATATGCTTGATCTGAGTACTTTCATTTGATTGTAATTATGAGTAATGAGCAAGTTGAACCAGCTGAGAGAAATGTACCAGTAAAGTATATCTAAAAAACTGTGATAAAGCAATGTTAGTGTTATCAGTGTCATAATCAGGAATATTGCATACTGAAGGCTGTGTAATGGTTCGTGGTCTGTGAGTGAGTGAGGTATGGTTTTACGCCACCTTCAGCAATATTCCAGCAATATCATGGCGAGGGACACCAGAAATGGGCTTCACACATTGTAACCATATGGGGAATTGATCCCAGGCCTTCGGCGTGACAAGCAAATGCTTTAGCCACTAGGCTACCCCACTGCAGCCGTGGTCTTAATAAAGTGAGGTAATATGATTTCCATCCTGGACTGCCCTTGTCCAAGCTCCTTACACCACCATTACCGTCCCAATATCATCACTGCCACCAGTTTTTCTAGTGGCTATTTTCTTTTACTCTAATCATGCTTATCACACATGTAGTGATATGTATGTATTTGTTTATATCTGGTGCAAAGTTGAAATAATAAATTGTGTAATGAGTAGTTCCTTAGGCGTTGGTAATGAATTAGGTTTGAGGCTTGGTGACTTGATGACATGGTTGTTTGCATATTCACTACACATAATGGCATGGATCAATAGTCATAGGATCATTCACTGGATTGCGTGGCCCAGATTTGAGTATTTACTGCCATTTAGCCAGAACAATGCTGAAGGAGAAGAAAACAACAACCTTGTTATTAGTGTGTATGTTTGTTCCAGGCTAACAGCCCAGGAGCAGGAGGACCAGCTGTTGGCTCAGGCCCTGGCAGCCAGCGAGGAGGAAGCATTGAGGGCTCAGAGGAGGAGGGTAGGTGCAGCTGTATAGGCACTGGGGACATCCAGGCAGAATATAATATAACAGGACAGACTCAAATATTTGGAAAAACATTTCAGCTATTACAAACCATGCTTTATTTGCTGAGACTCTTACTGTCTTTATTTTTACTATGAATTTCATGAAAATGATCCGTCTGAAATTGGTGTATATGGATTTGTCTGTTGTTCTGAAAGCTTTATTAGAACATGAACCAATTTGAGTTCCGGAATGGTCTGAATTGTTTGTCAAGTAACAAATTGTCTGTGGAAATGATGGACCAGATTCCAATGGGCCAGGGACCCATATTGCTAAGAAATTATTCATTATTCATGCGAAATTAGTCAGTGCCCTTGCCAGCTTGGTTAGTCTAACACGGGGCGGTGGAGTAGTCTAGTGGTTAAAGCGTTTGCTTGTCACGCCGAAGACCTGGATTCCATTCCCCACATGGGTACAATGCGTGAAGCCCATGTCTGGTTTCCCCTGCCATGATATTGCTAAATGTGGTGTAAAACCATACTCACTTCTTCTATTACAGTTTTTTTGTTCTAGGGGGCATTTCAATATTATTGTTTACAATACAGAGATTATCTTTTTTATCCCCCATGTCAACTTGTAATTTTTAGGCAATGAAAGTATCGGCGTGAGTGTATGACCCTGATTGTGTGACAGCTGCATCATGGGAGTTTCCGTCTATTGCAGCAGCATCAACAGCAAGAAAAATCAACATGCGAAGTTTCCTGAAACAGATGATAAGGATATGACTTGGCATTCAACCTATCCTACCTAAGTGGCCTCAATGGTATTATCCACATAAAGACATGGAATGTACCATAATTTCTTCCAGGGTGGATTAAGTGTATTAACACTTTTTGTGGCATGGGAATACTTTCAAAGATTGTGTGCAATGATTGTTACGATGCATTCACTGCAGTTCCATTTTGTCCTGTTTATATATATATTGTTAACTTTTATACAGAAGGTTTTACTTGTCATCCATCTCAACAGAGAGAGTCCCAGTCAGACTTGTCTTAGCACTAGTCCAGTGGTCTTATGTTGAAATCTTTCGAAATAATACTTTCTGATCATATTTTTAATATCTTCAGAATTGCATGTCAGTTTTTTGTGTCATAGTGAAAATATAAGAATCTATGCTTCTTGAAAGAAGTTAAGGCCACTTGATGTATTTCTAATTACTATGGTTAATCCATCATGTTATTACAGATCAAACTACAGTAATATGAAAGTATCGGGTGCTCCTTAATTTCTTTTCAGTTGTATACTTAGCTACTCATTCAATGCTTAGATTGTGATGCTTTCTGTATGCAGTAACCATTTTGTATTCTGTTGAACAGAGATAATAATAGACTATTCCTCTACATTTGCCAAGGCTTAAAAATAGCCATGATGGGTGTGATTGAGAGTGAGTGTATGTTTTAAAGTTTTGTGGGCAGTAATTTAGCCATATCATGACTTGCCATGCAGTGAATCTCAAGGTTAAATATGCATCTACTTTCTTGATTTCAACACACTTTCAGCATGTTGAGCACTGTTCACACTTGTCATGTTGTTCCAATCATAGATTTTCTGATTTATTTATTCCACAGGTATGCTGGACACTTTGTAATCATTTTTTGTGCTTTGTTTCCACCATCATTTAAATTTAAATTTTATAATAATCATAAATGTTTCTTCAAGTTTTCAACCAGTTTATTTTCTAAAATCAACGTTGATCAACTGTCAATACCGTAGTCCAGTTTAAACTACTTCTGTACTTAATCATGAAAATTTATATTAAGTGAACAGGTTTAAAATTAAGTGTGTTTCTGATTACAGGAGAAGTTAATAATGTTGGCGTGATTCAACTGTATTGTTAAGTTATATTTCATGATATACATCGTTATTTGAATGTTTTATGTCTGTGATATCAATAAAGTGTATATATATATATTTGACGTAGTTGAAATTTAATGTTAGTATTTCTCAAAGAAGGGATGTACTTCATCTGCATCTTTAACAGCCTGCTTGGTCTCCTTTGTATGATAGCGGTAATTAGCAGCTGAATGTGGAGCAGAAGTTTGGTGATCTGATCCCTGTGACCTACCAAGGATGTTATAAGATGGCACTTGTGAGTGAGTGAGTGAGTGAGAGAGTTTAGTTTTACGCCGCACTCAGCAATATTCCAGCTATATGGCATCAGTCTATAAATAATCGAGTCTGGACCAGACAATCCAGTGATCAACAGCATGAGCATCAATCTGCACAATTGGGAACCGATGACATGTGTCGACCAAGTCAGTGAGCCTTACCACCCGATCCCGTTAGTCGCCTCTTACGACAAGCATGAGTTACTGAAGATCAATTCTGACCTGGACCTTCATGGGTCTGAAGACACTTGTTACATTACCAGACATTTCTCAGACATTGGTGCATCGCTTTAAACCATGCATGTCTTTCTTCTATATTATTTGTTTACTGCCACAAAGAAAGTATTTTTAAAGTTTGTCTCAACTTCTGAAGCAAATTCTGCACAACATGAACTGGAATAACATTGGCATTGTAATGAAGAGCTGAGTTGAAAGTGCAATGTTGTCAGTGCAAAACATCATTTCTGCCATCCAGATGGTGCCCATTACAATAATCTTATTCCCATAGTTAGCTGACATTGATATAAACTGAATATAATGGTAGTTATATGTAACTCAGCTCTGACAAGGCTGAGGACATGGCAGTTATTATTGTCAGGCTGATCCTGGGTGGCTTGGAAGATTGACTGCTCCAGATGGTATTATATACTGTTATAGGCTGACATGATATAACCAATATACTGTAGTTATACAACACTCTGACAAGGCTGAGGACATGAGCATGATCCTGGGTGGATTGGGATTGACTGCTCCAGATGGTATTACATTGTTATAGGCTGACATGATATAACCAATATACTGTAGTTATACAACTGGCTGAGGACATGAGCATGATCCTGGGTGGATTGGGATTGACTGCTCCAGATGGTATTATACACTGTTATAGGCTGACATGATATAACCAATATACTGTAGTTATACAACACTCTGACAAGGCTGAGGACATGAGCATGATCCTGGGTGGATTGGGATTGACTGCTCCAGATTGTATTACATACTGTTATAGGCTGACATGATATAACCAATATACTGTAGTTATATAACACTCTGACAAGGCTGAGGACATGAGCATGATCCTGGGTGGATTGGGATTGACTGCTCCAGATGGTATTATATACTGTTATAGGCTGACATGATATAACCAATATACTGTAGTTATATAACACTCTCTGACAAGGCTGAGGACATGAGCATGATCCTGAGCATGATAAATGTTCTTGGTATGAGGCTGTTGGTGGAGCAAGTTGGGATCATGGTTCCGGACTTCAACATCCAATTACCATGTACCAATCTACCCAAACCTGTTTAACTGAGGTAATGCTAATATCACTGCACCTTGAGTAACTGGTGAAACTATATACACACAATACTAGCTCTCTCTGGCATAAACAGAATATGCAGGTGACCCTATGTTTACTGTGAAATGTGCTACCTGGATGTGAGTACACGCGGTGCATTTCAATTTCAGCCTTCAGACACGGTCCCACATACAAATTGTAGCAAAATGAAAGTTCAGTCTTTTTTTTTTCTTTGTTTAAACCTGTACTTAGCAATATTCGAGTTATATCACAGTGGTTTGGACAATCAAGAGAATGACATCATGATCGTTGATCTACTCAATCAGCCACCAAGTCTGAGCACCCGATCCCATAGTCACCTCTTATTACTACAGTCCGTTTGAGACAAAATGATACCGATGAATTGCCATCTAACACAAAAAACAAATAGATACACAAGAATCAAACCAACGCGGAGTGCAATAACAACAACAGACCAACTCTAGAAAAAAATTGCATAATTTGTCACAAAAATAAAAAGTTGTTTAAGAAAGTGTCTCATTTATTTGTGCGTTTTACCAGTTTGTTACAAGGGCGTATTAGATACTAAGGGCGTATTAGTAGAAAGGAACAGCGCGAACAGCAAAATGCATGTGCATTAACGGGTTCTCAACAAATCTTTGAGCTGGCGAGATGACACGTACCCCAGCTGCACAAGCAGTGCGCTGTATGTACTTAGTAATTGCATACTTGGGTCACCCCCGTCATTTTCTTCCTTGAAGAAATCAGACTTTGTAAAGTATATGCCATTTTATTTCTAGAGTTGGTCTGTTGTTTTTCTTGCACTCCGTGGTGGTTTGATTCTTTTATGTCTATTTGTTTTTGTGTTAGATTGCAATTCATCGGTTTCATTTTGTCTCAAACGCACTGTAGGATGGGTTGCTCAGAGCAGTTCTCATCTTAATCTTCACAGGGGTTTATGAATGTCGTAAGTCTTATGTTAAGAGTGAGAGTTACATGTCCTAGTTCTACAATAATTTTATACAGAATTTACAATAGGCCAGGGCCCGGTTTCACAAAGCTCTCGTAAGCCTAAGTTCTCGTAACTTTTCTCGCAGCATTCGTACCTCCTATACTGTAACATAGGAAGTACGAATGCTACAAGGAAAGTTCAGACATCTTGGGCTTACGAGAGCTTTGTGAAACGGGGCCCTGGCCTGTTTTACGGATACCCTTATTCAACATTGAAAATTGCAACATGTATGATAAACTATGTTATCAGGGTTCTAGACTTTACTAAAAAATATATCATGTAGAAATAGAAAAAAATCCAATATAGGGAATATTTTCTGTACATCACAGCAAGCCTTTGATATTTTTGTTTTCAAAGCCATAACAAATCACCTGTTAATATCATGAAGAAAATGTACACCTTGCTACAAAATACATGAAAAACATATCCATGAGTATCCATAGTAACATCAGATGAATATTACTAAACTGTACAAGACATGTTGGTCCCTTCTTAAACCTGTCGGGGCGGTGGGGTAGCCTAGTGGTTAAAGCGTTGGCTCGTCACGCCGAAGACCCGGGTTCGATTCCCCACATGGGCACAATGTGTGAAGCCAATTTCTGGTGTCCCCCGCCGTGATATTGCTGGAATATTGCTAAAAGCGGCGTAAAACTAAACTAGTCAGTCAGTCTTAAACCTGTCAATGTACCATATTTCCTCTAATAGAAGCCTATTATTATGGAACTTAGCCAAAGTACTTGCAGACTGCTGATGTAACTGTGTCAGCTCACAGATATACAAACATCTCCCTTCTATCAGTGACCTGTGTCTATATAGATAGGACATTGTCCTATATTGTACAATGGTAATTAGTCGTTACAGGAGAATAGCATGTATGATACATCAGATAAGATAAAACTACAGAGCATTACATTCTGACCTGAGATTACAACTTGTTTCATATACAAGTAACACTATTATCCCTAAAACTGTTTTACAAACACCAAAATGTTGGAATGATATAAACTATTTACATTCAACCTTTAACCACAGACCTATATTAATTACTATTTAGGTCTGTGTTTTAATCTATATAAATGTACAGAGAAGGAAACTACTTATAAAAAAATCTACATTTGAAAATGGTTGTATGGCTTTAGGTTTATTATCAGATGTATTGTATCTATTTATTAATACTTTCAGAGGGTCGTGATAGAGACTTCATAAAACAAATTTCAAGCAGACCACACCACACTTTGGGGCATTTTTACCAAAGACAGGAACAGGTACAAGAGGTCTGACAGTTGCAACTTGCTAGTTAGACCAGGTATACAGGGCAGGTGTCTGACAGAGTGACTGGATTCATCTACACCTGTTTAAGCCTTACATTACTATTACTTGGTTAACAGATTTAACGACCTTGAAAACAAAATTCAGAAAATATAATATAAAATTGGAATGACAGTCTTTTTTACCTAGATTGCATTGACAAAAACATTAATAGAATGAAACAGAACAAATTTCCAAGGATTTCTTGTCACTTACCATTCTAAATCAATTACAATTAAAACAGTCCTGTAGAAAGCAATTCATCAATAATATTAATTTTACCTACTGACTAAATATTTCACTTATATATCACCATTACATTACCTCCCCCTGCCCCCTGCCCAAAAAAGACAACATCTCATATATAATCGATGCCCTTGACATAAAAAACTCATTTGGCACAATTTGCTCAAAGCAAAGCACATCGCTTGAAAATATTTGTTATAATTCAGTCCTTTCTTCTGACCTCAGGATGAGAATGCATACCGTAACAACAAATTCATCTGACCACAGGTAACGTTCATGTCAATTAAAATGAATGAAAAATAATGCTGATTATTCATAGCTTAAAAAATTGTGTTGACTTTAGTTCATACTGACTAAAAGAATTTGTACCAGATTTTTGTTGATGCTGTCTACGCCAGCCATATGACTGCGTCTAGTAATAATCAAGACTGGGACACACAAACCAGTGAGTAATATTATGAGAATAGATCTGCACAGATATAACATCTACGGGTAACCAATTCTAACCAACCATCCACATGAGACCATAGTGAGGATAAGGAATCTTAGATCAAGTTCCCATGTATATTTGTTATGTGCAGTATTTACTTTTCAATGCAAAATCTGTCTGAAATCTTTGATCCAACCATTTTCCATGCAGTTGATAACAGGACAAACTATGGTATATACATGTTATCACATGGTAGTGATGGAACAGTGCAATATCATGCCAATATCACATGAGATGGACAGACCTTATGGAAGCACTGAAACACTGTCTAAAACAACCACACAGTATTTCTTGGTTTTCTCAGCTAAGGCTATAGTCTGTTTGCAGTGAAAACGTACCGATGAATTTCACTTTAAACAAAATAATAAATCAAATAAAGTGAAATTAAGATTGCGAATCCTCATAGCAAAATAGTTTGTATTACAAGGGGGTAAGCACAGTAGTTGGAACAGTGAAACAAAGGCATGTGCGGTACGTGATAAGCGTTCACTTGTTCTCTGTGTTTCATTTAATGTGCATGCCCCCTTGTAATACATACCAATAATAGCGATTTGAAACTATGATCGTTTGTTAACCAACTTTTATCTTAAGTTGAATAAAATTCTGAGATTTAAATGTTAAATTGGCAAGGTAAAATTTGCAATCTTAATTTCATCTTATTTGATTTACTTTATTGTTCAAAGTGAAATTCATCGGTACATTTTCACTGCAAACAGACTATAAATACTAAGAATATTCAGGACAGATAAATAAATAAAATAATGAAGTTCGTACAAGCTTTGTTGAGCATCTTTGAAATGTGTACAATTAGTTTTTAACTGGTTCTGTTGACAACTGTTTGTAGGATACAAATAAAGGACTGAAGCTTTATATGCCATCATGTTATTTCTGTTACAAGTGTAATCATCATCAGATATGGCAGGATTCTACTTGAGCAGTTCTATGTATAAAGTACTACCATCACGTGCAATGAAAACCAGCTATCTGAATGGCTAGTAGCTGTCTTGTATAAACCAATACAAATCATCTGGCTGTATATAATGTTTATATAACAGCTTGTCATGTCATACCTCACTTTGCACACATTATAAGTTACTGATCTGTCTGCGAGTCACAAGTTTGATCTGTTTTGTCTCACAAACATATTTTACTAAAAATAAATTTGTTTCTTTTTGACACATAATGACAACTTTGTTACATGTGGCGGTTGCAGGGTGTATTTGATTTGATTAGTTGAATGTTTTTGTAAACACTTTAACCTTTAATATATCATCCAAAACTGTGTTCCACAAGAGATATTGCTTGTGTGAGATCAAATGATCAAACAATATCGTTTTGACAGTAGATTTTGTACAATGCCCTGACAATGCTATGATGTCATGAACCTGATGACGTCACAATGCTATGACATCGTTACACTGCAAGTCTAATGGTAGTACGGAGTTCAGAGATGTACATTTTTCATTGAAAACTAAAGAAGAGTGATTTTTGATGATAAATAGAATCTCACCCTCGTGTCTTCTCATATCACATATATCAACTCTTTGACAAAAGTAAAAATAACTGTACAAACCCATTCACCTTGTCAAATCCAGTCCACCCTGCTATTGAGACATGTAATGCATTGTCAAAGATAATATACTGTGCACGGTACAATGTTATGGCAGGCACAACAAGAAACCAGTCCTCTCCGACTGGCATTTAAAGTCATGACTTCCACTTGTACATACACAAACAGACAAGCTTTCAACAAAACAAATTTTTTAATAGATTTGTTTTTTTAATGTTTTCATATTTAGCACATTTTTGGCATGTCATGGCACTTTGTACTTGTTTCGTTGGAAATAATACAAACCACTAGCTAACAACATTTGGAATAAATATGATATACACACAACTTCCTTGGTGAATTTTCCATAACAACACCCATGAGATCCTGAATTATATCATACATATTGACATATACTACTCAACAGAAGTTAAGGATAATCCATTCTTCCATATACATGTATATCAGTTAATCTGTGATAGCATGCAAATTGAAGACATCATCACACTGACTGACTGAGTTTGGTTTTACGCCGCTTTTAGCAATATTCCAGCAACATCACGGCGGGGGACACCAAAAATGGGGCTTCACACATTGTGCCCATGTGGGGATTCGAACCCGGGTCTTCGCGTGACGAGCCAACGCTTTAACCATTAGGCTACCCCACTGCCCCAGACATCATCACAACTTTAGCAAAACAACAACATATATTTTCTGTATTCAACCTCCATTTTCACATAACATAGCAAGTGAGTTGAGCCATATGGCGGCGCAAGTGAGTTGAGTATTATGTTGCTTTCAGCAATTCTTTCATATAGCTGTAGCCATGACTTGACAGAATATCTATAGTAATGTAAAAGAATCACATGGTCCGTAACCTCTTTTGAGTAGTATATGTTTTGAGAGACTTCAGCAGCATGAGCAAGACTGACTTAAGTACATAACAGCATATGTTCCGAGGTGAGAAACACCTCAGTACGACATTGTCAGCATTTATCAAGGGCACCTGCTTCTGGGTATAACTCTCAGGGTTGCACCTGGCCACTAGTCTACTTGTCTTACATCAAAGGTTGCTGAATCTTTTCACTAAGCAGCAAGGGATATATAGGATAATTATTAATTTTCAATAGAAGATGAAGATAAAGACTCATATGACAGACCCATGGTGTCTTCCAATGGTAAGTATTGACTCTCTTGTCGACATATATATATATATATATATATATATCTGAAGCTAACTAACTGGTTATTAACTTGTTTTGTATGTAACAATGCCTCAAGGTCAGTATCCAGCAAAATTCACAATATATTTCACATATTGTTACTGGCAGTATTTGGCTGAAAATAATGTGACTATTCTGCCAAAAGTAATGGTTGGTATCTCAAGCACAGGTTTCTCTAGTGATGTCAAATATGACAAGTCAATAATGAACAACAAACAAGTGGGATTTGACCCATGGTGTTTTCCTATGGTAAGTATTGACTAGTTGACAAAGATAAAGAAAGGACATACGAAAAAATAGGAGATGCTGTCTTGATTCTAAGATATATATGGGTTCACTATATTGAGGCACATAACAATATAACCTCATTAATCTGAACAGCATTCACAGGATTGAAATTTTGCTCAACAAATTTCAAGATTATTGAGTCAAGGTATGGAGTTATCTCCCTTTAGACAGACATTCTCAGTAGGACTGGGTTTTGGATCTGTGTTTACATACTGGACATGACTGATGCTTAAAGAAAATCTGAACACAAATGGCATATTCAGAATTCAGAACACAAGCTGTGATAAATATTTCTGTGCCCATAAAATAACATGTCGCTTGTTTCTGTGAAAGGAATGACTACTGTCTGCGCAATATTCGAACACAATGGCTACATATCTAACCTATAACAAGGCTATATTCAAACATATTGTTTATATATGTTGTTCATATGTTCCATGTACATACTTCAAATATGAACCTGTAACCAGACCCATGATATATATCCTTGTTGAGGGATATGTTTATACTGTTTAGCCCATACCAAGGATATGTATCATTTCTAGCTGTGCTGTGGTGGTATATATGCATATTTAACACATATAATTATACTGGACTATATTCTGTCCTGGGTAAATAAGGCCCATTGGTCAGGAAAGAGTTTAAGGGTAATACGACAAGAACACTGCTCCTCAAATTACTTAATCATGACCCAACCTGGAGCCATGACATTTTTGTTCTCCTTTCCACAAAGTCATCTGGAATAAGTCCCAGGGAGTTGCGATTATCTAGCACTGAGAACACTTACTGGTGTATCATATTTTACTGCTACGACCACATTTGTTAATGACATTCCCTGCCCACCCATAACAAATGTCCAAGGTCCTAATCCACAAAATGTTCATAGTATTAGAAACAATCGTAACTATTTAGTTCATGATAGGTTTACGAACATGCTTTGTGGTTTGGGCCCAGTCTCTTTAAGTGGAATAGCTGTCGCAGTCCCAGTGCCAACACTGCTTTGTGGAACAGGTTCCTTGAGCCCTAAACTCAGTTACTGACCTGAAGCCGAAACTAATATAATCGGTAAAGTTCCTGACATATTGTTGTCATGACAACCACACAAGAGAATATATATACAGAAGAATATGATTACAGTATTGCACAGGTATACAACTGTGGTTGGAGGCAGGCAAATAAAACAAATCATCACAACATGAGTAAGACAACAACGTTGTCCTTATTTACATCCTTATTTTTTTCACATTCAGCCTTCTTTGTGAAAAACAATGTATATCGTTCACATCCCTAGAATTCTTGTATTCATACTATGCTTCAGTAGCAATGTATAGTCTCACATGATGAGTGAGCTGACTTTAGCTGAATCGGGTTTTATGCCTCTTCTTTTCACTAATCCATGGTGGGGGACACCACAAGGAGTTTTGAACATGGAATCCATGGCGGGGGACACCACAAGGAGTTTCGAACATGAAATCCATGGTGGGGAAGTGAGCCTGGTGTGATAAGAGAACGCTTTACCCGCTAAACTCTTGGATTTTGCTGAGACCTGATGAACCTTCACCTTCCTAACCTCTGATGATTCTTGACCTTGCTTTGAATTTACCCAAAATGCAGTTAGCCAGTGTATGAAATAAGCCAAAAATCCAGCCAGACATCAGGGCTGTAATTTCAAAATGTTACCAGCCCAAAATGGATTTAACCATACCAAATATGGTGAATTTACTCAGATGTATTGAACATCTAAAATTTTTACCAGACCATCAGGCTGGCTAGCTGTAAATTTAGACCGTCTGTCAGAAATCTAGCCCGTCTCGGGCGGTCGGACAGGCCTTATTTCATACACTGATTTAGCTAAAGATTCCATATCCAGGTGAAATGTGGAACTTAATTCCCCTGATAATGTCATTAGAAGTTCTTTCAACGCTGATCATATCTTCTAAATATAACTCAACTGAGGTGAAGGTCAAATGTCGCCAACTTGGTCAGAGAGAATCCCCATGGCCATAAAGATGTAGAACTATCTTTGATCCAGATTTGGGTTTGCTAATGGAAGCCATCTCTGTGTTTCTGAGTAAGGTCTTAGATCCTACACTCACAGTCAGCAGGCTAATTCCAAGGACGAAAACAATCAGCTCTAATACTATACCAAATTCAGGAAACAAACTTGAGTCTTGTGATAATGGCTACTGCACTAGCTACTGAGCCAACTGGTGGCAGAGATCATATTGGAAGTAATGTGCGCACTACTATGTTCAAGTAAAAGAATTTTCAACTTGCAGAACCAACAGATTTCTATAAAATAACATCTTTTGTTCTTGAGCATATGTTGTATAGCTGGCACTGGACCCACTAATTGTTCTTAGCTCCCAAGCGAAGACTTGAGCAAACATATTGCACTGATATGAGATTCAGCATAAAAATAATCTCTCAATATCTTCAGATCAATCCACTATGAACACAGTGGAGAAATAACAAGAAATATCAATAAGTTCATGTTAGCTCACTTCAAAGTATGTTACATCAACATTTACAAAATAAACTGCCAAGCCAAATCTACCTCCATCCAACCACCACACCACAATACATGCTAATGTGAACTATGCTTTGTAAGTGCCGCGTGTCTGGGCTTTTGGTCCTGTTTTGTACTGTCTATGTGTCGCGAAGTTTTCCCACCATGCTCATCAGCTAACGGCTGATTGGCTGATTTGGACACAGGAAGTCTATGGTTAATGAATCCATGAACAGGACTAACTGGCAATGAAGGCGAAAAAATCGGAAGAGTGAGATCCAACTTTTCATACTCCTCTGCTGAAACGTGTTGACGCAGTTTGGTGACAGCGTTCAAAAGAGCAGATCTCTCCAGTTCAAGTGTACGAATGTGCGACTTGAGTTTGGCCTCGCCAACCTGGTAGTTATGCACGGTGATCTCGAGGCTGTGCGACTGTCCATGAGCCTGTTGTAGCTTCTCTAGAAGCTCCATGTTCTGTTGCCGTAGGTTACGGTTAATGCCCTCTAGTTTGATGACAAGGTCGGACTCGCCTCGTTGTGGGGAGTACATCATCTCCTCTCTTAGCACGTGATACTCCACCTCGTAGGATCGCAGCTGAGCTGTGATGTCCAGCTCAAAGGCCTGGGGATGAGAAATGGTAAATTTCTTATAACTTACAGACTAACAAAAGCATGAAAATTTATGGGGATTTTGTTGTCAAGTTTGTTACCAAACCTAAATAATTTCAATGTAAAGCACAAGAACCACACCCCACATTTTAATAGGAAAATAGAGACACAAGGCTCTGAAGCTCACCTGACTATTTAGGAAATTATTTCATGACATCTCATTTTAGTATAAATATCTGTAACTGGTGCAACAATTTCAGCATATACTTTTGGAACATGACTAAAACAGTGATGCTGAGTTCAAACAGTGATGCCCCAACAAAGTGGCCCCAACCTTGGGCCTGTTTGACATCTAGTGTCAAACTTTGCCGTGACCATCCTATTTGTTTGTTTGTTTTTATGTTTAACTCTGCACTCAGCAATATTCCCGCTATACGATGGCGGTTTGGACCAGACAATCTGGTGATTGACATCATGAGCACCGATCTACCCTTTTGGTATACAATGAAATGCATCAACCAAGTCAGCAAGTCTGAACAGCCGATACCCTAACTCATCTCTTACGACAACATGGGTTGAATAAAGACCAATTCTGACACAGATCTTCACGGCCATCACCATCCTGACATACACGTTTCTGGAACCAATTCTTTGACTAAGAATGGCTCTTACACATTGTCCACATTTGGGGAAGTGAAAGATGAGCCATTGCTTTGGTCATGATGCTGCCTCACACCCCTTGTAAAACAATCCATCCTACGGTATGGGACTGATGCCTCATCTGCGTGTTATTTTATCTCACCTGGTTAACGACTCTCTCCATCTGAACATGCACCATGTCTGGCAGGGTTGTTTTCAAGAATTCAACCACACTCTCAAATGAATCACACTGCATTATCAGCTCGCGGTGGTTGCCTAGCAACACAAGCGCCACCTTGAACAGGGCATCTGTGCCCTGAATGAAGATCATATCTGAAGAAGAAAGAAACGCTGTCTTAAAAAAGTGACTTCTTGTGCCCTAATTCCTGAAGGAATAAGTGAATGTTGTTTTACATCACACTCAGTAATGTTCCAGGACCCAATGACAGTTGGAAAATTATTATGAGAAAAATCACATAAAGTTGGATCCTTTAAGTTGTGTTTTATGGTTGGTTATGTTGAAACACAATCAACAATGTTCCACCAGCTGGCAGCAGTCTGTAAATAATTGAGTCTGGACCAGACAATCCTGTGATCAACAGCATGAGCATCATCTACGCAATTGGGATACAATGATGTGTGTCAACCAAGTCAGAGAGCCTAACCACCAGATCCTGTTAGTCGCCTATTACATGGGTTGCTGAGGATCAGTTCTAACTCGGATCTTCATGGGTCTCGTGTCTTAAGCCAATCATAGGTTGCTGGGGACAAATTATAACCAGGAAAGCAGTGGTACAGGACCCAGTGGTACAGTGGCCTCAGTAAATGAGCCTTGACTGTATAAAGGTCAACTCACCAAACACCCTCGACACGAAGCCAAGTGGGAACTGTGAGGCAAAAAGCGTCAGGAACCACGGGGCGGCGTACAGAGTAGGGGCGATCTCGTGAGTCTCAAAGTGGTTGTACAGATCCTTGTGGTGGTCGTGAAGGAGCCGTGTCAGCTGATACAGTTTGATCTGAGGATGGAACAGTTAAAGTAACGGTTTTGAAGGACATAGGAAGTGTGTGTTTTAAAGAATAATAATCACCAGATACTACTAATATTTTCAGTCATTCAACAACAATGTCACGTTGCTATCGAATCATGGATTTTGTGTCATATATCATACTATCAGTGTTTGTAAGTATCAATTTCTTTTAAATAATTAGAACACATAAACATCTCACAAGGCCCTTGCTACAGCACTGCAAAAGGCCCCAGTGACAGCTTCGTAAAAGGCCTGAGAGACAACATCCCCTAAGGCCCTAGCTACAACATCCTACAAAGCCCTAGCTACAGCATCCTACAAAGCCCTAGCTACAGCATCTTACAAAGCCCTAGCTACAGCATCTCACAAGGCCCTAGCTACAGCATCTCACAAGGCCCTAGCTACAACATCCTACAAAGCCCTAGCTACAGCATCCTACAAAGCCCTAGCTACAACATCCTACAAAGCCCTAGCTACAGCATCCTACAAAGCCCTAGCTACAGCATCTCACAAGGCCCTGGCTACAGCATCTCACAAGGCCCTAGCTACAACATCCTACAAAGCCCTAGCTACAGCATCCTACAAAGCCCTAGCTACAGCATCCTACAAAGCCCTAGCTACAGCATCTCACAAGGCCCTGGCTACAGCACTGCAAAAGGCCCTAGTCACAGCTTCATAAAAGGCCCTAGCTACAGCATCCCACAAGGCCCTAGCTACATCATCCCTCAAGGCCCTAGCTACAGCATCCCACAAGGCCCCAGCTAGAGCATCCCACAAGGCCCTACCTACAACATCCTACAAGGTCTCAGCTACAAAATCCCACAAGGCTCAAGGCCCAGGCTGCAACATGGCTCAAGGCTCAGGCTGCAACATGGCTCAAGGCCCGGGCTGCAACATGGCTCAAGGTCCAGGCTGCAGCATCCCCCAAGGCCCGGCCTGCAACATGGCTCAAGGCCAAGGCTACAGCATCACTCAAGGCCGGGGCTGCAACATGGCTCAATGCCCAGTCTACAACATCCCACAAAGCCCATGCTACAGCATCCCTCAAGGTCCGGGCTGCAACATGGCTCAAGGCCCATGCTACAGCATCCCTCAAGGCCCGGGCTGCAACATGGCTCAAGGCCAAGGCTACAGCATCCCTCAAGGCTCTAGCTACATCACCCCACAAGGCTCTAGCTACATCACCCCACAAGGCTCTAGCTACATCACCCCACAAGGTCTTAGCTACATCACCCCACAAGGCTCTAGCTACATCGACCCAGAAAGTCCTAGCTACATCACCCCAGAAAGTCCTAGCTACATCACCCCAGAAAGTCCTAGCTACATCACCCCACAAGGCTCTAGCTACATCATCCCACAAGGCTCTAGCTACATCACCCCACAAGGTCTTATCTACATCACCCCACAAGGTCTTAGCTACATCACCCCACAAGGTCTAATCTACATCACCCCACAAGGTCTTATCTACATCAGCCCACAAGGTCTTATCTACATCACCCCACAAGGCCTTATCTACATCACCCCACAAGGTCTTATCTACATCACCCCACAAGGTCGTATCTACATCATCCCACAAGGTCTTAGCTACATCATCCCACAAGGTCTTATCTACATCACCCCACAAGGTCTTATCTACATCACCCCACAAGGTCTTATCTACATCACCCCACAAGGCTCTAGCTACATCACCCCACAAGGTCGTATCTACATCACCCCACAAGGTCTTATCTACATCACCCCACAAGGTCTTATCTACATCACCCCACAAGGCTCTAGCTACATCACCCCACAAGGTCTTAGCTACATCACCCCACAAGGTCTAATCTACATCACCCCACAAGGTCTTATCTACATCACCCCACAAGGTCTTAGCTACATCATCCCACAAGGTCTTATCTACATCACCCCACAAGGTCTTATCTACATCACCCCACAAGGTCTTAGCTACATCATCCCACAAGGTCTTATCTACATCACCCAACAAGGTCTTATCTACATCACCCCACAAGGCTCTAGCTACATCACCCCACAAGGTCTTATCTACATCACCCCACAAGGTCTTATCTACATCACCCCACAAGGTCTTATCTACATCACCCCACAAGGTCTTATCTACATCACCCCACAAGGCTCTAGCTACATCACCCCACAAGGTCTAATCTACATCACCCCACAAGGTCTTATCTACATCACCCCACAAGGTCTTATCTACATCACCACACAAGTCTTAGTTACATCACCCCACAAGGTCTAATCTACATCACCCCACAAGGTCTTATCTACATCACCCCACAAGGTCTTAGCTACATCATACCACAAGGTCTTATCTACATCACCCCACAAGGTCTTATCTACATCACCCCACAAGGTCTTAGCTACATCACCCCACAAGGCCTAGCTACATCACCCCACAAGGCTCTAGCTACATCACCCCACAAGGTCTAATCTACATCACCCCACAAGGTCGTATCTACATCATCCCACAAGGTCTTATCTACATCACCCCACAAGGTCTAATCTACATCACCCCACAAGGTCTAATCTACATCACCCCACAAGGTCTTATCTACATCACCCCACAAGGGCTTAGCTACATCACCCCACAAGGTCTTAGCTATAACACCCAAACACAATTTGTGGGAGTCTCCTTTTATAAATCACCTGTAGTGCCATCATATTGGGTCGGTACTGCTGTCGAAGGCCCAACTCGAACATCAGGAATTTCAGTACCTCAAAGGCCTCACACTCTTCAAGCTGAAACAAACATGGTTTATTGTGCTATTATCAAGACAGTGATCATTGGACTCAAATTTTCTCATCTTCATGCATTTGTCTATTTTTAAGAGGATATAGCATTTCTGAGAATAATGTCCAGTATTCCAATCAGTTTCACATGGTCCACAGGTAATTACTACATGGCTCATTGGTAAATATTGCTTGATCCATATGTAAGTATTGTAATTAGTTCACAGGTAATTATTTTATATGGTCTATAGGTCTGTATTGTGCACGGTCCAAAAATAATTATTTTACATAGTCCATTGGTAGTTAGTTGGACATGATTTCAGAGCAACACATTTCCTGCCATAAAACTTTATTGTTTTCATGTTCCACATATTTTCATATGTTAATAAACTGCTCAATCAATTCAGCAGGTGCTTTCTCTACTCACATGCATGATGAGGATTCCAGCCACAAAGCTGAGGCCCTGACAGTAGCCCACGTCCTGGTCCATCAGGCTGTAGGCCTTGAGGATGTTGAACAGCTCCAGCTGACCTGGTCCCAGCTGTGTGGCAAAGTACGGGTGACTCGGGAATGTACGACCTAGCGACAGAGAAACATTTCAGTTCATACTCATCAAGGGTGAAATGATTCATTTGTCAAGACAGATGAGTGTGTCATTACAAGATGGATGCTGATCTTGAATATTAACACCTTTGATGAGACTCATGATAAGGCAAACCAAGACACAAAACTGGGGCCCTACGGGATTCAAACCCATTAGCAACCACTTAAATTCTGCATCTTGGGCATTGTTGACTGTTCTTGTTAGATGGTAGGGCTGGGACGGGTAGGAAAAAATGGAATCGAGTACCCGCATATACTTACCCGAATCGGAATCGAGTACCCGGAAATGTAAGGAATAAAGCGCTTCTATCAACTTTCTGAATATTCAATCACGAGTTGACAGACATTTTTCAAGAAAACTTGAAATGATAGCAATAAGACACTGAAACTGAACTTGGGATATATAATTTGCGTTTGTTTAAACAATATAGAGAGTAACACAATTACTTACACTCCTGCTTAAAACACAGATTGAACTTTTCGCTCCTGCTGTTACTGTAACTTGACTAGTAACTCACTGCTCATGCGCAGATATATTATAGTCGTTAATAATAACCTCTATTAATCGGACAATACCAATGATGCAAATGAGTGCTACATCAATCATGAAAAGGACAAGTTATTATCTGCCCTTGCCATTACACAATTCTCTCCTTTTCCGGGTACTCGATTCCTAGAAATAGGACTCGATTCCAGCTGTACCCACCCCGGATTCGAGTACCAGTACCCGTCCCAGCCCTATTAGATGGGACTATAAACTCAAACTGTTGTCAGAGCGAGACAGACAATCAGGCGGCAACTCTCACCAAGATCTATAAGGATGGCATGCTGATGAGTGGTGAGTTGCTTCAAGAGATCACAGTAGGCCAGATGGTGGCGAGGGAGTTGCATGAGGCAGCTGGCATTGTGGAGACGTTGCTGTTCACCCAGCAGATTCCAGATCTCCCCCCGAAGACTTCGTGGTACACCTACAACCAATGAAAGGTCACTGAGTATTTCAAATAGTCTACAGGCCTCTCCTGTAGAAGAGGTGTCATATCCTACTCACAAAACGTTATTTCATAATACTAAGGTAGTATATTTTTTAGCAGCATATGAGCAGACTAGAAGCATATTTGGTACGAGTGTATACATCACTTCTAAATGCAATTCAAAGATCTTTTGTGTTTGTTGTTAAGTCATCTTCACCTGACTAACCATTTGTACAAGGGGCTATCAAAATGTTTTGAGCCTAAAATACTTCTGATATGTGCATGATTAAAAATAACTGTATGATATTGAAGAATGGTTTATATCATTCACATAAACGTAATATTCACATGCACATGTCGCTAGTTTCTGGTCATGTGACATCTAATTGCATGTACCCCTATTGACTGACTGGCTGACTGAGTTTGGTTTTACGCCGCTTTTAGCAATATTCCAGCAACATCCCGGCGGGGGACACCAGAAATGGGCTTCACATATTGTACCCATGTGGGGATTCGAACCCGGGTCTTCGGCGTGACGAGCCAACGCTTTAACCACTAGGCTACCCCACAGCCCCTACCCCTATTGAAACGGCATATATACATTTCAGCTACATAACTATGACATGCAAATACATACACACATCTGGACCACACAACTGAATGATCAATATTGTGAGCAATGATCCACACCTTCAGGTTCAATGAAGACGTCATGAAGACATCTCGCCACAAGCTCCATTTGGTCACCTCTTATCTCGTAGGTGGCAGGGGACCAATTCGAACTCAGAATCCCCACAGGGTAACAGTTACTATGAACAATGTCCTATATTGTCATGCACAGAGGTACAAAATGAACCAAGTAGCCATCTAACCACCAAATCCATTCCTTCAGCTCTTATGACAACCACCAGTTGCTGGGTACCATTTCAAACCCGTAATTTCCATCAGGTTGGGTTCAGGATCTATACAGAAGTACACATACCCTTCTTGACACAGTCCAGTAGTTTGTCTTGAGCTATTTTGGTTGTAATCCTGTGTTCGGCGCCTAGTAGTTCCTCCCACACCTTGGTGACATCCTTCAAACATGGCGTCACTTCCTGGTAGTCGAGCTTCTGCCGTTTTTGGTCCATTTCATCTTGGCGAGCTGCAGAAGAAGTAACCCACTCATATAATGTCATGTCCGAATATTCAACTGAATCCATTTACTTCACTGTGTAGTGTAACACCATGTTAACTAGGCAATTATTATTCCGTATTTCCCATGACCTTCAAAACCTAAAATTACCAACAGCTATCTGCCAATCTACTTAATATTTAATATTTTTTACTGACTGACTGAGTATGGTTTTATGCCGTTTTTTAGCAATATTCCAGCAATATCACGGTGGGGGACACCAGATATGGGCTAATATTTTTAAGCTATTCATGAAAAATGTCATGTTCATGTTCATATATATGTTGCATAGTAAGAACTAATGTTTGGATATGTAAAGGTGACTTGTATTTAAATAAAAAATGATAGGGAAAAGGCTTTAATGTTTAGTTTTGCAATATAGGATTGAATGTAAAGTAAAAAGACCTCTGAATTGAAGTAAATATGAACTTTGAACATTGATCTCTCCAGTCCGCTTTGAAGTTTTTCATAAAAAAGTATTATCTATGTTTTGGGTATGAGACTTACCTATCATACATACTCATATGTACGCATCTGATATATTACTGACTGACTGACTGAGTTTGGTTTTACGCCGCTTTTAGCAATATTCCAGCAATATCACGGCGGGGGACACCAGAAATGGGCTTCACACATTGTACCCATGTGGGGATTCGAACCCGGATTTTCGGCGTGACGAGCCAACGCTTTAACCACTAGGTTACCCCACCGCCCTCTGATATATTAACCATTGATGCATGCAATGCATGCAGAATGTACTCTACTCATACAGTGTATGTCATTAACTACAGGACAAAGTTATAACAGACTGTCATTCCATTCATATGTTGTTATTTATGGACAATAAAATTACTGATTAATATATTATAACTGTTTATTTGTATCTGAATATGATTATTATCCTTAAAATGAATGATATATTTAAACATGGTCTGATTAAGAATAAACATTTTCATCAAGATAATTACAGTTAACTTTAAGTATCTCACATGCTATTCCCCTAAGGGCAACTGTTAAGCAGTTGTTTCAACTGGCTTTGCAATACATTCAGTGACATTGTATTTCATCATTGTGAGATCAGGCAAGGTTATTTGTGCTTATGATTACAACATAGAATTTACCTTTTAAAAGCTGCATATCTAAACATCCACAATGTCGTGCTATTTATACATACATATAGACAAATATGATATATGGTGAGAATGTCTGTATTTATGAATGTTTAATTAATATTCCTGTCTGCAGATATAGAGAAAATAAAACTAGATAGATTATCTTTGCTTACGAATATTCAGTAAGATTTAATACATTGTAACAGCACCAGTGATGAAATCTTATCATTTTTTCATCTTAACATAGCCATGTTTCCTATACCTGTAACTATGGTAACAAGGGTGATACGATACATATTGTCACGTAAAGCATTTGACACAACACATAGCAAAATGTGAATTTCAAAGGCTGTCTATAGTTGTGTTGCATTTTACACACATATATTTTATATTTTTAATACAAACACAGAACAATGAATGCTTAGTATATCACAATCCAATCCTGTAAATCCATTTCATGAGCTTCTCTGAATGAAGATACAGCACTGTATAAATGTATCGATACACCCATGGAAGTACCATCAAAAACCTCATCACCACCATAAAACATGCAACCCAGTTGTGCCAACTTGAGGAATCTGAGGTTACTAATAACACCAGATTTTATACTATAGTCTGTTTCCAAATAACACTATACAGAACATGCCAAGTTGTAGGATAATATTGTGTTCATATACTGATGGAATTAAAAAAAGGAACATGGAACATTTTTGACATACATGTGTGCCTACATTAGGCATTTGGAAGTGTTAAAAAGAACCAAGTACTATATTTTTCAGGGCCAAGAAATATCTGGGTTATTTCTGTGCTGCTCTTTATGAATGATTCTGATATTGACTTGTCCTCACACAGAGCCACAGTCTGTCCCATAGAGTTTCCCAAATAGATCTGCGATTCTAATCTGCATTACACTTTCTATGCTTCACTGAAGTCCATTCATTGTGATCTAATGACAAATGACAAACTCCACTGACTGTTAACTTCAAATATGACAGTACCGGTAAGTTCAGATATATTTACTGACAGGTAAATATTTTTTTTATCTGCCAGTGCCTTGTGTGAGAGCTGCCCAGTTCTGATCCATATGAAGATTCAGTAAATCTAAATCATTTACCATTCCAGAGGTACAGTTATAACAGCCAGCGCAAAAATAGCCGTGAATGTTTTTAAACATAAAAGCATCTGTTACCTTTAAAATGTTCCATCTGTTCATACTCCTAATTATTTGACAATTGGGTCTTCCACAATATGTGACTGACCTCTTGCCCCATTTGATTTATGGTCTATGAAAGCAGCATGTTTAACAACCTAGGAGGTGAATATTCTTCAATTGCATCACAATGTGTTCCTTTTTTCCATGAGTATACAATGAAAACACATGAAGTAATAATCTCTCTGGAGTTGACATCAGCAGTTCAAGTAAACAATCTGGAGATATTTGATGAACCTATTACAGTGCATTTACACTAAATGAGCATTTATCATGGTGGCCACCTAAGCATACTTTTTTCACAAAAGCAAACTGATACAACACAGAACTCCAAATACCAATATGTTCTAAAAAAACGTTTGGCTGTCTACATCGAAAATACTATTAAAACATTGAATTATCACCTCTTTTCAAACAATTCCTTTATATACTGCTCAGTCTATGTAAAACAATCGTAACACTCATCAACAATGTTCAATCACATGTATATACACCAGCTGAGCAGTCGATATAGGTTATCAAGAAACAGACTATATCCAATCTTTTGTTATCCCGCCCCTGACTGCTCAAACGTGTGGGGGTGAAGTAATCCTGATATATACACACCTAATCTGTATACATAGACTTACAACTGCCCTGTCAGGCATAATCATTTGTATTTCTGATGAAGTTCATTGCATTAATCTACCTAGGATTAATATTTTTAAGTAAGACTTAATTTTCATGGCAGGTACCTCGGCACTTTAATCACCTTATCAGTATTGACAGGACTGGACTAGAGTAGATTTTCTTGATAAAACAGGGTTTAATCTTTATTTAGCTGAGATCAGCTATGGATTCAACAGTTGGTTGTTAGTCATGGTTAACATCACGAGCTCATCCTGATCAGGACATAGTGTACTTCTGCCTGAATGGACACAACAAATGGATCTTACTGCCACAAGGCTTTATTGATCTGGAGATTTTCAAAGGTTATTGCCGGCTTCTTGTCAACAGCAGGGCCTTGAAACACAAAACTCTCTTATATCCTTTCTGATCATCTTCTCACATCAAAGCTTAGAGGAACTATCAATATAAGATTTTATTTCCCATGCAGGAATTATCTATGCAGCTGCTCTGTAAGCCTATTTAACACTGATATGATGTTTTCCATGGTTTTAAGAATCTGAAGCAGGAGCCGGAATCTGCATGTCCTATTTCATTCAAAAGCATCAACCACCAGTTGGTGCAAATAAGTTTTGACAGAACTAATCACCACTGCCAGTGGTTATTTGCCATTGCTAAACCTTATCATAAGTCTTTTCGAAATATCACGTCTTTTAATGTTCTTGGGATTGGTTTGATAAGTGGTCTCCAGGCATAACATATATTTAGCAAGTTGTTGTTGCCACAGATATACCACTTATTTTTATATGTTGACTGAATATATAATTGTTTGCATAAAATTGAGGGAACTGCAAACAAATTTAATTAAAGAGGACTGAAGTTATGACAGAGACATAACTCATCAAGGGTATAAAATAAACTTGAAAAGGTCCTAAAAAAGGTTAAAATAGTTAACTGTAAAGTGTCTATGGTAATATTGTATTCTTTAAATGAGTGAGTGAGTGAGTTGAGTTTTACGCCACACTCAGCAATAGTCCAGCTATATGGCAGCGGTCTGTAAATAATCGAGTCTGGACCAGACAATCCAGTAATCAACAGCATGAGCATCGATCTGGGCAACAGGGAACCGATGACATGTGTCAACCAAGTCAGCGAGCCTGACCATCCGATCCCGTTACTCGCCTCTTACGACAAGCATGGGTTACTGAAAGCCAATATTCTAACCCGACCTCAAAGGGTATGTATTCTTTAAAAACAACAACCAATAAACACATAAATAAAAAATAAATCCTCTTTGCTGCTTGGATGATTCACATAAAAACAAGAGCAGCCATCTCACTTCATTTAGGAATATTAATGTTATTAATGTTGCTTGTGGTCCAAAACTTGAAATCTCAAGCTATCAATAACAAAAACATATATTTAACATATTCACAATTTTTTAAATTTGGCAGAAGAAATATCTTACAAATGTTGACAGTGCAGGCTATGTATACAGAATGCCCTCCATGTTAAGCCACCAAGCAAGAGCATATATCTCACCATGTACAGTATGGGTATATGAATGTTATGTCACGGCGGGCAATAGTACATCTTTATCACACCTCTACATATGATGTACACAAACAATGGATGATGATATGAGCATTAACCCATGCCTCACTGAAAATCAATTAAGACAGACAGTTGTGTCACAGACCAGTCAGATATTGGCGGTCATTAATTAACAAAATCAGCATCAGCCCAATCTGGGGCTGATAGTATGAGCAATGTTCTTTTTAACTGTTCTACAATAATACAGAATCACCTGATTCTCATCATAGTCATGTTTATCATAAGGTTTGCTCTGCTTTGAAATTCCAATGTGGACTTTGACAGTAGTGTTCCATCAAAGCATTATCACACTGTTAGATGTCAATGCCCCTCTTAATACCTGTATTGGAGGGTTGGATTAATGTTGTTTTGAACAATATACCAGCCATGGCACAGAGTCTCAAGATGAGGGAGGAAATCCCAATGAGATTCAGATCTCCCACATTTATCACTTTGGTGAAACCCACCAACCTAGAAACAGAATCAACATTAACCTGAATTCTAACCCAAATCACAGGTTTTTGGCTTGCCAAAGGGATGCAACACACCATAGCGATTTGGCCTTAGAAGGCCACCCATTCCTCCAACACCCACATAAGTACCCTCTAACATCATGCATGGGACAGCATGACGACTTTCAGCCTTGAATCCGAAAGAAAATTGGTCTGATGAGGAACACATAGAACCATAAGGATTTGGCTTACATTTGATACAGTTATAAAAACATACAGGTGCAGAGTCTTAAGTAATACACAAAAACATATATCAATAATCATATTCTACAACTAAAATTTGTTTTACAGAAAATTGAAATGTTCTAAATTACTAAATTGGTAGCTATGTGCATAACATATTATCAACTTAAAAAAAAAAAAAAGGATTCTCTGGATTATATAAACACTCAAACTGCTATATCTAAATGGATTCTTCAAAACGGGAATCATTCTGCATGACATGATGTTGGAAGGAAGATGAACCAAAGCAGGCTTGAACAAACACAAATCTGTTCTAGGTGATTCATCTAAAACAGACTTTGTTGGGAATTGCTTTAAACAAACCAGGCTTATGTTAGTGAATACAACAAGGCTATTCCGGGAACTAAAACAAAACGTCAACAAATCTCCATGAATCCTTACCTTTGAACACCACTACTGACCGTGAGCCATACAGTATGAAATAGCCTACGAGGGCGGACAGAAGAAAATAGTTGGTTAAATACACTGTCACAGGGGTCATGCAGTATTGAAGATGGAGCCATATCAGGATAAGTTGGAGCCCTACACAAGGCTCCATGTAGCACTGACATGGAGCCCTTCACCAGGCTCCATGTAACACCAACATAGAACCCTACTCAAGGCTCGACGTAAGACTGACATGGAGCCTAACACAAGGCTCCATGTAACACCCTACACAAGGCTCCATGTAAGACTGACATGGAGCCTAACACAAGGCTCCATACAGCACTAACATAGTGCCCTTCACAAGGCTCCATGTAGGACTGACATGGAGCCTAACACAAGGCTCCATACAGCACCAACATAGTGCCCTTCACAAGGCTCCATGTAGCACCGACATGGAGCCCTTCACAAGGCTCCTTTTAACACCAACATAGAACCCTGCACAAGGCTCCATACAGCACCAACATAGTGCCCTACACATGGCTCCATGTAAGACTGACATGGAGCCTAACACTAGGCTCCATACAGCACCAACATAGAACCCTGCACAAGGCTCCATGTAGCACCGACATGGAGCCCTTCACAAGGCTCCTTTTAACACCAACATAGAACCCTGCACAAGGCTCCATACAGCATCAACATGGAGTAACACCAACCTTGTGTAGGGCTCCATGTGATACACACATTTGTGGGATATTTATTTGGATCAGTTCTTTTTAAATTATAAAAAGTTCAAAATCATTCTTATAAATCTAAGGGTCTGTAGCTCACCTGAAGTTCAAGGTATTTCAACAAGTAAGTGAGTCTAGTTTTACGTCGCCTTTAGCAATATTCCAGCAATATCACGACAGGGGACTTCAACAAGTGGATCACTGCAGCTTTCAGTCATGTTTTTAAATCATGTTACTGGTTAACACTCTGCTGTCTGTCTTTGACTGGTGGAAATAGGTAGGTGTCAAGTGTTTCCATAAAACCTGTACATAGAGGACTGTTCCAAAATTAAATGTGAGATCTCATGCATGGTGTTTACTAATGTGAAGACTTTATAATTATAGCTGTTGGGTGATTATTGGTAAAATCAGCTTAAAACACTCAAAGAAACTGACACATCAGCTCAATAAGTTTGTTGCATTTTCCTACACTCACATATAAAATCTGAACCACAGATTCAATATGGCTGCTGTGGCTACCATGTTAAAACTGAATTGGAATTTAACACTATATAACATATATTTGCAAAATACAACAATGATCACTTCAAAGGGATAAATATTAGAATCATTAAAAGACTTTTTAGAGCCAATGGGAATACTGCCATGCAATTCGTTGGTTTCACATTACTTGTCAACTCGCTGTGCGCATGCTGAGTACATACTTCCATTTGCCTATGCTTTTCAATAATTGATGTCCCATTTTGGTTGCAATTCCATCAGAGATGTGGGGTTTTTTTAGTTGTGAGAAGGGGATGTGCGGGAAGGACGGTGATGGTGAGATGTCTATATACAAGAGTTTGTTAGCTTGTTAACTGACTGACTGACTGACTGAGTTTGGTTTTACGCCGCTTTTAGCAATATTCCAGCAATATCACGGCGGGGGACACCAGAAATGGGCTTCACAGCTTGTTAACATAAATTAAGCTATTTATATAACTAATCCTAGCTATTGTTTCATAATCCAATTGGGATCAGTTGCATTCGACATAAAACTACCTATATATTTGTTTTGATTTTGGTTTTCTTTAGACTGTGTTTACACTCGGTAAAGCATACGACCAAACCAGAAGTAGGCCAGTGGATATTTTTACACACTCTGCGCATGCACACAGTGAGTCGAAAAAGGAAATGTGAAACCAACGAATTGCAGCCATTCCATTCCAGAAATTTCATTTGTTTATTTGAAATTTTCTTTCAAAATATTTTTCAATAAGCAGTCTAGAAGCGAGATGTTGGTTCATAACTTCTCACATAAAACCAGAGAAAGCTGCTTTCTGATTGGCTTTGGTCAACTCCTTTTAGTCATTTCATTGGCAGGGCAATTTTTTGCAAAAAATCTGATGTCACAGGACCAATCACAGTATGTCGTCAAATATTTGTGTACTGGTTATAAGGACTAAGATCTTATTTTGATAACATTAGGATTTTAATCTTCATTAAGTGTTGGATCTTCAGCAACAGATAATTAGTTATATACCTTGTGCTATTCCCTTCACCAGCACAAATCTCCATCACCACTCCATACTGCCATAAATATATATATCAATACATGGAGTTCGAAGAAAGGCCCAGTACCACACATACATTATATACATTCTCAAATTAATAAAAAGGACCTCATAAGCGAATTTTTGGCAGTAAAACCAGCATGTTAGGAACAAAATAATATCTATGTTAGTTTGCATCCAGTCAATTTAGTTCAATCCACACTCATAGATACCTTTATTATGGCTGCTGATAGCTGAAATATTGAGAAGATTATTTCAAACTTCATCATCCATTGTGCATCTTTCTTATGCATTTCAGTGACAAAGCTTGTTAGTTTTCATATGCTTATCCAGTCATCCAGCTTATTAGGTCATCTGAAGCCAATATGGATGAAAACCTGGTTATAAACTGTCTGAGATGCATCAATAAACTGTTTGAAAGATCAGTGAAACGTTGACTGAAGTAACAAGAATAATTGTATATTTCTTCCTTGAATCATTAACAACTTGGCTATCCTCTTCTATCATTTTCACAGACATAATCTGACAAAACCCAAACAGGGCCTCACCTCTCAGAGACTGGTTTTCCTTCTCCATGCGTATGAGAAGCAACGTTTCCAAGATGGCCTTTTTCCACAGACATCTGATCTTAGTGGGTGTCAGTGTCCGCGGAGGGTCGTAGTCACTATGCGTCTCATCTGGGGCAGTAGAAGGATGAAATCACAACTAATTCCAATAAATCCGCGTCAAATGTGCTCAAATGTGTTGGAAATGTGTCTAGATGTTTGCTACTAACTGAAAACTTGTTGACAACTTAATAAATGCATCTTTTATTATTTTATTCATGCACGATGACAGAAAATCAGAATATGTTGATTGCTTTGTGATTTGGTGGCAACTGCTGTCTGTCAGCAGATTTTGGCTAGAATTACACAAAGGATACTGGTTTATGTGTCTTACGATGATGGTTTACGTGGCATAGCCATGATTGGTATTACAACTTTATGTACCTCAATTACAGGCCAACATGAATGCATGTCTGGAGAATACTGTGAGTTATAACTGTATTACTTTATACTGTAATACAATATTCGCCATAAGAGCCCCAAGTGAAATACACAATGCCATTTTAGAAAGTGGTCAAATGTAACATATGTTATATTTGGGATTACACTTTCTTAGTAAAGTACAGATTCTAACCACGGTGGAAGCCGTGGTGGCTGAGCGGTCTAGGTGTCTGACTTTGTGTGCTGGCGATTAAGTACCTGACTCTGAGGGTGTAGGTTCAAATCCCGGATGGGACTCAACCCAAAAAGTACTAGAATCTGTACTTTACTAAGAAAGTGTAATCCCAAATATAACATATGTTAGAGCCCCAAGTGTTCTGGAAAGTGACAATATGGGCCCTTATTAAAGCCCCACACAACCCAAAATTTGTTTTCAGCGATCAGGCAGTGTTGTGATCAAACTTATTACCATATGGATGCAGGGATGAGAATAAAGTTTTGAGAAAAACTCTGAAAACTAGCCGGGGGGTTAGCATCTATTGAATTTAGACGATTCACAAAATGGCCTTGGCCTTATGAAATTCCCGGAATTCCGCAGATCCGCGAAAAAATTCTCATCCCTGTGAATGAAACATGAAAGTTTTGGAGCTACTGGAGCTACCTCAAAGGAGCCAATGGAAAGTCTTTAAAGCCATGGAATAACAGTTATATATACTACTTGAAAGAAGTACAAGAATATCTGATTCTTTCATATAGCAATAGTAATCTGTCATGGCCAAAGCAATAGTAATATGAAAGAACTTGGTAGTTATTGGTTTCTTTTGAGTAGTGTATTTCTAACACCTGTGACTGAACTGACCAGAGAAAGTTGGAGATTCTGGGACCTGTACAGGAGTGACAACTCTGTTGAATATCGCCTGTCTCCAGGAACTTCGTTTCCCGATACGGTGTAAACTCATCTGGCAGTGTTGTTGACAGCGATGAGGAGGTACTTTCTGCGCAGCCAGGGCTTGGACTACCGGCCAACAAAAACCTGCAACAACACAATCAACTGTTCGCAAATGATGATATGGCTCATATTTATCTTGACATATCATCTGATTGGGTTGGGGTGAAGCCCATTTCTGGTGTCCCCCACCGTGATATTGCTTGAATATTGCAAAAAGCGGCATAAAATCTTACTCGCTCACTACTGCAATAGTTTTATCTGTAGTGCAGTTACTGCAGTAGTGTATACTCATGTGCAAAAATTGTTTCAATTTTCAAGATGGCAGACATTTCGGTCCCGTCCGGTTATGGATAATAAAGAACGTGTTGCTTACTTTATCTGTGTCCTGTTGCTTTAATATTTTGTTATGTGTCCCTTTGAGAGCAGTACTTGTCGTAAACGCTTAGGTAGCGACCCATACAGTCTCTGAATGTAAAACATTCCCTTGATCGTAGATTTTTTTTTTTCACATTGTTTCTCAAAACAAGCCAAACATTTTCGATTGGGTTCAAATTGGGACTCTGTGCTGCCCTTGGTAGCTGAGGAATGTCATTCCTGCGTTTCCATGTTTCCGTCTCACGAGACTGATGCATCAGTGCATTATCATCTTGAAACAGCCATGGTTTGTCAAGGAAATGCTTTACAACAACAGGCCACAAAAAATTGTCAAGTGTATCAATATACTTAGCACTGTTCATGTTTCCATAGACTAACACCCAACACCGTAATACGTAATGCACCCCCACATCATCAACTTTATGGATCGCCCTATTCGCTGAGTGAAATACCCGAGGCACTCACCCCTCCATCTTTCTGATCACTTTCGCCACACTTTAACTCTTACATCAGGTTTAACAACAATAGTCATTTCATCGGTAAAGATGACCTTTCTCCAGTCCCTATCAACAGTCCAACGAATTTTTCCTCTAAACCATGCCACACATTTTTTCCTGTTGACCTCACGTATTCCCAGCTTTTTGCAAACAGTCCGTCCAACAAATCCCAGTGAATGTAAATTTCTTTGAACAGTTCTTTTAGAAACAGGTTGTGGCACAGACTGATTAAAAATATGAGTAATATCCTCCTAAGATTTCCGGCGATTAACTTTAACGATCATCGAGAGTTGATTACTCCCCCGTGCTGTGATTTTTGCAGGTCTACCAGAATGACGTCTGTTTTCGATATTTTCACGTTCTCGATATCTTTTAAAAAATTTGCAAATAGTAGAAGGATGGATGCTCAATACTCTTGAAACATTGGCTGATCTATATCCATCATTTATCATATTGATAATGGCCTGTTTTGTGTCATTACTCATCTCTTTTCCGTGTCCGGACATGGTTGTTATTGTTTATGTGTCACAGCGAAGCAGACGACAAATCAACTTCCGAAATTGCGTACACGAAAGTGGATGACGGGAAGTGATATCAACTATAAAAGACGGGAAAAACCTGACGCTACCAAGAGATGCGACGCGAAATAAAAACGTCTTCAAATTCATCGCTTTCCACTGATCGGTAAAAATTGAAACAATTTTGGCACATGAGTGTATATTCTATTGCAACAGTACTAAAACGACCACCATAAACGCACATTTAAGATGCCATACTCACATGTTCTTCATGGGGCTGATGCTGGCATTTTGCCGATTCTGGGAGTGGGAGTTGTGGTTCACATCCCGCCTCCTCTTCTGGACCATGTTACGTCTGCTGGCGGAGATGGCGGGGTCAGGTATAGCACCAACTGTTGAGCTTAGTCGCCGCGGCGTCTCGGGGGAGGCTGGGGGGCTGGGGAAGTGGTGGTGGGCATCTGTACTGATGGGTGATGGGAGTGGGGACGCATCAGGTGTAGAGGCGGTGGACGAGTCCTGAAATGAAGACAACAATTTTCAAGACATCTGTAACAGAATGTGATAAGTAACCAAATTCTGATTGATGTAAGTCATGATACTTTACAACAGGACAGGATATCATGAAATCAAGCATTGTCAATACTACAGGATACACCTTTACCTCATGAAGGCTAAGTCCTGGGTTCAAATCCACTTGTGGTTATGATATGTGGAGTCTGTTCCTGATTTCCCCCCTCACTTAATATACGACAATACCCACTCACCTGTGGTTTTCACTTAAATGGGCGGTGGGTTAGCCTAGTTGTTAAGCGTTCGCTCATCACTCTGAAATCCTGGGTTCGATTTCACACATGGGTACAATGTGCGAAACCTATTTCTGGTGTCCCCCACTGTGATATTGCTGGAATATTGCTAAAAGCGCTGTAAAACTAAAGTCCTTCACTCACTCATTTTCACTTCAAATACCAAAGATGTGCTTTTGATTCCACACAAGTATAAACGGACCACATAATAATTAATAATAATAATGTGTCCATTTATGTAGCACCAAATTCCAGACCAGGTATGCTCATAGCACTAACAATGAATCAAAGAGTTAAACAAGGCACAGCTTCTTATTATCCTGGATAACCCAAGCTGCCTGTTAGGCGCTAGAAGGTTAATAGTCACATGACCTACCCTACTTGGTACCCATTTTCTGCAGGGTGAACAGAGGCAATTTTGAACAAACTCACTTGCCTTAAGTGAGACCACATGTATCACACATGCTTTGTTATGGGGCAGGACTGAAGTCCTAGATACTCTCAGGAGTCAAGCTGCCAAACACAATCACCCATCCAAGGACTTTCCACATGTGAATAATCTAACACAAGCCTTTGGCATGACTGCAACAACACTGCTTTAACTACGAGGCTGCCCCAGAGCCCACAAAGTATATCAAATAATATATAACTTTTACAAACTACCACACAGATTAAACATGAGGACAGTTGAAACTGTGTTTTTATAATTATTGTTGTTTTTGCTATCATAATTATCATAGGGAATAAAGACTGATACTGTCCAAGTGTTTCACCCTGATATGCAATTCACCAACATTGTAACAAATGTGTAAATATAGATGTGTGATAATTTTCATATCACCACTTTGCTGTTTTGAAAGTGAATGAACTATAATTTAACGCCACGTTGGCATTATTTCAGTCATGTAGCAATGTTCTGGAAAGTGCACCTGGAATATGTCACACTGAAAACCATCTTGAGAAGCTTACAGCATGATAACAATAAAACCAACAATGCATGCAGTATGTCTAACATCAACAACAGTGTCTGTATAAGCACAATATACAGTAGGACGCTTATTCATCAACTACTGATATCATTAGAACAAGTATGTACATATGGATGTTTTATGGAACCAGGTGGATAATAACTATGCCTTATCACGAAGCATATGAAAGTTATTCATCAACTACTGAATGACATACATCTACGAGAAATCAATACTAATGAATAATTGATGCACACATATATGTACTGTTTCAATGACATATTTACACTACATCAAGGTATATTCAGTATATAAACTGAACAAAGCACCATGTCCTTGCCTTGTATACACTGAAAATACCATTTCAGGTGGATATTCTACTCAAGCAATAATAGGGTTATTAACACATGTCCAAATGGCAGAAACTGTTATTCCAGTGCAGTAACTGCTAAATATCCGTATTTAGATTAATATTATCCATTCTAAGTGAGGAAAATTGGCAAATCCAGCTAGATCTAATTAAAAAAGAAGAAGAATAAAATAACATAATTAACATGTGATTTTATAGACCATACTTTTGTCAATGACACCATACAAGGAAATTTGTACTTGAGATTATTTTGAATTCGATAAAGATGAATATTAGTTAAAATTTTACATAAAGAAATCTCATGTGACTGATGTGGCTTGGACTTCACCAGCGTCTCAAATTCACCTGCCCGACGGTTGGGCGTCCGAAGACCTGCCAGCTATATGGCGGCAGGCTGTAAATAATCGAGTCTGGACCAGACAATCCAGTGATCAACAGCATGAGCATCAATCTGCGCTATTGGGAACCGATGACATGTGTCAACCAAGTCAGCGAGCCTGACCACCCGATCCCGTTAGTCGCCTCTTACGACAAGCATAGTCGCCTTTTGTGGCAAGCATGGGTTGCTGAAGACCTATTCTACCCCGGATCTTCACAGGTCATTCAGGATGATAAATCATTATTAATTCCCTCGTAAAATAAATAATGAATTCCAACTGGATGATAAACTACGTCGCTTGTCAAACCTAAAAATTTTGTGGGCAGGTAAGTTTTGGTCAGGGCTGGCAAGTTTTTCATCTAACCAACCCTCTGGTCTGGCTGTAATTTTTGCAAGTTTCATACCCTGACTTTACAGCCCCCATTTAGATTGTAACATTTTTTAACAATGCTTCAAATCATCAAAATATTGTTGTACTTAATTTGTTTAATGTAATGCTAGGTAATATCTACATATATTAACAATGGATCCTTGTTGTAATTTGAGTGCTATCTTGCTGACAGGGAGATCCTCAGTGTTCAAAGCAAAGGTAAACAAGAAGACAAAGTCATCAATATCCCCCGCAATGGCAAAATACTCTTCATTGATTATGTCTACGAGTTATGATTATGTCAAATACAGTCAGGCCGCGGTAATCCGGTCCTCGTTAATCCAAATCCACCGACTTCCGAACGCTACTCACCGGGCACCAAATCATCTCCCTATATATTGTATATAATTGACACCTCGTTAGTCCGATGATTCAGTTTCCGCCTCCGAACGCTGGTCAGTCGGAACGGATTGGACTAATTAAGTTGTAAACAGCTGCGTTAATCCGAACGATTGAAGTTGACCGCTGCTGACTTGTCCACTCAAAGTGACACGTTGTTTGTTTAGCTTAATTTAGCTTTACTCATCCCTTTGATCCCTTTATCATAAGTGATAGGAAATTTCGACGAACACGCTGTTTTGGGAAAGACTTCAATCCAGAAATATATGCTCGGTACCGAATTAAAATTATAAACTATTTTTCGCGAATGTTATTGAAAACAACGATTCTCGACACATGCTTCGCAGCGGGTCCACAGTAACATTGTCAAAGAGCAAAGTAACGATGTAAAATGAATAAACTAATAGGTAGCGATTTCTTGCTTAATATGTTCAAAATAGCATTATTTTACCCAAAACTTTCGCCTAAATCTAAAAGTTTTCGCTTTTACGAGGATCGATATCCATTGCCGCGGATATGATTGGCTGCCTTAGGTCCCGCGGTCTGATTTTGACCAATCACGCACCCTTATAGCAGACTGTAGCTTAAAAGCCGCCATTAGAAACCAATTTTTATCCAATAAAATCGCTTCTTACAACTGTGAAAATACTCTCGGCAAGGGTTCAGTGATGTTGTTGATGTTCAGAGCTTTCAACGATACCCCTAACATCAAACGATTCGGCCTCCCATGTTATTCATAATGACGCCTCAAAACGGAGGTATTTTCCGTTGTTATGTCATGTTACCGAGCGGAAAGCCACTGATATCGGGAAATAGGCAACCATACATATTATTTAAGAAATCTTTTTATAATAATTTTCTGATGACGTAAAAATGAAAATATAAAAGAAAAAGGCACTGGCATGTTATGACATGTCACAAATGGAAAAAAATCGCCATAGTTTTTGAATAACATTATAAAAATAAACTTCATATTTATCAACAGTAGGATTATAATTTCCTTCATAAACATAGGCTTCATCTATGACCTCAGAGTCTCGATAGTAAGGAAAGATATCAAGGGGAAGTAACTCGGTGCATATACTGTGGTTTCAGCAGTACGAACGTTTCACTATCCGAACGTTTTTTTTAAAAAACCAAAGTGTTCGTATTAACGAGGTCTGACTGTATTTAGGTGTGTACATAGAACAGTGGAAGGAGAGTATTGAAAGGGTTTAAAAGTTCTGCTCCAGAAAGGAGCACTATCACCAATTTCAGTCTAAGTCAAACTTGTTGCCATGGAAATGCCAAAAATATTTTATTCAGAATTCCAAAACTACCAAAAGGCACAAGTACACCACCAGATCTATCTATGTGCCAAGTTTGGTGAAGACATATTGAACGGTTTTAGAGTTCTGCTCCGAAAAAGAGCACTACCACCAATTTCAGTCTAAGTTGAACTTGTTGCCATGGAAATGCCAAAAATATTTTATTCAGAATTCCAAAACTACCAAAAGGCACCAGTACACCACCAGATCTATCTATGTGCCAAGTTTGGTGAAGACATATTGAACGGTTTTAGAGTTCAGCTCCGGAAAAGAGCACTACCACCAATTTCAGTCAAAGTCGAACTTGTTGCCATGGAAACGCCAAAAATATTTTATTCAGAATTCCAAAACTACCAAAAGGCACCAGTACACCACCAGATCTATCTATGTGCCAAGTTTGGTGAAGACATATTGAACGGTTTTAGAGTTCAGCTCCGGAAAAGAGCACTATCACCAATTTCAGTCTAAGTCGAACTTGTTGCCATGGAAACGCCAAAAATATTTTATTCAGAATTCCAAAAGTACCAAAAGGCACCAGTACACCACCAGATCCATGTTTGTGCCAAGTTTGGTGAAGAAATATTGAACGGTTTTAGAGTTCTGCTCCGGAAAAGACAAATGTGCACGGACATAGTCTATTTTAATACCCCCCGCAAAACGCGTTGCGGGGGATAAAAAAAAAGCTACTTTCAGTACAAGCCCCCTATACCACTACATGTACTGACACCTGGGAGGAGTTTGATTCAGTAGTACTTCTAAACAAACCATGTTGACCTTAAAATGATTGAATGGGTGCTGTGATCTAGCTCACTGTGTCATAATAACCCAATGACTTTTTGTTTTGTCTGTTGTTTAATGCCGCACTCAGCAATTTTCCACCCTATATGATAGCAGTCTGTAAAGTATCAAGTCTAGACCAGACAATCCAGTGACTGACATCATAAGCAGCATTCTACGCCTGTGGGATACAAAGCCATGTCTGCGTGTCTGACTATCGGATCTGTAAGTCGCTCATGACAACCTTGGGTTGCTGAAGACCAGTTCTAACCCCGATCTTCAATGGGAGACAAGTATAGGTTGCTGAAGGCCCATTCTAACCCCGATCTTCAATGGGAGACAAGTATAGGTTGCTGAAGGCCCGTTCTAATCCCGATCTTCAAGGGGAGACAACCATAGGTTGCTGAAAACCTGTTCTAATCCCGATCTTCAAGGGGAGACAACCATAGGTTGCTGAAGACCAATTCTAACCCAGATCTTCAAGGGAAGACAACCATAGGTTGCTGAAGACCAATTCTAACCCAGATCTTCAAGGGAAGACAACCAAGGGTTGCTGAAGACCATTTCTAACCGAGATCTTCAAGGGGAGATATATAACCATGGATTGATGAAGACCAATTCTAACCCGGATCTTCACAGGTTACAACCCAGTGAGTCCATACTAATATATCATCAACTGGTCTGTCAGTCATAGTTTTGAAAATTGCAATTTTGCTGATGCAGCTATAAGCACAATCACACACACACAATCTCTCTCTCTCTCTCTCTCTCACACACACACACACACACACACACACACACACACACACATCCCATAGTCTATCATACAGTACCATAAACAAAAATATCAAAGATATCTCAAGCAAGTCCACAAGTCAACTGATAAAGTAAGCCAATGTGTTGCAAGATGGCGACAAAACAATATCCTGACACAGAGGTAGTGCTGAAGGAAACTATTTCCCCATATCTCCTATTCTTGGTCAATAAAGATTTGAATCCTTCCTGTTGAGTAGAACATCTTTGGTTCATTGTGTAAATATTATAACAGGCCATCAATAATATTACCATATTATTTGAGAGATGGAATCCATTGTTCAGTTGACAAATTATCAATACACGAAATACATAAATGTAAAATCATCTTAATCTTGGAAATATTAAAACTTAGCTTGAAAGTAACATCTTCCCAGCAACATGACCTGTATCTACAAAACTGTTGTTCCAGGGCCCCGTTCCTCAAGGCGATCGTAGCGCTACGACAGTCGTAAGTCTATGTTAAAGTATAGGAGTTACGATCAACTTAGCGCTACGATCGCCTTGAGGAACGGGGCCCTGTACTGTAACTGCAAAATATCTACCATAACTTGCAACATATATGCAGAAAAAATAAACTCATTCACATTAAGTTGGACTGAGCATTATAAGTCAGAGCTCTGAACTATCAGATAACATTTTAACAGAAATGTTTAGGAGCAGTTCAAAATAATGAGGTTTTGTGAAGAAAGTTCCTCATACCTACTTGAAATATTCGAATCTTTCGTAAACTGAATATCCTCATGTTAACATCCAGCTGTGGTATACGACTGTATTCCAACTAGTGTGAGCGATATCTCCTCTATTACCTAGTCACTGTTTCCCATCTGCTTTATGCCCTGGGTGATAGATACGTTGCATAATTCCCTGGGAATTATCTGACAATCTGATGGTGATCTACAAGCCTCAGGACCTAATTCTGGGCTGTGAAGTGATCCATTACACTTTAGCCATGACCGTTTAACTGAAGTCAATCTCAGTAAGGAGAGAGAACAAAGGTATTGATTTATAGAAGTAGACATGAAAGCATACTGCATGATAAAACTTAATATACAGACTTTCATTATTAGACTGAAATATATATGGCCTTGATGAAACTTATGAATAATGTTAGTGCAATCCCTACTTCTCTCCAAGTACAACGAGTGTATTAGCCACAATGGACTTAATTCATTTACAACCCTCTATTCACAGATGTCACAGATCTACATACAGACCTAGTCAATTTACTGGTCCTCTAAATCACAGGATTGCCTTGTCCAGACTCGATTATGTACAGACAGCTGCCATATAGGTGGAATATTGCTGAGTGCAAAACAACCAACCAACCAACCAAACCTCTCAAACAGAGACCTGAGGTTTATCTACCACATACAAAAAGACCTATGAAGACTGTGAGCAATATGCTTTAGACCCATAGAGATCTCCAGACCTGGACCATCTACCACTGGCCTACATATCGACCTACAGACCTCAACCATCTCGTACAGACCTATGAAAGACGTGGTATGTCTCCTACAGACCTGTGAAAGACCTGGTACATATTTCACAGACCCATGACACACCTAGTCCCATTTCCCAAAGACCTATGACAGACCTGGTTTGTCTCCAACAGACCTACAACAGACCTACCATAGACCTGGTCCAGCTGCTCTCACTGTCGCTTGTCCCACTCCGATGACGGAAAGCTTCCTTTGCATCTTCACGTTTCCGACCCTGGAAGAAACAAGATTATTTCAGTCACTTTATAGAATGGGCAATGATATATTCATTCCAAGTTTGGGGGATTAAGATAAGGACATACTGACTGACTGACTGACTGACTGACTGACTGACTGACTGAGTTTGGTTTTAACGCCGCTTTTAGCAATATTCCAGCAATATCATGGCGGGGGTCACCAGAAATGGATTTCACACACTGTACCCATGTGGGGATTCGAACCCGGGTCTTCGGCGTGACGAGCCAACACTTTAAAAACTAGGCTACCCCACTGCCCCAAGGTAAGGACATACAGTTTCTATCACTGTATGTCATGATGGATAGTTGTAATGATCTAAAATCAAATGAATGATAGTAATATATTATGAAGGTAATAAACGAATATTTTACATTTCAACAATGGGTAAAGATACATGAAGGTAATGAAGTTTAAGTATTGTTGAATCTTACTAAATACTGTCTTTGCAGGTTCTGTTTAACTTAAAAAAATAAAGCGCATACTAATATTGCGCTAGACTTCACAGACAAGGTGCATGCTCAAAGAGTTAGCATTAAGGGTTTAGAGAGTGATTTTCATTCTCACTTCCCTGTGGAGTATACAACCCAAGGTGCCTTGTCAGGCACTTAAAGGTTCACAGTCACTATACCATCTCATCCTACCAATTCCACTATATGAGTGAGTGAGTGAGTTTGGTTTTACACCGCTTTTAGCAATATTCCAGCAACATCACGGCGGGGGACACCAGAAATGGGCTTCACACATTGTACCCATGTGAGGATTCGAACCCGGTTCTTCGGCGTGACGAGCCAACGCTTTAACCACTGGCTACCCCACCGCCCTGCATTTTTGTATAAACTGAGTAGGAGAGTATTGTTCTGCACCACTTTAGTAATATTCCAACAGTTTTACACATTCTACCCATGTTGGGAATAGAACCCTGTCATTCAATTTGACAAGAAAACTCATCAAACACTAGGCTACCACTGCACCCCATGAACAAAGTCACTTGCCAGATGAATGTCTGGTGTCTCTCACCGTGATATTGCTGGAATATTGCTAAAAGATGCGTAAAACCAAATTCACTCACTCACTCACTTGCCTGAGGGGATACCACGTGTGTTACATATGCTTCATACACTTATGAATATGGAAGGAGTTTTGTTTCTTTAATCACTAGGGCCTAGAATTTCGGAGCTCTCTTAGCGCTAAGATAGTCATAAGTGCCATACATTAACATTAACTTATGACCATCTTAGCGCCAAGAGAGCTTCGAAAATCTAGGCCCTGGTGACTATGACTTTGGGCTTTCTTCACAGAAAGCTTCAATATGCATTAGGTGTTATTTTCTTTTCAGTTCTTACATTCAATGCTGAGAACCAGCATTTAACAATTATCAAGCTACCTCTCCTATGGAAGTTAAAGCTTGTAAATGTTCAAATAGTTGCCATGAGTCTCATGATGGTGTTAGACATACTCTTAAAGTTTCCAGTCAAACCCTACTGTCTCCTGTATTTGTCCAGGGCTTGCATTTCAGTAAACGACTGTAATCCTGCCTCCATTCCCACGGTTCTCGTTATCTTAAAATATCCATTGTTGATTTCCATTATCACTTCAAAGACCATTCAAACACTGAGATAAGAAAAAAGGAAATGGTAACGGTAGTGGATATGAAGACATCCTTTCCATCAAAAAGCTTTTTAAAGCTTTTTTTATTGAGTCAGTCAGTTTTTTAATCTGGAATCTTATAAACTCTATCGTAACCAATGGGACTGGTACTCATATTGCCAACCATGATTGAGGTTGGTTTGAAACTTGTATTCTGATTGGTTTGTTTAACTGAATGGTATCGCAAATCAAACTGGCAAATAGAAATCAGAGGTTGGGTAATTTGAGACTGTGAGAACTAAGGAATTAGATAGAGGAGTTAGTACAGGTGTAGCGAATCAAAAGGACTAGGTGAGGTGAGGTGAAATTGGGTTTTACGTCGTGCTTGAGAATATTTCGCTCATATGACGACGTGCATGTGTGTGTATGTGTATGTCCGGCTGCTTGAACTAGCCCAGACTGAAGCTGGTTTTATAGTGCTAGCCCACTGAGATATCATGCTGCAGTGAAGCATGAATACCCCACTCAGACACATTATACTGACTCCTAGCTGACCAGTCCTTGTTGTACCTATTAATGCCGAACGCCAGGCAGGGACCAACAAGTACCATATTTTAACGTCTTTTGGTATGACGCGGTCGGAGATCGAACCCGCGACCTTCCGCTCTCCAGGCTGACGCTCTAACCACTACACCTCACTCAATCTTAATAACACACATTTATGCTGAATGTTATTTATCATGTGTTAATGTTCAGAATAACTTTAGCTCGTTTCTGTTGTTCATCTCAAGATCTATTAATTGAAAAAGGTAGGTTTATGAATACTAAAAGAGATGTTATAGAAGACAAATATCATTTTCTTCTACTATGTCCAGCATATAATACTATACATAAAACATATATAAAAAAACTCTATTTTGTCCATCTATCAATTGATAATTTTTTCTCTCTGTTGAATTGTTTAAATGAATTTGTAACTCAAAATGTTGCAGTTTTCATTTATCAAGCCATGTTGATAAGAAAATTGTATACATGAAATGTAATACAAGCCTGTGGCCTCCTCAGTACTATTGATTGACTATTGGGAGAAGATAGTGGAGAAGCAGAACACAGACAAACACATTCAAGTATTTTTTTTCTGTTGGCCAATGGCCAGTTTACCAAAGCTTACTCACATGCAAGCTAAATAATCTGTATTTCCTCTAATAAGGGCCCAGGCTCTTATTTATTCAGTGGACTTCCAGACCCGGGGCTTATTAGAGGCCTGGCGTTTATTGGAGTCGAGGGGCTTATTGGACTCCCGGCTCTTATTAGAGGAAATACGGTACTCATCGTTTATCTTTCTGAGAACCTTATCTTACGGGATCAACTTTGTTGCAAAAGGACACTGACAATATGGTCTTGTGTATTTTTCAAAAGCATCTTTAATAGCATTTTCTATATCTAATGAAAGATAAGAAAAATATATTTTCTTATCTGATACAGAGGAAACGATTGGGAAATAATGAGATTGTGATTTATGCCTGAATCAGCAATATCTTGAGCCATTGCCACAGTAGTAGTAAGAAGTATTTGGTATCCCTGTACGTGGACTGTGAGAGTAGCATCAAGACAGGGACACCAGAAATTGCCTTCATGCATTCTACAAAAGTTGGGATTCGAACCTAATCTTTTGTGTGAATGCTCTGTCCCTCATACATGTTCATCGAAACTGTCGTTTTCTGTTTTCAGAATCCATCAACCACAAGGTCACCATACCTCCCTTCTTGAGGACATACTACTCAACATTTCACAGGGATATTGAGGCATGTCATACTGTTATTAAACTAGATGAGAGCAGCATTTTGAATTGTGAATTATGATTAACTTATTGAAAATGAAGCTGAATTCCTTTAGTTCTGTGGCAATATCGAAAACATGAGTTGGAAAATTTGCTTTCGATACATAATAGTGCAAACAGAAATATTCCAGCTATATAAAGTTAACCTGTAAATAATTAAATCTGAACCAGACAATCCAGTGATTGATGTTTAGAACATCAATATACATCAATGGGAGACAATGACATACATTAATCAGGTCTGTGTCTGACCATCCCATTTTGTTAGTCACCACTTATGATAATGGTACTGTTGACACATTCTAATCCTGATCTTCATTAGGTGAGTAGTGTAGTAACATGTGAGTGAGTTTAGTTTTACGCCGCTCTTAGTAATATTCCAGCAATATCCTCGTGGGGGACACCAGAAATGTGCTTCACACATTGTACCCATTTCGGGTACCCGGATCTTCAGCGTGACGGGCGAACACTTTAACCACTTGGCTGCCTACCACCTCCTACAGTAATATACGGTACCCGTGATGGTCCGGGTTAGAATATTGATTTTAGTAACCCATGCTTGTCGTAAGAGGCTGACTAACGGGATCGGGTGGTCAGGCTCGCTGACTTGGTTGACACATATCAACGGTTCCCAATTACGCAGATCGATGCTCATGCTGTTGATCACTGGATTGTCTGGTCCAGACTCGATTATTTGCAGACTGCCACCATATAGCTGGAATATTGCTGAGTGCGGCGTAAAACTCTCTCTCTAACTCATTCAGTAATATACGGTCAAGATAAAGTACACTCTGCAGCAGTACCAGTACGCCTCAACTCCATACACTGGCAGAGTGTTCTCTCATTGCTGACCTACTAGCTGGGAACTTAGACAGCTGCAGCATGTTTCATCAATCAATCGTGATCACACAAGTGGCAGGAAATTGTCCCATTGTTAAGTGCATATTGATTTGAATGCATGTAACACTGCTCACACCCACACCAACATCATATTCCTTTACTTTTCATAATTGCTCAATACACAATGTTGTACGTCAATGCCATTCAAACCGGTGTATAAATGTCGTAACGAATACCTCATTACATGGAACAGATATTGAACAAAAATGGGTGAGATAACACTGTTACGTCAAAGGTTTGAAAACTCATAATGATTTCTTAATTAAGTATTTCTGTGTTGTGTACTGTTATTGCCAAACATACCTTTACACAAATGTTATGATGTTTTAATTTCCCTCATACTCAGTTTTCATCTGCGTCATAAGTTTTTTGATGGTTCATTGTACAAAAAGAAACCAAAACACAAGTACAACCAAAACCTAAATACAAACCAAAACAATAACCTGATACTCAAATATGTATTTAACAGAAGAAAATAGGGCATATTATGTTTAAAATGCATGTATTATAAGAGCTACTTAGATGAGTGATAAAAATATAGGAAATACAAGAAATAATTAACCCGAAAATATTCTGCATGAACTGAGTTAGTTCACATTTCTTTGAGTGGCATTTTAGAAGTTGGGAAGCACAATATAGAACAAACTTTA